TAGTTTAAAAAAATAGCTCCCTTTTAACTTGATCATAGTTCCGCCACTGCTTTTATTAACTAATAAAATAATATTATTATTTTTTAATCTAATACTCCTTCCGTCCGAGAAAAAATATCCTGTTAGAAATTGACACAAAAATTAAAAAATAATAGTATTTAATTAAAAATTGATATAAATTAAAATATAAAAAATTAAAATACTCTTATATTTTAAAAAATTTTAAAAATTAAATTAAAAATAATAATTGAAGATAATTTGAAAAAATATAATTAATTTTATTATAAAGCGAAAGACCAACAAATTTCAAACAGCATGGGGGTTATAGAAGAGAACAAAAAGTGTCCCACAAAATCCGTAGATAACACAACATGGTGAATGGGTCCGGTCCGGTCATAAATCACGATACAGACCGAACATGGAAATTACATAATTGCCCTTAGAATACGAATTTGTCCAATTGTCCTTGCAAAGGTTTCGGGCTGTGTGTCAGAATATTACCCGAATAATACCCTTCCCCGTCTTATCTCTCATCGCTCCATCACCATGTGATTTGACACATATACTGCTCTTTTATTCCTTATTTATTAAATTTCGTACAAATATATACTCATTTGATCGACATAAATTATTATTATTTTATTTTATAGTAAAAAAATATAAAAATATAATAATTTTTTATTTAAAAAAGAAATATAATATTTTTTAATGAGAAATAAAAAAGAAAATAGACATAAATTTGAATGACGGATGTACAGTATTAAAAGAAAATTTATGATAAATTCTTCGTTCGTCTAACTTAATTTGCCAATTCTTTCTATTTTTATTTATTCCATATAATTTATTTTTTTTAAAAAAAATAATTATACACTTTAATCAAATTTTAAAATTCATAATTAATAATTTTTTTGTTTTAATTAAATTTTTTAGTTATCTTGATTTAATTTATAATTATTTTTACTAATAAAAAATTTAATTATTTACTGATTTTACAATATCTAAAACTTTGCGTATAAACTAAAGTAGATAAATTAAGTAAGACGGAGAAAATAATATTTTATTTTTATACTCTTTTCGTTTCTAATCAGATGATTTATTTTTCATAAATTTAATATTAAATTAAAATATATTTAGCAAATATATATTAATTTAATTAAATTCATAACATATAATCTCATAAAGTATTGTACACTCAACATATTTTATTTCTCTCTTCTCAAATATTTTTAATATATATTTAAAATTTCTTATCTTTTAAAAAATTAATATATCTTAATTATAGATAAATAAATAAAATTTTTATTTATTTGCATTATTTAAAATATATATTTGATTAAGATATACTGTATTAATTAAAATATTTGAACATATATTTTAAATTTATTTTAATCATATATTAATTTTTATTTTAAAACTACAATAATACTATTCATATAAAAAAAATAAAAAATAAAATTTTAATTTAATAGTTTAATTAATTAAATTCTGTTATAACCAATGAAAAACGTCATCGTTTTGAGTCATCGTTAAATTAATTTAATTTGGTTTTGAGTCATCGTGTCATCACATCCGTCGTCTATTTGTATAAAATCTAATAAACTATAGATTTAGGGCAGATATTTTTTTAAAGAAAATGTAATTGAATTTTTTTAAAATTGGTTTGTCCACTTGGGTTCAGTCCTGTATATATTTTTTTAAAGATTAATTTAAATACTATTTTTAATAAATAAAATAAAACCAAGCTACGTATCCTTTGACTTTGATGAGTTATGGGCGTGTTCCGTTTTCGTTTTACAATTTTAAAAAAGATTAATTCTTGAGTATACATTACTCATTCGTCCTAAACAAGATGCAATATTTATTTTGGACACGAATTTTTAGGTATGTAATATTAAATAGTACTCTCTCTACCTCAAACAAGATGTAATATTTACTTTTGACACGAATTTTTAGGTAGGTAGTAACACGAGTTTTTAGGTAGGTAGTATTAAGTAGGATAATTTAGAAATTAGGTGATGTGATTGAGAGATAAATATATATTTTATTTTTTTATTTGGATGATGTGAGGGGATAAAGTGTGGGGTAGAGATTAAGTATAATTAATTATTTCCTATTTTGGAAATGTTGCAGAGTGTTTGAGACATACCAAAAATGAAATGTTGCAGGGTGTTTGGGACGGATGGAATATAATTTAGAAATTAGGTGATGTTATGGAGAGAGAAATGTATATTTTATTTTTTTATTTTAGTAATGTGATGGGATAAAGTGAGAGGTAGAGATTAAGTATAATTAATTATTTCTTATTTTGAAAATGTTGCAGGATATTTGGGACATATCAAAAAAAGAAATATTGCACAGTGTTTGGGACAGAGGGAGTATTTTTTATTATTCATTTACTTTTTTTTTATCGTTATGAACAAATGTTTAAATTTAAATACGAAAATAATGATATTTGTATAATGATAAAATAATAATAATAATAATAATAATAATAATAATTAAAAAAAGATAATTTTATGATTTATGATGATAAAACTATTGATTTAGATTATTTTCAATCCACTCATAAATGCAATGATATTTTGTGTATTTTTATTATTTTTGGGATGTTTTGTGTAATTTTAGTTTTTTAAAAATGATATATAATTGTATTTTTTGAAAAGTGATATATAATTTTATTTTTTTAAAAAAATATGTAATTTTATAAATAAAATATAAATTATATATTTTTTAGTGATAATGTAAAAATATAGGGTGTGTTTGTTCGGGGAATTGATTGGATTGGATTTACACTATTCATTTAATTTTTTCCTTCAAAAATATCAAATCAAACACTTTTTTTTTATATTATATTAAAAATCAATTTTACATTATCAACGCCTATTTATATCACATTATACAATTATTCAAATTCAAAATTTTTACTATTCAAATCCCAATTCAAAATCCAAACTCCCAAACAAACACACGTCATATGGTGCAATTTATAAATATGAAAATTTATATAAAATAAAATAAAAGAGAAATAAAAATTGAAGTTTGTTATTTGAGTAAAATTATGTGTATTAGATGTATTTTTTTCTAGTATTAATATTATATATGTACACAGTAAAAACAATAAAATGATACATTCATACTCTATTAATAATGTGTATTAATTTTGTCATTTGGTTAAATAAAGATAGTAATATTTATAGTTGAAAAATATTTTTAATAATATATTTACTAAAAAAATAAATATATTGATTTGAAAAAATAAAATGAAAACCTGTAATCCAAGATAATTTTGTATTTTTGCATATAGTTTTTTTTTTCCTAATTTTTTTTAGATACTAGTATTATATATGTATATAGTATAAAATGAGATAAAATGACATATTCACATTTCTATTAATAATATATACTCCCTCTGAATATTCATTTATTTTTTTACGTGTTGACTTTTAAATATTACTTACTATACTAAAATGTATTACAAATAAAAGAAAAATGACAAAAATATTTTTATTAGTGTGTTATAATATTAATATAATAGCATTTGTACAAAAAATATATATATAAATATAATAATATTTTTAATATTAAATATACTGATGCAAATAGTAAATAGATACTTTGTTATGGACACATGGAATATTAATTTTTTATAATTTGGTCAAATAAAAATATTTATATTTATACAAGCAAGTTGTAAAAATATTTTTAGTAGTACAATTATAAAAAAAAAAAGAACATATTCAGGATGCAATATTTTTTAGATGAATTGATTTTTTTGTGTGTAGTATAAGACCGTGTTGGTAATATAAAAAATAATATTTTGGGTTGAGTGATTGATTTTTATAAATGAATGATATATATTATATTAGTACGTGTATATATTTGTATTTTTTTAATAATATTTATGAAGAATTGTTCCATTAAAAAATGTTAATGAACTTTTTAATATAATAATATTATATCAATATTTTTTTTAATAATCCTTTCGTTAGAACTAAACTTCTCATTTCGTTCAATTACAAAGTAAACGTTTCATTAAATACATCACTTTTTTTTTACATCACATCATTATTTTTGCAGAAAAAGTAAAGAAAAATATGTCATTACACTATTTTTAACTACTTACTATAATTAAAATACTATTATTTCTTAAACATCGCGCAAAAAGTAAATGTTTACTTTTTGTGTGGACAGAGGGAGTATAAATTAAGAAAAAATGACCAAAATACTTATATTAATAATACAATGATATTTATACAAAAAATTATATAAATATAATGACGCAAAAAGGTAAATGAGAAGTTTAGTTTAAAAAAAAATTACTCCCTCCGTCCCAGATACCATGTCCATGTTGCCGTTTCTGTCCATCCCACATACCATGTCATTTTTCTTTTTTGGAAAATGATTACACACTTTAATCTCATTTTAAATTTTTATTATTGTTATTTTTTTAATTTTAATTAAACTAATTAGTTATCTTGATCTTAATTTATAATTGTTTATATTATAAGATAATTATTTTCACTAATACATTCTTAATTATCTACTAATTACATCTCTCCTAAAATGTATTTTTTATTACACAAGATTATATACTTTTTCTTCCCAAACACCTGTAATATATATTTTTTTACCAAACATTCTACAATCATTCTATTACATCAGAATATATATTTTTATCCTTTATCATATTATTTAATTTTTAAATTATTTTATTTAATATTATTATCTGCCCACATTTTATGTAGAAAACAAACTGTAGAAAACAAATGTTAAATCATGTTTAGAATGTAGGGAGTATTAAAAATAAAAATTAAGCTCTAAAAACGAACATAACAAATTTATTCATTAACCTAAAAAAAAAAAGAAAAAAAAAAAAAAGAAGCTTGTGAGTTACTTTTAGAAGAAAAAACAGGAAACTCAGAAAAGGCTAAATATTAGGCGAAAAACATTAGGCTCTAAAATAGAGGTTTTATTTATTTATTTAATATTTTTGGGGTGGGGCGACTCTTGCTGATATTCCCGGAATCTCTCTCTCTCCACAGTATAAAAGTACTTTCTCTTTCATTTCTGGCTGTTGCCATCACGCACCGTCTGTCTCCACTCTCCAGAAACGTCTGCTTCTTCCTCCGCCTCCATCTCTCTGATCTCTCTCTATCTGTTTTCGCTTTCTATGGAGCTTGCTGTGTGCTGATTCGGTTGAATTGTTGCGTGCAGGAGACGTATTTGAAGAGCGGTGGATTAATGGCGGGAAATGATTGGATTAACAGCTACTTGGAGGCGATTCTGGATGTAGGTCCTGGGCTCGATGAGGCGAAGTCATCGCTGCTGCTCCGGGAGAGGGGAAGGTTTAGTCCGACCAGGTACTTCGTGGAGGAGGTGATTACGGGGTTCGATGAGTCCGATCTGCATCGCTCCTGGGTTCGAGTATGTGCCTGTGGCGTTTATCTGTTGTTGCTTGTGTGTCTGCGCTTGTGTATGCGTATGGATCGATGGATACAGTAGTTTCGTGACTTTGGTGTGTGTGTTTTGGAATTCGTAGGCGCAAGCGACGAGGAGTCCGCAGGAGAGGAACACGAGGTTGGAGAATATGTGCTGGCGGATTTGGAATTTGGCTCGCCAGAAAAAGCAGGTTTTTTATTTTTGATTTTTTATGCTGTCTTCTAATGTTCATTGGAATTTTGGATCATGTATACTACAATAAACGTTTTCTTGGAATTTTTGGTTTATGACATTTTCCCCCATTTTTGTACTTGTCTTAAAGTGTGGTTATCATGGTAGAGGTGTGCGGGTAATATATGGTGTAGATATTGGCTTGGAACTATTGTTAGACATATATCCCTCGACATTGATGAAAAGCATCCTGAAAAACTCACTTCTGAAGATTTGATAGTGTGTATTTTTGTTTTTTTGTTGCTTTCGTTTTCCTTAAATCCTGGGACCAAGTATTGCTTGTTGAAACTAATGGTGAAATTCGTTCAGAGATTGTTCTTATTATTTTATTCCCACTGGCTGTGATTCTTCACACGTGTAAATATCAGGGGTGGTTTAGGAGGCAAATCTGCTTATTAAAGTATGCTTTATATAACTAAAAGAGTGGTCAACTTTACCTATTTCCAAAATTTTACCATGACTAGAAGAGTGTGAAATAAAGGAATTATTTTTTTATGCTCTCTATCCTCGTGTAAATTCCTTTCCGGTGATGCTTTATTTTTTGTTGCCGAACTTTTCATCAAGCTATCTCTAGGTGCAAAGCTGTAGCTAGGTATGAAGCTCAGAAACAAGCACTCACTAAATTGTATGATTTGCAATCTCTCAGTCATATCATTCATTGGTATAGTCAGCAGTCATCGCATTGAGAAATGGAGAATTGAATTTTGAGTTATGTTCTTCTATACACGCAGGTTCTGCGAGATTTAAATAATTTCAGGACTTAATTCTTTGCTACCACTGTAGTTGTAAGTGCTACAACAAGTGTGAAGAAGAAGTCTTTATTTCTTTGTTTTGAATTTTGATGTACTGTGACATGCAGTATGCATCAAACGTCCAAATGTCAAAATACAGTCATGTAATCACAAATTACATATTCCCCGGTGCGGTAGTGGAGTAACAAACTACTTTGCTAAGCATAGTGCCAAAGGAAATGATGAGTTATCTATTTGGATGTAGCGTTTTATTGATCAATAAAATCTATTTTAACTCCAAAAAAAAGAAATACACATTCATTACTCTAATGTATTAACACAGCTGCCAGTTTTCATTGGCACCAAATATTTTGTGCCTATATGTAAAAATTAGGATTGCATAATACCCATTGATTTGTTTTACCTTTTGACATGACAGTCTCTTATAATATATAGTAATAATGATCACTGCAATGGATTTGGGCCATATACTTGCAATAGCAACTGATGTATCCTTCCTTTGCCTTTTGTAACATTTAAGAGTTGGTTAAAGCATATGGTTTCCGGCATGGGTTTGTTAAAATTTGTTAGAGAGTATAGGTTTTATCGGCATCAATCCAACAAAGCTATCTGATGATTAACTCATTGTTTAGCTTGAGGGAGAGGAGGCACAGAGAAATGCTAAACGTCGCCTGGAACGTGAAAGAGGTCGCAGAGAAGCAGTTGCTGATATGTCTGAAGACCTATCTGAGGGTGAGAAAGGAGATGTAGTTGGTGATCTTTCAACTCATGGAGAAAGCAACAGAGGTCGATTACCTAGGATCAGTTCAGTTGATACTATGGAGACCTGGCTTAGTCAACAAAAGGGCAAAAAATTATACATTGTATTAATAAGGTATGGAATTAAATTTCAAAATTTTATATTGCTATGTTTTTTCTTTCTCTTCTCACATCCATCTTATTGAATGACAAACAATAGATCAACCTCCTGAAACTTGTGAACATTAGTCATCCTCAAGGATCACAAGTTGAAAAATGAAGATTTAACTTCTTTCAATTTGATGGCTCTTTTAAGAGATTCTCACGTGCATAATAAAGGTTATCTGCATTCTACGTTGACATGGTATTTTTACAGTCTTCATGGTTTGATACGTGGTGAAAACATGGAGCTTGGCCGTGATTCTGATACTGGTGGCCAGGTAGGGTTTGCTTTAGTGGACCTTCCATACAATTGTTCTCTTTAATGTAATGTTTAATTCTTTCTGTGTGAAGAAAAAATTTACCCATTGTTTAGAGCTAAGCTTGTTACTGTAGGGCTGTGCTTGGATCATTTGATGCGTACTTTAAACATAACAATCTTTTCTCTGTCCAGGTGAAATATGTTGTTGAATTGGCAAGGGCTTTAGGTTCAATGCCTGGTGTATATCGTGTTGATTTGCTCACTAGGCAAGTATCTTCACCAGAAGTAGACTGGAGTTATGGTGAACCCACGGAGATGCTGCCTCCACGAAGTTCTGATGGCTTGACAGAGGAAATGGGAGAAAGTAGTGGTGCATACATAATTCGCATCCCATTTGGACCAAAAGATAAATATGTTCCAAAAGAACTACTATGGCCACACATCCCTGAATTTGTTGATGGTGCTCTCGGCCACATTATACAAATGTCCAAGGTTCTTGGTGAGCAAATTGGGAATGGGCATCCAGTTTGGCCTGCTGCTGTCCATGGGCACTATGCGGATGCAGGTGACTCTGCTGCACTGTTATCTGGTGCTCTGAATATTCCAATGATTTTCACTGGTCATTCGCTGGGTCGTGACAAGCTGGAACAACTTTTGAGACAAGGCCGACTGTCCAGGGATGAGATCAACTCTACCTATAAAATAATGCGAAGAATAGAGGGAGAAGAGTTATCCCTTGATGCCTCTGAAATAGTCATTACCAGCACAAGACAAGAGATAGATGAACAGTGGCGATTGTATGATGGGTTTGATCCAATTCTAGAGCGTAAGCTTCGTGCTAGGATAAAGCGTAATGTGAGCTGTTATGGACGGTTCATGCCTCGCATGGTTGTAAGTATACTATCTTATTTTGCGAATGTGAAGGTCTCATCCAGTCAGACTTTTTTTGTCAATAATTCTAGTTTGATCTGTTTTCCCTTCGATTTTGATCTGGTTCGCAGAATTTTCTGTTTGTCTGAGAATTACTGAGCATGCAGTTCATTGGTAACATCTTTCTGTAATTGATTCTGTGGCCACAAGCATGACATTTATGATGATGAAATGTCGAAGAAATAATATTGCGTATAGTTTGTGAAAGAATTCTATTTCCAAGCTCCACTTACGGTAGGTTTAATAAAAGAGGATGCCCTGGTGATAGTAGCTTGACTTGCTGCATCTGTGACAGTCTGATTTCCTGAATATAATCTGTTTTTTAAATGGCTAAATATTGTAGGATTGTAATTATTTCATGAAAATTAGAAGTTCTTGATCATGTACTCCATGAGATTCAGATAATCTTGTCGCCTATCCTATATTTCTCTTTCAAAACATATGACTTTGCTTGCCACAATATTGACATTAATGCATTTTTAGTTTCCCAAGTGCAATGAGTTTCTTCTTGCAGGTAATTCCACCCGGAATGGAATTTCATCACATAGTTCCACATGATGGAGACATGGATAGTGAAACTGAAACAAATGAAAATGGGAAGTCTCCTGATCCACCTATTTGGACTGAGGTTAGACAGATGTGATTCCTCCAAATGCCATTTTAGGTCATTTATTTACAAATTTATCTTGAGCGACAATTTAATATATCATCCCTACTCCAACTGTAAGGACAGGTAATGCGCTTCTTTACAAATCCTAGGAAGCCTATGATTCTTGCCCTTGCCAGGCCAGATCCTAAGAAAAACCTGACAACCTTAGTCAAAGCATTTGGTGAATGCCGCCCACTAAGAGAGCTTGCTAATCTTGTAAGTAACACATTTATTAAGGCATCAGCTAGTGAGTTCTGTCTTTGTCATTTTGTGGAGAGTTGCACTTTCGTTGAATGTTTTTTCTGTTCCCTCTTTGCTCTTGCAGACCTTAATAATGGGCAACCGAGATACGATTGACGAAATGTCTGGTACGAATGCATCTGTTCTTCTATCAATTCTTAAGCTGATTGATACATATGATCTCTACGGTCAAGTTGCATATCCCAAACATCACAAGCAATCTGATGTTCCTGACATCTATCGTCTGGCCGCTAAGACCAAGGTACTTTACTATTCTCTAGTTTAAAGCTTGGCATGGCTAAACTAAAAGAATTACAAATTTCTGCCTAGAGTTCAGTGTTAAGGCCCTTGATTTAACTTGTGAGCTAAATTTCTTGGTACAAATCAAAGCCAGTCGACCGAAGGTTTGCTTTCAATTCTGTTCTTGAAAAATTGCTTTTTTTATAAACCGGTATTTCTTGGAGTTAAAAATTCCCTACCAGGGATATAATGTTGTGGACTTGATTACCAGTGATAATATATATATATATAGGTATATGCTTAATTCTTGTTTTTATTTATTTATTTATTTAGCTTTCTATCAATTTTCACTATTTAAAGGACAACCTGGTTGAAATAGTTTACAATGGATGTTAAATGAAGTTGCTAATGCATATGAATCACCACTTCTTTTTATCTTTTTGGTCATGACTGATGTGTTTATGAATACATATATTTATCTTCACTTGTCTTGATAATTTTGACAGGGTGTTTTCATAAATCCAGCTTTTATTGAGCCTTTTGGGCTAACACTTATTGAGGTATGCTCATTAGCTATCCGCATTGTGTCTAGATGCGTACAATGATGATTAGGCTGACTGGTTGTGGTTTTTCAATCTTCTACAGGCGGCTGCACATGGTTTGCCAATTGTTGCCACAAAAAATGGAGGTCCAGTTGACATTCACAGGGTATTTTGAGTTTTTTCCTACTCAAGAGTACAAGGATGTCATTGAATATATTGTCCCCCAAATATTGATTCATCTTTTTGTGGGTTTTTTTCTTTTTTTCATGATATGGCAGGTACTTGATAATGGTCTTCTCATTGATCCACATGATCAGCAATCTATAGCTGATGCCCTCTTGAAACTTGTAGCTGATAAACATCTCTGGACAAAATGTCGAGCAAATGGATTGAAAAATATTCATCTCTTTTCGTGGCCAGAACATTGCAGAACATATCTCTCTAAAATAGCAGCATGTAAACCCAGGCAGCCTCGTTGGCTGCGGATCGATGATGATGATGAAAATTCAGAATCAGATTCACCAAGCGACTCATTACGAGACATACAAGATATATCCTTGAACTTGAAGTTCTCCTTTGATGGAGACAAAAATGAGAGCAAAGAAAGTGCTGATGGATCCGCGGACCCTGAAGATCGTAAAAGTAAGCTAGAAAGTGCTGTTATGGCATGGTCCAAAGGTGTTCCAAAGAGTGCTCAGAAATCTGGATCTGCTACCGACAAAGGGGACCAGGGTTCAGGTAAATTCCCAGCTTTGAGGAGAAGGAAATACGTTTTTGTTATTGCCGTGGATTGCGATGCAAGCGCCGGTCTTTCCGAAAGTGTTGGAAAGATCTTTGAGGCATTTGAGAAGGAAAGGATGGACGGTTCTGTTGGATTTGTACTAGCCACATCCTTTAACATCTCGGAAATACGCTCTTTTCTGATTTCCGAAGGATTGAATGCTACTGATTTCGATGCATTCATTTGCAACAGCGGCGGTGATCTTTATTATTCATCTCTTCACTCGGAAAAGAATCCGTTTGTGGTGGACTTGTATTATCATTCACAGATTGAGTACCGTTGGGGTGGCGAAGGTTTGAGGAGGACTTTGGTCAGGTGGGCGGCTTCTGTAACAGACAAGAAAGGAGAAAAGGACGAGCACGTTGTTCTTGAAGATGAAGAGACTTCAGCCGATTACTGCTATACATTCAAAGTTCTGAAGCCTGAAATGGTAAAAATCTGTACCGTTAGTAATTATTTTCATCTTTTGGATTTCTAAAACGACTTATGCTCTACAATACTAACTGATATTTCCATCTTTTGCTGCCCGCGGTTTTTCTTTTACTAATTGTTTTGGTATTTCAGACCCCCCCTGTGAAGGAATTAAGAAAGTTAATGAGAATTCAGGCGCTACGATGTCATGTTGTCTGTTGTCAAAATGGAAGCAAAATCAATGTGATTCCAGTCCTGGCATCGCGAGCCCAAGCACTCAGGTACTATATATTTATATTGCGTGAAAATATGCAATTGTTTGGCTACTTTTCTTTCATATAAATCCCTGAGTATACATTATTGTTAGGACAATATTGTTAGCCTTGCCCCATCACACAGTTCACCTTGAACTGTCATTTTTTAGACCTCAGATTCCTCATTCTAAAAATCAAATTTACATTCAAAACATCACATCAATATTCATTTATATCTCAATCATGCAATTATTCTGATTTAAAATTTTTACTATTTAAATTTCAATCCAAAATTCAAACACGCCCTTAACAGATTCTTTTATGACAACACTTTTTCTTTGTTGTAATACATCGGGCGTAAATTTTGTCAGAGTATTGTCACTTAGTTCTAGTATTGTGAATCTATCTCTGTTTCCCACTGCTGGTATGCTACGGTATAGCCACAGATTTTGATGATTAGCCTAATTGAAAAACAATTCGGTACATCTTTGCAATAAAAAAAATATATTTAGAAAGTTGAATGGTCGCTGCTCTAACAGCAATGAATGCAGGGCATCTAGAAACTTCTAGTAGCTAGATTAGCAATAAGATTATTTCATTCACGGTTGTCGTTTTTCCTACATTACGGTTCCAATCACGACCATGATATGCACACGTGGTCATCACCCATGTCCGATTATTACCAGAAGAACTAATTCAGAAAACTCTCCTCATCAGGTACCTGTATCTCCGGTGGGGTATGGATCTATCGAAAGTGGTGGTCTTTGTTGGCGAAAGCGGGGATACCGACTACGAAGAATTACTCGGCGGCATCCACAAGTCTGTGGTGCTGACCGGAGTTTGTTCGACTGCATCTGCTCAGCTCCACGCTAATCGGAGCTACCCTCTCACCGACGTCGTATATTACGACAGTCCTAACATCGTGAGAACCTCCGAGGGATGCAGCAGCTCCGATCTCCAAACCACGTTGGAAAAGCTACAGCTCTGAGATCTATCTGTGGAGCAATACATACATGTTTGTGTTTCCGGGATGCGCCTGCCTGCGTACGGAAAATCAGGTACACTCTCGGACGATTATCCTACGTTGTAATAAATGTTTTTTCGTTACGATTCGAGGACTCATCCAACAAGTATTATAAATAGGAGCCCTTTTTTGGGGCTTGAAAATGGAGAGGGTTGAGTGGGTACTTGTGTTGAATGATCCCTTTGGAACGGTTTGCTTTCGAATAAAACATGTGTTGTGAGGCTTCGATGATGATTTAATTCGATGCCCCACTCTTTTCTATACATGTCAAGTTTGTTTCGTTGATGAATTTCCAAAATATTACTGCTTTGTACACAATAATTTTGCATATTTATCCCCAAACAAACTTGTTGCTTCTCTACCCGCGGAAATTCTATGTTGGCATTGGAGAAGTTTCTCTCAAATCGATCTCATAGCCATGAGTAGTTGATGATAACTCTCCCAATATATAAGCACTGCAATATCTTCCATTATATAACTAAAATTGCACGAAATATTGATATTATATTAGCACATAGTAAAAATGATGGGTAAATGATTTTTTTGTCCTTCGTGTATTAACTGACTTAATAATAATGAAAAAATATTATTTATGGTTATTTGAAACAGACAAAAATGGTAAATAAGAAATGAAAAACATCAAGATAACTAGAAAGACATCTCAAAAGAGTCACTATGTCTGCTCTAAGCCAGTAGATTTTTATAAGAAAAAATTTAATTGTAAAAATGGTCTAAGCAGTGTGAAGAATTAATTTGTAATTGTAGTCTCAAAATCCTTATATCATTATAATTTTTTAAATATAATATATAAGTATTTAATTTATTTTTTTTATTTTTTATAATAGAAATCATATTTAAATTTTACAAACAAACACAGCCTTCTTTTTTTTTTATTATATTTTATAATTTTATGTTATATAAATTTTTCTATTATTTAATATAAATAATGATATATTTTTAATTTTATTTTATTTTAAAAATAAATAATTTTGATATAAATATAGGGTGTGTTTCTTTAAGAGGTTTGGAAAATTTTGGGTTTCGGTTTAACTTTTATTTGAATTTTGAAGTGAGTTTGAACTTATGTGTATTTTTTTTTTGTTTAAGTTTGGGTTAAGTTTTGAGAGTTTTGATATGTATTGATTCGATGAATAATGAATATAATAATATAAATGTGTATTAAATTTAATTGATAAAATTTATATCGCATGATTTGATTATACATTTATATTATATACAATATATATATTTAAATTTTTATTTATTAATATTATAGAATATTTTATTCTTTATATAATAATAAAGCTTTAAGACAAAACTTTGTCGGCAGTATGTCTGCTGGGTAGTGGACAATCTAACTGCTTGCTAAGTAAAAACTCCAAGTTGAACAAAGGCATCCGTATATTTTTAAGTAGACAATATTATAACATGAAAGGTTTGAGAAAATTTTGTAAGATTGATTTGTAGATGACATGCTATATGGGGTGTTTTTATTATTTTTAGTAAAAATATATTATTTTATTTCATATAATATTATTTTAGTGTTTTATTAAAATAATAACTTAAATTCAGTTTTTTTTTAAAATAATCCATGGTAAATACATAGATCGGATCTGTCGATCTGGTCCAATATGGGCCGGGCCATAACCGGGCCCGACCCAGTTGTTGCCCTACCAAACCCCAACGCGCATTTCCATTCACACTCAGAGTCTTAAAAATCGAAGCTTTGCAATTTTCACCCGTACTGCAGTGGCAGCAGGAGAGATTCGATGGCAGACGAGAGTGACGCCGCGAGAGGTGGCTATATGAACGTGCCGATGGGCTCTTCGATTCCTCCCGGCGGTGACACAGTTTGGGCCGATGTTTCGTCTCTTCTCCGCCTCGCTTGCGACGGTTCGTTTCTCTCACTTGTCAGTTTCTGGGGTTTGTGAATTCTTGATGGTATTTGCTTGGTAATGGGTGGGTTTGATTTAGCGTGGAGAGGTTTTCTGCAAGTTACACAGTATGGTCACTGTTAGAAATGGAAGTGTTATACATAGTGTAAGGAACTTACTGAAGCTTTTTATTTGTCTCCATTAGCTGATGAAGCTCGCTTAATTTTTTGGTTTTTAAGCTGAACGAAGATCAAACACTGCTAATCTGATTGTAGCTCGTACAGTATATTGAGATGCTTGTCCTAGTTGTGATCATATATATAAATGTATGTTTGGCTAAAATTGAGTTAATTTTGCATTCTGATGGTGGATGATTAATTTTTAGGAGGAAAGATATGTAGCCATGGTGCAGGGATAGGGTTATGGGTTGCCTGCCTAATTGAAGCTAACTGAAATTAGAGGATACCTGCAAATTCATTAATATTCACTTGCAAACAAATCCAACAATGTTACTCATAGTTTTGGTAAGTCGAAATCCTTAATTCAAGAGTAAAACATATGTGAGGATTTGAATCAAGAACTAATGCCAAAGACCTGATTTGAAATGGATAATCAGGTGCTATAAATCTCTTGCAAGCACTGAAAGTAAGAAGGAAGTACAAAGGGTATTTTGATCTAAAATTGTCAGAGAGGTCGTTATTGCTTGGATCATCCTCCCATGTATGGTTATGGTAAATTAAATGCTAATATCTAGAAGAACAATACAAATGTCTTATATGGAAAGTAGTTGGAAAGCTCAAACGTGTCCTCGAGGACATGAGGTGTTGGTGCGGAAAATCCGTGTCGGGTAGTGGCCATTTAGACGTTGGTTTGAAGCGCATTTAAGATTCATCAAAGTACACTGGGTTTGGCAGCAAGTTGGGATGGAGCTAGTTGTGTTGTGTTGGTTTGTGACTTAGGCAGAGTGAATTGGGCTTAGCTGTCAGCAAGTTCCAGTGAGTTAAGCAGCTGAAAAGGTCTTTAGCAAAATTCTAAGCAGTTTAACACCCATGTGGGTTGACTTTTCTTTTTCTAGACAGCGTCAAACAACTCTTGAACGGTGGGAACCTTGGGTCCACTACTTGAAAACTCAAAAAACAGATTAGTATTTGTGCATTAGTGACTTGGTTAAACTTAAGCAGGTTCGCCTTGTACTTAATTCTAACAAGATGTCAATCTAGTTAGTTGTCCATCTTAAGTGAGTTTGGTATCCTCTTGCTCTCAGTAGTTCCGCATAACTTTAGTGATTTCATTGTGAGAAGGTCGACTCGCTCTAGCTTGACTTGGACTAATTTGACTTCCATGTAAGTGATAACCATTTCTGCTTAAATCCCATAACATTTGCAATCAAGTGGGTCGGCCTAGACCAAGTGCAAGGATTGCAATGATCTCCATTTGGTCCAATCAAAATAAGCAAAAATGCATCTCATTAAGTTTCAACTCCTTATAAAATTATTAAGGAGAATAAACGCAAATTATTGAAAATTTGGGATAGAATTGCTATTGTCGTCCAAGCCTAGTGATGGGTTTTCCTTCAATCACTTAGGTAGTGATTTCAGCAAGTTGGACCACAGTTAAGAAGGGTGTGAGGGGCCTCCTGGTTTCCTCCTCTAATTGCCTAGCCAGGATGGGACCAGCTTTTGAAATTTCATGCTTGGCTACAAGTCATTCGGCCTCATCATAGGCAGGCAGATTGGATTTGATGCATGTTATTTCCTCGCTCTTAAAAAGGGCATTTTATTTGTTTAAACCCAGGTGCTCATCTCCTGCATTGAAGAGGTTTAATTTTGCAACATTGTAATTATTATGGCTTTGATGCTTGGCTACTTAAATCACTGCACGTAGTTGGTTCGTTCAAGTATTGGCTACTTAAATCAATGCGTGTATTTGGTTCACTCAAGGACATGAAACGAAAAATGAACCATCCCTGTGCTGTTTCAGCTTGGGCTTTTTACGGCTTTGGACATAGCTCCTTGCATAAGTGCAGCTACACCCTGTTGTTTGGTTGGAACACCATTTACTTACTGAATAAATTTTCAATTGAGATTGATTTCAATTGACTACAATAGGACAATTATGTCCATAGTTGGCCTTGTTAGTATAATTCTCGGCAGCCTGTTGCAAATTTGAGCAAATCTGTTGAAGGAAACAAAGTCATTTCTTTGCATAAAATTTTTTCTGTTCATTGCTGGAGAATGGCAAGAGATCCAGAGTGGTTAGCGGATTGAACCCATAAACTATCTTAACTAGTAAGCAGTTACTGTCCTGGTGACTTGTCCGATTATAAACTAATTCAGCAGGAGTAAGACAGTCTTCCCAATATTTTTGATTGTCTTGGACTAAGGCATGTTGTGAAGCACCTAAAATCTTGTTCACTAAATTACCTAAACTATCAAATATATCACTATTCACATACAGATAGAATTGGAAACATGGAATAACTTTGTTTAGCCACTTGTTTTATTTACTTCTAATATGAATAGCCTGTGATAGTTTTACTTGGTTTTCGAAGATGTGATTTACTTGTAACAGAAATCCTTGTTCCAAGAGCTTTGTTAAGTTTATAGATTGCTTACTTTTGAAATCATAGTTTTGGATGGGAAAATGATCTTTAAGTTTGCCTTCCAAGAACTTCAGTTTTATGATAAATTTTTAATTTAAATTTCATTACTGCATTTTATATTCGTAAAAAAGCCTATACCTTAATGTTATTTTCCGACAGATCTCAATTTTGATGAGCTTATACATGGAGAAAACTTTAATCTGTTCGCGGCGATGTCTGCTTTAGAGGTAATACTTACTCTTTTCCTTATAGAGATTCTGAAAACTTCATTACATTGTGTTAGTGTAAAATATTGAAGAAGGAACATAATTAATCACTTGGAGCCAAAAAAAAAAAAAAATTTAAACTTTTCCTTGCTTCAATTCCTAAGTTAAAATCTGGTTGTTGTGATGAATTTGCATGAAATATTATGACTAACTCCTTCCCTCTTTAGAGGCTACATGCACTTGAATGAAAGTTAAACAAGTTACCCTGTAAATGTATTAGGTGACCGAAAACCTTTTTATGACTTGATTATTGTGGGTTCTTAAAGATAGTCTATTTCTGTGACCATTTGAGTCTATATAATGATAGGTTGCATTTTTTTGGAATGTATATACTTCCTATCAATAATATGCTGTAATGACTCTACAATGTCTGCGGTCCTATAGTTGGTATTTATTGTTGGAGAATCCATATTTTGGTGGTCACGTGCTTAATGATGTGACGTGATTGTATTTCTTCTAAAAAAATACTATTTCCTTATGCTCTTATTCTTTATTCCTCTATAGCTCCAACAAAAGCATTCACTTTGGAACCCATTTAAGTCTAAGGGATAATGGTTGATATGTTCAACTGATACAACCTTCTATATGTGGTTTGATAATTGAAGAATTACCAATAATGTCTCTTTACACCACTGTTTAGTTTTCAAATGGAAAATTTTGGTGATTTTCTTTTATTTCTTGAAGTTTTTTGACAAAAAATGCTCACAGTTTGATATACTAACAGCTGTAATAATAATAACAACAACAACAACAACTGTAAAATGAGTTGGCACCGTTCATGCTTCTCGGTATTTGAGATAACACAGAGATATTGGGTTTGTTTGGTTTGGGGTTTGGATGGGAACAATAAAAGTTTGAAATGAAATAGGGTTTTCATATGATGTAAACAGGTGTTTGATGTGCCGTTTTGAATAGATATTTGATTTTTAATGTACTATTTTAAATAAAAAATTGGTGTTTTATTTGATGGTTTTGAGCAGGGCAAAATGATGAATAGTGCGAGTCCTCCAAACAAACAAACCTATTGTGTTTATTTGGTTTATGTTAGAAGTTTCTTTACTCTGCTTCTCATTCTTTTGTCATTTTTCACATCTTGCAATATTTAGAATCTGTTCCTAATGCATGCATTTTATTTTAACTAGATAATGGACCCAAAGATGGATTCAGGTATTGTTTCTACGTATTACTCTGTTGATGAAGCCATTGATAAAGGTGCTGCTCCTGTTCCATTAAGCTATGATAGAACGATTGACATTCAGTGTATAATTGACATAATGGACCATCTTCTAGCTCTTGAGGTATGCCTACGAATCATTAATTTAATCTGATGGTTGCTTGTGACTTGCGAGTAGCAAAGCAAAGCCATTCCTGATTGGTCATTGCTATTGCAGGCAACATGGCATAAGGGGGGTTCATTGGCTCAAACCGTTTTCTCTTGCATCTACCTGTTGAGGCCTGAGAGAACATCATCACATGCTTTGCTGCATTCATTCTGCAGAATCATTCGTATAACTTGCAATGCTGTTGTTTCAGCTGTTTTAGATGCACGAACGAATGAAGTAAAGTACTTCAACGAATCTTTGCTTTTTTTTTTTTTTTTTAATGGAGAGTTTCTATTATGAACATATTGTGTGTTAGTAAATTTATGCGAAAAGTAATTTTTTATTTGACAGCACAGTTAAATAAGACATGCCTATGGACCTGTACCATCTTCTCTTTATAGGTTTTAGAAATTTCAAAAACACACAAAAAAAAAAAAAGGTGCTTCATGCTGAAGATGCTGTACAAGAACGCTAGCTTTTATGAATCCTTTGGTCAACAAAATTACTAGACATGTTAAATTGTTACTTCTATTTTTAATTTTTGGGTCTCTGAGATTGTGATCTTGCTATTGATTTGAAAGATATTAGAGGTGTCTAATGGCATTGATTTAAAGAAATGTTAGCCTCGTAACATATTAGTGCCCTGTTGCTTCGCATCATGTTGTCGAATAAACAACCTTTAGTGATTTTTTATCCAATGTTGTGAATATCAAGGATAATATTATTTGATATATTAGATGGCAGCTGCTGGAATTTGGCGCAACCAATGATACTTATAATTAAATAAAATTTTAAAAAATTCTTAAGGTCTTAAAATATGTACCCAGTATTAGTTATATTCGATGTTAATAACTTCCTCTTTTATGAGATTCTGGACTAGATCAATCGGTTAAAAACTTACCAACCTGGATGAACACTATTACTTTCATCCTTGCATCATTTGTTTGTTTTTTCTCAGTATAAATTTTCTTGATTGTTTGCCTGAATTCTGTCAGTTATGATCTATAACAATGTATTCTTCTTGTACAGGAAGAAGATCTTTTCACCATGGCTTATGGTCTACCATTAAAAGTCGATGGAGATGAAAAATGCTTATCTATGCTTCATGCAATTGAAGAAACAATTTGTCGCCAACTGAAAGCTTGTAAAGCATCCTTGCCTAAAAGGAGAACTGTAGAAGGTACAGGGTTGCATTGACATCTCTTAATGATAATTTATTGTGATGATGTTTATAAAACTTCCAGCTAATATAATTTATCTACTTAAATAAATAACAAGTATTGGTTTTTTTTTTTTTTTTTTTCATTTTGATTTGAGTTTGAGATTTGATTTGAAGTTTGGTTTAAATAGTAATTTGATGTGATGTTTTGTATTGGGAACTGTTTGAGCTGAATAGTGTTGATTTTAGTTTTAAATCAAAATCAAACAAACCCCTTGTTACTTTATTATTATTCAACTGATTTTGTTTCTAATCGATGAAGCAACAAGTATTGTTTGTAAAACTTACTCTTGGCCTGCTATTATTATTAATGTCTCTACCTACCCAATCAATTTTGTGTATTTTCAGTGTGAATTATAGTTTGAAGTATAGATAATCGATATTATTGGCATGAATTAGTAATTGTAAATTCATTAAATCCTAGAACCTTCTCATGTATCTTTGGTTTTTTAGCATATAGTGTTTTTCTATGGTACCATTGCCTTGTGAATGTTATTTATTTATCATTTTTTTCCTTAGAAGATCTAGAAGTCAAGATTGGTTTTTCTACCTGTTTTATGCAGATGTAGAGCCACTGCAGAATAATCCTGATCTAGAAGAAGGACTTTGCAAAGCTGTTTTATGCCGTTTACGTTTTCGTAAGGTCTCATCTTTGTATTATGTCTGTATTGTCCAACTACAATTTCAAAGGCTTTAAATTAGGGTTGATACTTTTTTATTCTCTACTCCACTAGAATGCCTCCTGGATAATGTTTTTGTGCTAGTGCTCTTAAAATGGTAACTTCAGCAGCTAAGAATCGTAGTTAAGAAATTCAGTGTGTATGGAAGAACAGAGAAGATTGAAAATAGTATTTCGTAAATCATGAAGAAATGATAGGACCGATATTCTCTTTCTGTTAGTTGTACATTGAAAAACCTAGCTAAGAATATAAGGATGGTGTTGATGATTATTGTGAGGATCGCAGTAGAAATTATTCTTTCTAAAATATAATCCAGCCAAATACCCAGGAGAATTTAGAAGTTGCTAAAAATTGTGCTGGTGCTTGTTGATTTTCCAAATGGTTAGCCACTTAACAGCCTCATTGCCTCAGATGATCTCATAATGACAATTTCCTTGAAAATAAATGCTATAGCATCCCTGACATATAAAAATGGAAGCATCAAGGTTAAAACTTACCACGGATCATGTTAAAATATAGAGTTCAATAGGTGAAATTTGGTAAATTTTTGTTTCTTCATTTTCACTAAAATGATTTTTGGTCAATTTTCTGTATGCCCAGCATTTTTACCATGTGCTGATGTGTTTGAGGAAGCCTCAACGCAAAGGGTTAGAGTTAGCTCAAAAACATATTGTTTGTTGCTCGTCTGAGCTAGACGCTATGCTTAAGTCAGAAGATTTTCTGAGGCAAAACAGTGCAAGTGGAACTTCAGAGGACTATATAGAAAATAAAACAACAGCCTCTGGTTGTATGCCAGTAGGTTTTGATTCTACATTGAACAGTAGATCTGCTGCCCCAACCCCACCTCGATCAATTAAACTGCTCAGCTGGATAAAGGTTAGTGACAAGGAATTTGCGATTTAACATTAAACATGATATGGGGAAGTTGAATTTTTCTCTGTAATTTTTTGTTGCAGGCTGTTAATTATTTTCAGGATCTTCTTCGTGATCTGGAATTCATATGTTCTTGCTCCTTGGATCCTGCTTTTGATTCTGCCTTGCGTTTTATTGTTGACTTTCAGAAGCTTCAACCAGATTTAGTTGCTAGAGCTTATGCCCAGGTTTGCTTCTGGTTGGAAGCCATATTGATAGAGAACGAGTTTTGAAGCTTAATAACATTTTGTTGTTTAAACTTGCATTTCCACCTACTAGGTTTAGGGTGACTTAGAAAGTTCTTACAATTGCAATGGAAATTAAATCTGTATGGATGCCAAGATTGATGCCACTGGGGATTATTTATAGGCCTTAACAATTTTTTTAAAACAAACTTCATGGTGCGAATAGTAACCCTAAGATGATTTTGTGGAACAGAAGTAATAGGGCTCTCTCATGGTTAACATTTTCTGTACTTGCTGATTTATGCCAAATCGAGCCAGTGGTCCCTCATTACTTTGCCTTTGTTATATGCGATAAACACATGATTGAACTATCTTTAAATTTATTTGACCAACTGGTTGCTCAAGTCTGAAAACTTAATGTCAGCTTCTGCTGGTTCAAGATGGGAAATTGTATGGACGTGAACCTATGTTTGCTGTTATTTGCAAAGCTGCCCTGCTACCTGATGGGACAAAGAGTCATGATCTCCAAAATAATGAAACTTTTGTGCAATTAGGGCAGGTGAATTCCTTGCTATGTATAAATTTCTATAAGCTGATGTCAATCATTTTATTTTATTTTTATTTTATATTTTCCGATTATAAATGCATGTGAGGTTGTTGTTTGAAGCTAGCATTTGTATCTTCTACTATATTTTCTCTTTCTACTTAGATTGCTTGCTTGCTTGCTCTCAATCCGTACTTATGAGACTGAAATTCTAATGCAGTCATTTTTACTCATGCAGTTAGTGATAAGTTTGCTGAGAGTTCTATGTGCTAACATGGCATGGCAAAGGCGTAAACTTGGGAAGCTCTTACAGGATTGGCAAGTAATATATGTACAGGTTTGTCAAAGTGATGTTTTTTTTTTTTCTTTTTTTTTTGGTGTAAAATAATCTTATTTGCAAAATTAGTCTAGATATTAAGATTTAGGAAGTGATAGGTGACCATCACTCCGTAAACTGTGCCAAATGAACCAATCTAGAACACTTAAATTAAGAACACTATAATCAATCTTGAAGCTCGATAAATGATAACACTTACATAGTGCTTGATTCATGTCTTTATCTTATTTTTTGGGTTAATCACTTTTTTTGCCCCATCATATGTGTCATTATTGCTCCTTTAACAATGGGATACAATTCTCTCCCATTTGTTACAATATGCTACAATATGGTTCTTTTTAATACTTTATTATTCTTGTAATTTCAATTTGTTAGAAAATTTAGTTTGAACAGTATAAATATGATATATGTATTAAACATAGTGATGATTGTGAACATTTTTAGATAAGTTGCTAAAGTGACCCATATAATTAACACCAGAGACCAAACTGGTTTTTAACTATATGTTGTTTAAATAGATGGAATTGGCATTCAGAAAGGAGTTTGGAGATATCACAAGCACATCCATCTATCAGGTATATGCCCCGTTCCCCTGAATGCAAATCTGTCTTTTTTTATTTTCATTAATTTTTAAAAATTTATCTTTGTTGTGCAATTAATATTATTATTGACTGGAATAATTTCATGCCTTTGCTCATTTATGTCAAATTTCTTTGAGATGTGAATTTGCGCCTTCATTCCTATGGTCTTCACTTCCTTCCTGCAGAATCCATTTGCGAAGATCTTCAGACACATTCTCATTTGGGTAGAGGAGCAAACATACTGGATAGCTTTGCGTTTCCTTGTGCTGGGATTCGAGCTAGAGCTGTACTCGACCAGTGAATATTGCATGGTGTATTGGTACATTTATGTTGTTCTGGTCAAACTCGCTGAGAAAAGTCATCTCAAAATGATGCTGAGCAATGAATCTAGTGAGTACATACTGAGTCTCTTGAGTCTCTTCATTCATTTTAATACAAAAGAGTAGTGCACCATTCAATCTGGAGGATGAGTTATGTGCTTTATAGAACAAACGGGTGATATGTAATTCATAAAGCCGACCCAGAAAGCTGGATAAGGCATAGATCTTGGTGATCGTGATAATCACGATGGTAACATTTGTTTTGCCTTAATGAATTCAACTCTGAAGTTCTGTTTCAGCATACTATTTAAAAAAAATTATTATATTTTTAAGAACCCTAAAGATCAGATTTGATATCTTTCAAGCTTTCTTATGATAGTTAAACCCCTTTTGTAAAGCACAAGTTTCTCTTTCAACAGTATTTTTCTATAAACTGAAGTAGCGTCTATAATGTTTGGATGTTTGCTAGAAAATATAACCGAGCATGTTCCTTTAAGTGTATTAATTATTCTGCAGTTTAGCCTTTCTTACATATGTTTTATCTGCTTCTCTAGCAGGTCGGCGGAAATCGAAAAAGAAGAAAAATTTTGTTAAGGATGCGGCAAATGACTATCAGATCCCAGCCGCTGTCTTATTGCTTCAGTGCTACATCTATGTTGCAGAAGGTCTTATGATGGTAACCACCGTCTGTTGTCATTTGATGATGTATAGAAGTTAAGATTACCATGAACGATGAGAACAGTGTCTTAAAGTTATAAATATTTCTGTTGAATGTCTTTTAGTTCTACCATTTAAGGATTTTCATTGATTTTATTTGGGACTACAATTGATTGACCATCTAACCATTGAAATTCACATACAAAACTTTCAGATGCTTGCTGCTTTGAGGAATGAAAATGGAAACTTTCTCTGTCGGGGCCCTTTTAACACCGAGCAAGAGGTATCTTTCTTCAACTTGTCTTTTTCTTTTTTTCCCTTTTGTCGCAACCAAACCTTGTGATTGACTGATCGGCATACTATTCAATTGTCCTCTCAATTCTTCAATTTTTCGTCATATATAATGTTGTTTGTCGTTGTCCTTTATTTATTTATGATGCCAATTTTCGTAAATTTCTTATTTTTCCCAGAGATTTCTCCAGCACTTTGAGCTATTGCAAAAGGCTTGCCTTCCCGACAACGTATCATTCCTTTCATTCATGGAAGCTACGGCCCATATTCGATTCTCTGTAAGTAATTCTGAATTGCCTGCTTAGATTATCTTCTTCTTGTTTTCTTTTGATTCGACTCTTATCTCATTTTGCAGACTCTCTCCATGTATGATTGCTTCAAAGATGCTCAGAGAATAGCCAAAGATCTTCGGGGCAATTTTTCTAGTGATCCGGGAAGAATCGAAGAGCTTCGCCGCATCGAACAGGTGGCTGAACATAACGCCGTTGCTCTCAACCTTCTTTCCCGGTTAGGCGCTCTTGAACCTTCACTTAAGACATCGTTTGAATTTATTCACCATCCGCACTTTGCTCTTGCCGTTGTGAAGAGGTCTTGATGATCCGAAAAATTTTGGTTATTGATTTTAGGTTCCCTGTTGTAGCTTTTTGTTAGATTTTTGCATTTTCTTCATTGATTTGCCTTTCCTCCTTCAAGAAGTGTATAATCGTGCAATTTCCGAATTCGATAGAAAAGAATATATTGAAGGATGTTTGCATTTTATGTGGTGAGTTTTTTATGGTTTGATAGGATAAGAATACTCATAACCATTCCTTGATTTTTATGAAAAGCTCTTGTTGTGAATTTTTGTGATTTTTTTTTATACAAGTACAATGCTCGGATTGAACTCGAAAAAATAAAGTTCGAGTTGAGTATCCAATATAGGTCGAGTGTAATATCGAATTTGAGTTATAAGTTAGGATTGAACTCGAAAAAATTAAGTCCGGGGTGAGTATCGAGTAATGATATTTTGTATACCAAGGTATATTATTATCGTACTGAAGTTTGGTACTCACTCTGTCCGCCTCCGCCTCCAAGAGTCGCATTTAATTTTTGCATTGTTGTACTTATATTAAAAATATTCCAGTATATTTGTATAATTTTTTTTGGACAAATGGTTTTCTATTGGTATTATGAGACACCAATAATAAAAGTATTTTTGTAATTTTTTCTTAATTTATACTATATTTTGATATAATAATTAATATTAAAAAATTAGAAAAAAAAAATAAATGTGATATTTAGAGCCGGGCCGGAGTTAGTAATATAAAAGGTTTGGTATGTATTGTAAATCCGATATTAACTTGCATTTGGTATATTATGGAAATACCAAATAAAAAAAAATAATTCATTATTGAATTAGGTTTAAAAAATAAAATATTAATATGTTTATATTGTCGTTTTTAATTATGATTATTTTTACTATTTTTAGTTGTTTTTGGGTTTTCAGTATATTTTAAAATTTGCATTAATTTTGAAATATTAACTTTTCGCATGATATACGGTTAGCATAGGTATGAAAATTTTATACAGTAATTATCGGTATTTCGAATATTTAGGGTTTGTTTTTTTAACTCTAAACTTCAGTTTTTATTATTTGGGTTATGTGTTTTTTTTACAAAAATATCTCAACCATAAGTTATTTTAATAAAAAATTCAAATCAAAATTTTTTTAAACTATATCAAAAGAAACGGACTCTTACTATGTTATCGGTATGATGTTTTTCTCGTATGAATGATATAAAAAGTTATATAGTATATATATATATATATTTTTGAAAATATAAAATTCAAATATTAAAATTATAGGTACCATAATGATTACAGCAACTACACTCTTACAATAGTATATGATAAATTTATTTAGGGATAATAAATTGAAAAATGGATATTAGTGTTTTATATATATTGTAAATATTTTATTTTATATTGGAAAATGAAAACAAATATGAGAAAAATCAAAGATAAACAAATAATTAATCCACAAACTTTCATAGTCATAGTCATAGTCAAATTAAAAAAGTTGCTAGTCCTCAAACCCTTGCTTGGTTTTATCTATAAACATTTAGAAAGAAAATTCTGCCAAATACATTCTAGAAAGCATTCACAAATCAATCTAGAAAAATTAATTGACTTTTAATTATTCAATTTTTATTCTCTAGATAATTTTTTTTTTTTTTTACATAATCAAACATTGTTTTTAATTTCATCAAAAAGAAGTAATTAGATGCATTATCCTTACTTTGCATTTTATTTTATCAGACATTATTCACTCAATGTATATAACATAATTTCAGGTTTATTTACTTTGCATTTTTTTTTTATTTTTTATTATATAATAACAAAATATTACATGAAAACCCTATTAAACCAATAATTAAAATAAAAACTATAAATAAAATCATATACTAATTCAATAGTGATACACAATTCAAGCAAAATTTATTATGAAGTCAATATTATACTCCCTCCGTCGTCCCAGAGCTATAGTCTTGGTTGTATTTGACACGAGATTTAAAGAATATTTATATTATATTAATAGTGGCTAAAAAGTACGGGTAAAAAACTTCTTTGCCCTTGTGAGTGTATTAGTGTAAAAAGTAGTGATAATTGTGTAATAATAACGAAAAAGTAAGGGTAATTTTATAGTGATATGATTATTTATTGAAATGAGACTAATGTTTTGGGACGAACAAAAAATAGTAAACAAGACTATTGTATTGGGACAAAGAGAGAGTAAGATATATGTCAACAAATATTGAATTTATTAAGTTTTTTTATATATAAAAAATTTCATTCTTCCACTCAAAAAATATTTGTTTTTATACCTTTTGATAGTTAAAATATAAAATATTATTTTTTAAGTATGAATAGTAGACTCACTAAATATTATCATGACACTTAAATGTATTTATATTAATATTATTAAATTAAATTAAATTAAATACAAGGATAAGATAGGCTTTAAATACATAAGTATTTTCAAATACTATTAAAATACAATATTGGTTAGATTTAGGCAGAAAGTAAACAAAGATTAATGAGTTTGTTTGTTGAGTTTTAGCCTGTTTTATAAATAGTAAAATTTTAAAATTAGAATGATTTTTTTACGTAATATAAATAAATATTTAATATTATATTGTAAATAAAAATAAATTTGAATAAAAGAAAATAGAAAAATAATATGTAATGTAATATTATTTAAGGAGAAAATATAATGTAATGTGTTTATTCTCTTTACACACTCAAGGATTAAAAATATCACATCATCAATAGATTTATTTAATGCATTTTAATAATAATAATAAGGGTAAAGTATTTTTTTTAGTCTGGACTTTTTTATCATTTTAGTCTCGTAAGTGGAGCATGTCGCAACCTAGTCTTATAAGTGAAAATTTTTTGTTGTTTTAGTCCTCTGGCACCGGAGACGTCCGCGTGGCTCGCGAAGGCCCGTGTCCGCCACACGTGGATTTTTTTTTCATTTTTTTAAAAAATTTATTTTTAATTGTATTTGTTTTTTTTTTAATTTTTTTATTTGGTTAGTTAAAAAAAATTAAAAAATTTAAAATAATAATAATAAAAAAAATCCACATGTCTGCCATGTGTCGCTCACCTGGCGGGACACCTGGTGGACATGTGGCCTCCAGTGAGCCACGCGAGCGTCTCCGGTGAACCACGCGGGCATCACCGGCACCGGAGGACTAAAACAACTAAAATTTTTTAGAATTAATTTGATACAGTTCCACTAAAAAACAGTTTATCCTAATAATTATAATAATAATAATATTAATAATAACCAATAGATTCCGGACAACTTTGGTTGGCTTTGATTTGTTCCTTTTGGTTTTATATAATTAATTAGTCGTTTCATTTCACATGAAAATTAATTATTAACTATAATTATTGAATTATTAAATTAATGTATAGTAGCAAAATTAATTGGAGAAAAAAAAAAAGTATTGTATTATTATTATTATTATTTGTTTAAATACAGTGTCAGTTTCATAACGGAACAAGAATTATTCCATGGAGGGGCTAAAAGTATTTTTGTGATAAAAAAAATTAGATACTTTTATATATTTTTTAAAATTTTTAGTTAAATTATTTAATTATTTTAATTTTAATTTATAATTACTATGTATTATATTCTTATTAGTTTTACTAATAAATTTTTAATTATTTATTAATTATATATTTTCAGATGATGTTACATCATAGAAGGGAAGTCTATTATAAACCTTTCTTTTATAAAAATATTAATAATTAGTTTTAATAAAAAAAAATCACATAAAACATATTAAATTATATATATATAATCACTCTAATATGTCTTCATTATATTTCAACTAAAATCTATGATTAAAAAAAAATTAAAACAGAGCAGAAAATGCATGCAGTAAATATAGATGGAAGTATATTATCATGCAAATTTTAGTAAATAAAACAAAAAATATATAATCTAATAAAATAATCACTAGAGTTTATATGTCCTTTGAAATTAATTAAATAATATATTAATTTAAATTTTTATTTAAATAAGATCTTAATATAATACTTTAATTTTGTTTTCATTGATTATTATGTTAATTTCTAACATAAAATAACAAACTCCATATTTGCAAAACTTTCCCATAAAAGAGTCACTACCGACAAATTATTACCGTTTATATGCGTTGTAGTGCACATTAATTAATGTTCTACAGATACAAATAAATAAATAAAATAATAATAATAATAATAATAAATAAATATTGAGGGCGACGGCCAAGCAGAACAAATTCATTCATTGATTCAACTGAAGACTATTCTTCTGGAGACACCAAGACGAAGACAACCCAACCCCACCCATCCATCCACACAAATACGCCTCCCTTCCTCCTTCCTGCATTTCGCATTTCTTCTCAGCTCAATCAAGGTCTGACTCAACACTTTTCGATCTCCTTTTTCTTCTAATTATTGCTGCGGATTCAGCTCGGGACCGATTCATTATTGTGCCTTTGTTTCGTTATTTTGCTGTTTTTCGAATCAGTGCGATCACTTTGCCTGTTGGTGAATTTTCGGATTTGATTTTCGTTGTTCTGGCTGAATTGTGTGTGTGTTTGTTTGTTTTGTTTGATTTCTGTTTTGAATTTTAATTTTGATTTTTGAGAATTGTTCTTCGTTTTTATTATTATTATTATTTTTTTTTTTAATCTGTGGGGCTGCTTTGAGTTATTTGTATTTTGGGGGTTGAGCTTTGTGTAGTGATAGAGCTGATATCTGTGAAGGTATTTTTATGCACAAAATTCAATCTAATTGAAGATTAGATTTAGGATTTTTTTTAGATTTATATTTAGATTCTTATGTTGTGAGTGAATTTGATCAAGAGTGACTTTTTTACTTTAAAGGTTTGAGTGGGTAACAGTTTATTTACTTTCATTTTTATTTTTATTGTTCTTTACCTTACCCAAATCTCCTTTTTGCTGTTTGGTATATTATTAATTGTTGTAATGTTATGGCCTTGGTGATGTAATTAGATTTTGGTTAGATCTTTGCCATTTGGAAGTGAAATTGTGGGGCATTTGTTGAATTGTTCACTTTTCAGTAGAAGATTCTTATTTGTAATTTAGTGTCTTTTTGAAGTATGTCTGAGATGTATTTAATGAAACTGCAGCATTTAATTGTTTATTGGAATCCTTTTGTAGAATTTGGAGAGAGGATGTCAAGTGGGGGAACACAAAACAGTTTAAGGAAAACTCTCGGGGCTCTTAAGGACACTACCACGGTTAGTTTGGCGAAAATTAACAGCGACTACAAGGTAATGATTGAATTCTTGTTATGCACAATATATTGAAGCTGCATTTTATGTATTAGCGATTGATAACTTTATTTGATTGCAGGATTTGGATATTGCCATTGTGAAGGCAACAAATCATGTCGAACGCCCGGCAAAAGAGAGACACATAAAAGGTACTATATCTTAAAAGAGAAGATAACTATGTGTCACTGTTCATCGTGATTTTAGAGTTTGTTCTCATTGTACCCAGGAGACATTACTGATCGACTGTGCAATTTGATTTTCAGCTGTATTTGCTGCTATATCGGCCACTCGGCCACGAGCTGATGTTGCCTATTGCATACATGCCCTTGCTAGGAGATTGGCGAAGACTCATAATTGGGCGGTATGTAATTGCGACAATGTCGTCATTGTGCTTATGGATGATGTAATGGATATAATAATAATTGATACAAGGCTGGTTAGGTGAAGAAATGTGAAGTTTCTTGAATATTAGGAGGCATTGGCTTTCATGGTGACGAAATTTAGTGGCTACGCCAGCTGGTTGGTTTTAGCTTTAAGTCTATCTTGTCCTTTTCGGCTCATGCTTTTAAAAATATTCCTTTCCCCAGGGTGGTTAAATACTATTTTCAAGGTTAACACAGAAAAAGGGGTGGTGGGGGGGGGGGGGGGGGGGGGTGATCATAGGTTCGTAACTCAATTTGTAAGAGACTAAGAGTTAACTAGGGAGCAATTTATTTTATAAAGTCAAGTAGAATATAGCGAACTCTTCAAAATTTCAATCTAATTATTTAAGTGCAACCATCTAAACTATCATCATTTTCTATAGATTGTTTCAATGCTTCAGGGGTTTGGTGTGCCGTTTCTTGGGTTCAACTAAATTTAAGTGTTTTTAATTCTGGATGCAGCGGTTGTATGTTGAACCGTAGATTTGGAAGTTTCAACCAAATTGAAACAAGATATTAACATTGCCTTTGCCCCTCTCATGACAAGAATCACAGTTTTGACTCTTTTTAAACTAACTTTATGATGTCTCGGAATTGTTACAGTACCTCATCTTGCATTGTTTGGGGGACATTCTAGGGGCTTAATTGCTTCCTTTTTTTAACTTCTAGCTCTATAACGACATTCTAGCTCTATTGATTGATATTGATGGACTCTGGCACTTGAATAGAAAATTGTGCTATTCAAATTGGCAACTGAATTCAGAATGTAGAGGTGAAAACAAAGAACAAAAGAAAAATTGCAGTCTTTTGCTTTGGTTTTTCAACCTTTTTGACGGGTAAAATGTGGGTGTTTTCTTGGTGTTAAGTTTTCTGATAGCTCAATGATGATTAAATGATGTGTTGTACGCTTAGTGTTTCATGTTTGAGCTGCGACCACAGTAGGCATAGCCTTGTGATGGAGATTTGACCTCTTTCTTGGCAACAAACTGACTCGGTGATATTAGTAAAGTTGTGTCTTACTTGTGATAATATTTATGACGAATACAGCAAATTATGCCGTGGATGTCCATACATTAGTATATTCCCTTGTTGCATGTGGATATGTCATGTTATTTTATCTGATGACTATAGTGCCTTGTCACTGCTCATTCTCTCTCTATAGGTTGCCCTGAAAGCTTTGATTGTCGTACATCGTGCCTTGAGAGAGGTGGACCCGACTTTCCAAGAAGAAGTGATCAATTATGGTAGGAGCAGAAGTCATATGCTCAATATGGCTCATTTCAAGGATGACTCCAGTCCGAATGGTACAGCTATTGTTTTCTTATATGATTATAGCTTAAGGAAATGAAATCATCCATTACCAAATTGGACGTTCAACCTTTGAACAGCATGGGATTATTCTGCTTGGGTGCGTGCTTATGCTTTATTTTTGGAGGAGCGGCTAGAATGTTTCAGAGTATTGAAATATGACATAGAGGCAGATCGCTCGGTGAGATTCTTTTCTAGGAATTCTTATATTCACCAAATATGTTAGATACTGTTGAATATCATGTTTATATATACACTTTGTGTTTGTTTAAGTCTGTTCACTTGTTCTTTTAATGTGTAGTGCCAGAATTAGCTTGTGCAAACCTGTCTTTTACGATTGAAAATTCTTGTTGCTACATAAAAAAATTGTTATGGCATTTTGGATGTCCTATTCCTTCATGGTTTGAACTTTCTAGCCAATGTGTCGTCTCCTTTATATGTATTTGTTATGTGTTTTCAAATATATACAGTCGTAAGCATTGTTCGGATTTGCACAGTTTCTGTCATTGGGTAGTTCACATGCTTTGAAGAGGGAAAACAAGTTTCGGGGATAGTGTTTGGACTGGTTAATAGTGACAAAAAGTTTGTGTTATATTTTGTGGTTTTGTTCAATGGATTGCTCAATACACTTAAATGAACTGCGAAAATCTTGAGGTTGATTCTAATTGGTGAAGTCGAAAATCATTATGCTCGTTTAATCGTCGTCTCACTCAAAACAATGATTGTGCCAAAACTTCATTGATGTGTTTATCTTTTTATTCTTGGTTTAAACTAAAGTTCACTTTTTTACACAGAGAATGAAAGATCTCGACACTCCAGATTTACTCGAGCACTTACCTGCATTGCAACAATTGCTTCACCGTGTGCTTGGCTGCCAGGTAGTATCTATATATAACGGCACAATATAACTGTAGATTATTAATCCACCATGGAGTGAAACAATGTTGTCGATCCAGTAAGTTAAAATGTGTGTTTCGTATTTTTGCAGCCACAAGGAGCAACAGTTAATAATTTTATCATTCAGCTGGCCCTTTCCATGGTATGCCGATCCAAGTTTTTACCTCATCCCACCAAGGAAATGTCATTCTTGACACATCTAATCCACTGCTATTCTTTCTTGCAGGTTGCTTCTGAAAGCATCAAAATATACAATGCAATAAGTGATGGCACCGTGAATTTGGTCGACAAGGTTCGAAAGATTCTTGATTACACTAACTAACGTAACTCCGTACAGAAATTTACTTTTACTGCCTTTACACCTTACAGTTTTTTGAGATGCAAAGGCAGGACGCCCTCAAGGCTTTGGATATATATCGAAGGGCCGGCCAGCAGGTACGTCTATTACATGCATTTGGCAGTAGTCTTTTCAAAAGTTGGCGTGTGAGAACCTTTTTTTCTAATGAACTATTTTCGCTTCTCTAGGCTGAGAAATTATCGGAGTTTTATGAAATATGTAAGAACCTAGACGTTGGTCGTGGAGAACGATATATCAAGATTGAACAGGTTTACCTTCTAGGCGATTCTTGGTGATTATTTAACTGGCTGTTTACGTCGTACCTGATTTATTTTGTTCTTGTGATGAATGGGGAAGCCTCCGGCATCTTTCATACAAGCTATGGAAGAGTATGTTAGAGACGCACCTCGTGCTTCTACAGCTCGAAAGGATTCGGTACTGATTGTTCAAACTTGGCGCCGTTTTTGTACATGAAGCAGAATGTTTTTAAAATTATTCGACAATTCGATTGTACAGGGCGAAAAACCTAAAGCTATCCTTGCCATTGAGTACAAAAAGAGTCCGGAGGCGAACGAAGAGCATCCAACATCACCGCCTCCGCCGCCACCCGAACCACAACCCGAAGTCGAAACTGTCAAAGAGGAGATTCCTGCTCCCAAAGCAGAACCTGATTTGCTGGTAATTATTCGACTTTTGACGTAATAAATTTTCGTGCATTTTTATTTTCTTTATTTCTCCTCTCTCAACAACATTTTTTGCATCAGGGCCTGCACGAGCCGCTTCCGGCTGCCTCAGAGCTCGATGAGAAGAACGCTATGGCGTTGGCTATTGTGCCAGTCGGTACGTGGATTTTTTCAAAAGTTTCGGTCGTTGTACTCTACAGATATATTTAACTTTGTAGTCGTGAATGTAATGTAGCTTCGGGACAATCCCATACGACTGCGCCGAACCCAGCAAATGGAACTTCCGGCTGGGAACTCGCACTCGTCACCGCTCCGAGCTCCAACGAGACCGCTGCCGCTACTAGCAAATTGGTACAATCTCGAACTCCAAACCTGTGCATTCCATCTCTACAATCATCATATCATACCAATCGATTTTCGTTTTGGTTTTTTCCACGGTGCAGGGAGGAGGTCTGGATAAACTCACGCTCGACAGCCTATATGACGACGCAATCAGAAGAAGTAACCAGAACGTAAGCTACAACCCGTGGGAACAATCCCCGATGATGCCCCCGCAAATGAGCCACGACCCGTTCTACGCGTCAAACGCCGTCGCTGCGCCCCCGTCGGTGCAAATGGCTGCCATGTCCCACCAGCAACCCGGGTTTATGTACCCGCCGCAACAATCGATGATGATGGCCGTCCAGCAGCCGATGATGAATCCTTTCGGAAATGCCTATAATGCCGGTGGACAAATTTACGGCCCAGGTATGCCTGTTCAAACTCATCACAATCCTTACTCGGGTCTCATATAAATCGGGGAATCGAATGGAATCGAAATTCGATTCGTATCGAGCTAGTTCGGGGAAATGATCGGTGTATGATATATATTGTTCGTTCGATGTTGTGTGAGCGATTGGGAGTCGAGTAGATCCGAGCCGATCCGATCGTTGGATATAACTCTTGGTCCATGATTCGGTTCCTTTTTTTTTTTTTTGGCAATAATTTTTATGGTCATAGATTTGTTGTGTGAGTGTGGCTTTTCAGTGAAGAACAGATATTTTATTTTTTATTTTTGAATTTTCGGAAGTATTTTTGTGGTGTGGATAATATTCATTCTTGTTTTCAATTTGTTGTAACGTGTAGTTATACTTTTAGTTTATTTTTTTCAATGAAGATGAAGAAATTGGTCAAGTGGTTCTTGTCAATGCATTATTGATTTCTATGGATAATCGATATATATATATATCTATATAGTGTTTGGAAATTAGTTAGTTCAATGGTAGTTATTTGTCTCTGTTCTTGTAGAATTGACAAAAAAATTGTTGATACATTTTTGTAAAAATGTTTTGTAGTATTATCAATGATTTAGGCTGTGATGATTCAAGCAGCGACGGATCTACGGTGTATTTTTTTCTAATTTTTTATTTTGTAATCAAATTTGACTCTTCCCACCCAATTTGGGATTAATATTCTACATAAACCTCTATATTATTATTATATATATAATATTTTTATTTATAAATTTATTATATAAAAAATAACATATTTTATCTTAAATATTGATTTAGTTCCTTTTTTTTCTTCACAAATATATTATAGTTAATAAAAACTGAAAAAGTTAAGATGGTATCAAGTTGGTAAAAATAAATCGATAAAAAAATTCTTATATTGTTTTTTGTACACACAGAAACAGTCGAATGTCTGTTTCAAATAAAAAATAAGCTCGGAATAGGTTAAAATTAAAAATAAACAGTAAAAAAAAAAATAAAAAAAATAAACATCGCAATTTTGCCCCCGGAGCCGCAAAGCTTGTTCGTCAGTGGATTCAAAGGCAATAAAGAACAAGATAATGAAGTAGACACAAATTGTAATTTGTCATGAAGGTGTGTTTGTTTGGAGATTTGGATTTTAGATTGACATTTGAACAGTAAAAACTTTTGAATGCGAAGAATAGTTATATAATGTGATATAAATAGGTGTTTATGTGATGTTTTGAATGTAAAATTAATTATTAATATAATATAAAAAATAAAAAATATGTATTTGATTTGATTTTTTTAGGGAAACAAATTGAATAAATAATAGAATTTAGAAAGAATGCCCCAAACAAACACATCCGTAATAAATTCGTGTATGAATTAGTTTTTACTTGGCCACTATTTATCTACTACGTGGGTAATATATATGTATTATATCCCACAATTATTTACCTTCCAATTGCCTATAAATAACACTTTATTGAACGAATGAAATTTACCATATCATTTTACTCTCTCTCTTTCTCTCCAGTGCATTCTCTCTTATAGCTATTAGCTTTTATTAGCTGATTCGATTAGCTGTTTATATTAAAGTATTTGGTAAATTAGTGGTTTAATATTAGTTGTTTATACATAAAATGACAATTAAGGACATTTTATATTTTATTTTTAAAATATTTAGTTGAATTTTTCGGTGGATAGACTTTTTTATAATTTTATTGTTAATTTTAAAACTTAGAAAAATTTTAGTAAGATATTTGTTTTTATTATTCTAAAAATATTTTGTAAAGAATTAATACAAGTTTATTGAAAAATATATTTATTTTTTCATTAGAAATAGTATAAATATAAAAAGACAAAAATTATTAACATATGTATTTTTTATTAAATTAATTTTTAATTAATACATATTTACATAAAATTTATAATTTTAATAAATATATTCATTTTTAATAAATATATTATGTGATAAAAAATAATATATAATTGATTGAATAATACTAATATTTTTATATTATCTTTATTCTAAAAAATAACAATAAAATATAAATAAGATAATTGACATATAAAAAATTAATTATTTTAAATTTATAAGTTATTAGAAGAAAATATATCTAAATTATTAATAAATAGTGTAATAGAATAATATATGAATATATGTGTAAGAATTAATTAATTTTAAAGACAGATAAGGAATGAGAAAAATTAAAATGAAAAAACTAATCTGAAATATACAGCTTTTACAAAATTAGCTTTTTGACCCAATAAACTAATTGAAAACGCTAATTTACCAAACCCCAAAATTAGTTTATTTACTGGTGAAACAACTAAAAGCTCTTAATAAGCTAAAAGATCTTGAAAAATTATTTACCAAACACCATCTATACTTATATTCACATAATAATACATTTATGATTTATCCGTATATACAAAATAATAGATAGCGGAGATAATTAATATTTTTTATTTGCTAATATACTAATATTACAATATAATTAAAAAAATAAAAAATAAAAAAATATATGTAAAATAAAAAAAATAATTTAAATTAATATTAATTATATTTGTCACCATTTAACTTACAGAGCAGCAGAGTTCCTAGGATGGCAACTAGGGATGGCAACGGTTTGGGGACAGGTTTTACCATCCCTGACCTGCCATGCTATAAAATATTACTAGTATGTTTTAGATTTGACAGTTAGTTCTCCTTTTTTTTAAAAAAAAAAATTAAAATATAATTTATTTTAATAATTTAGTATTAAAAAATAAGCGTTAAAAGCATACTAAATTTTAGTTTAAAAAAATAAGAATAATAAGATGGTCTAGATAGTCTGCAATGATAGTCGTTGGCGGTAGGCGAGGCCATGGTAATAGTCAGATTGTGAAAAGAATTTAGAAATTAAGGTTCTATTTCAAGTTTAAATTTTTTTAAATAAATAAATAATATAATTTATATTACTATAAATATACATTAATTTTAATAATTATTAAAATATTTGAACTTGAATCCGGGTCCAGATGGGAAATATTTTCAGTAAAATTCGTAATTCACCTCAAATTCGGACTGCTTAAAATTTAAAATCGAACCTATCCCATGAAGAAGAGGTGTGAGGCTAACTCGCCCCATTTGACACATCTACAACTTATAGTAGGATGATGATATTTTTCTTCTAAAAATTGTAAATTACATAATTATAATAATAAAAAATAATGAATATTTTTACTCTATTTTAAAATAAAATAATTGTGAAAATATATTTTTTATAAGCGAAAAACTATACACTAAAAATGCAAATAAACACAAATGAAACAAAATAAACAACAACAAATACAAATCTAAGTAATGCAGTTTTAAAATTAAGAAAAAACATTTCTTTTCATTAAGAAAAAGTATTTATGGTACTTGGGGTGTCTCTTAAAATCAATAGAACAACAATATCCTTTCAGATTATGCCCCATTCTCCTTCAATTAAGTATGTTTATAGTTTTAAGGGTTAAGGGTACACTGTTTTTTAGTCCCGTAATTGGAACCTCTTGTTATTTTAGCATGTCGCAAACTAGTTTCATAAGTGAAAAATTTTCGCTGTTTTAATCTTCCGGCGCCGGAGACGGTCGCGTGGCTCGCCGGAGATCACGTGTCGGACACATGGATTTTTTTTTTATTTTTTTATTTTTTTAATTTTTTTTAAAAACTTATTTTTAATTTTATTTAGATTTTTAATTTTTTTTTATTTGGTCTAATTAAAAAAAAAAAAAAACATTAACGTATCCGCCAGGTGTCGCTGACCTGGAGGACACGTGGCTTCCAGCGAACCACGCGGGCATTTCCGGCGCTAGAGGACTAAAACGACGAAAAATTTCCACTTATGGGACTAATTTGCAATAGGCTCCACTTACGAAATTAAAATGATAAGAGTTCAATTACGGGACTAACAATTTACCCTAGTTTTAATTTTGTGGATGGATTTTAGTAGATCTAATTTGCACAAATAATTTCAGATCTCTTTATCCATGCAAAATAGTTCATTTTAAAAATGCCCTCAGCAATTTTTTTATTTTTTATTTTTGCTTCATTGTCAGTATTTGAATATATTCTTAGTTATTTTAATCGAGTTTGGTGAAGGAAAAAATATAAAGTAATAAAGAGGTTCGGTATTCTTTAAGCGTTGAGGGAAATTCGTGTAGAAATTGTTGGAAATCGGTGGGTTAATTGTTGTACTCGAAATCGTTCAAATGATAGTCGATAAATTATTTTTTTCCTATAGCTAAATCATAAGCATCCATGGTTGAAATGTAACTTAGATGTGTGTGGAAGAGAGGATACTTTAACAAGAAGAAAGAAAGATCCTTTTATTATGGGGAATCGACTCTATTCCACAAAAAATATACTATTCTGTCATCTAAATGTCATGGACTGATATTTCTACCATAAGTTACTGTTCCATATGTACAAGTTTTTATCTTGTATGACTAGTCAACGACATGTCTTGGTGCAGGTACTTGTTTCGCATATTTCTCCCACATTATTATGGTATATTCAAGTTTGTTGCGTACAAGGGACGGCTGGTCTGGGTCTTTGGCCTGGGCATCGGGAGTATCAGCTTCCGGCACATTACAAATGGTAACAGAGCCGACCTTGATGTTAGTGACGAACGAAGTGGACGGGTGAGCAATTTTCCGAGGAAGAGCATGTTGACTGCACGTCAAGGAAGAGCATATCTAAGCGAGGTTGGACATTCCCGAGTGAAGTGCTCATTGGGAGAAAGAGTATGTTTGACCATGCCGATACGCCATGGTGGGTGAGCTTTGTTCGTGAGGGATGAACCACGTTAAGGACGATCTTCGAGCGAAAAATGTAAAAGCCGCAACATGGGTGTCCCGGATAGTGTATGAAGACGAGTGGCGGAGTGGGCAAGTTGTTGGTCGGCTGTGGAAAACCTCGTTGGCGCTTGGTGAGTACAAAGAGCGGTACATGTGAAATGGTCAATAGAGTGATGCATTGAGGCATGCTGAGTGTGCAAGAAACAACGTTGGTGCACTCAAGTGGCGTTGCACAAGGGCGTTTGCGACTTGAAGTGGGGGAGAATGTTACGGGCTGATATTTTTACCTAGGTTCTCGGTCATACACCATCCCATGTGTGGGAGCTCTTGTAATACTACATTTGTACAAAAATTTATACAAATATAAAAATAAAAATATTTTTAATATTAAATAACAAAAAATAAATGTGAGCCTTACAAGTGGAATTGGAGTATTATTTTTTCTATTTTTTTATTATAAAATAAAATATTTATTTTTATCAACTTTCTTAAAAAACTAGTGTCCTGTTAAATGAGAATACGTAATTCACATAGATTAAATTTTAAATTTTTCCCCAAATCGGAAATCCTACCTTTAGGCCTGTTGCAGCTCCTTATTTTTTACGGAAAAGACCTACAGACTCAAAATAGTGATACAAGGCTTCTAAACATAGGCCGCTGTGACTGATCTTAACACATTTCAACTAAAATATATATATATATATATTAATTTAAAAAAAATTAAATTCAAATTATATCAAAATTCTAAAATAATTTGTCTAAATAGAGCCAATATATTAATTGAATCGAATTTTGGATCCAAGTTGGATATACTCTTAAGCCCTCAACTTGATCCAAACCTAATTAGGATAACACACTTGGACCTGATTCCGAATAAATGTATCAAATGATAACCATCGACCTAATTTGCATGATATTAAATTCTCCAAAAATTTACTGAAAGCACAGTGTGTAAATTTTCACATTATAAATATATATATATATATAATAGTGTATTCACTCAACAGCCACAGCAATGCCATAAGCTGTCTTGCCATTCAACAAAACACTACACCAATAATACCACCATTCATCTCGTCCAACGCCAAAAAAAACCCATCTTTCTTCTTCGAAAGACAACCAGTATGATCTTCTCAACAAAGACAACTGTTGCAATCCTTTCGTCACACGTAAAATGTATGTAAAATGAGGTCACTATTGTAATCACAAATATACGGAACGGAAACAGTGTGTGTGTGGTGTATCAGATCTCAAAACCAATTCACACGAAAACACTGCACGCGCTATCATATGCCAAGCCAGGATCAAAATATATCGATTTCCCAAACCTTTAAATATCCTCAAGTGGCAGCCACAGGAGTCGTAGTTCCATTAGAGCCATCAGGGCTCGGTACCTTTTCACCAGTGGTGGTTGAATCGCTCAGATCCGGCGCCTTATCCTCCGTCGACCCACCAATATCTGCTTCTGCAGCCACGGCATCTGCCACACTCGACAAAGTCATGCCAGGAGGATCGGAACCAGGAGCATGACCGGCAGACTGCTTTGGCTGGTTCAAGGCTTTGCAATGAGGACAGTAATAAGTAATGTAAGGGAAATCCTCTTTCTTCGCCAGCCCTACAAATGATAAGAGTAAATTAGTAAATCATCCTTGCAAATGTTACACACATCGAATATTAATGTAAGATGCAGCCTCCATCCACCAAATATATGTTCATTTTCTATGGGTGTGTTTGTTTGGCGGATTTCTACTATTCATTGAATTTTTCTCCCTAAAAAACATCAAATCAAATACCTATTTTTCATTTTTTATATTATAATAAAAAGGTGTCTTTGTTTGAAGGATTTTACTCAAAATCCACTATTTATCCAATTTTTTCCCCTCCAAAACGTCAAATCAAACACCTATTGCTCATTTTTTATATTATACTAAAAATCAATTTTACATTCAAAACATCACATCAACACCTATTTATATCACATCATATTCTAATTCAAAATTTTTACCATTCAAATCCCAACTTAAATTCCAAACTCCCAAACAAACACAACCTAAATGCACTAGATCTTACGCATCTGCTTTATACTTTTCAATATTACACTTATTTACAAATATGCTGCATCCATTTACACAATCAATTTATCCAATTTTCTTCCCACCTCATTAATTCTCTTGTATGCATTCCAAAATAATTCCATTTTATATCACAATCAACCAATATAAAACTCGTGTTCAACTCAAATGATGATAAAATTGGTGGACGGAGGAAATACTACTTACCGTTGTGCATGTGACAGTTTCCACATATAAGCGCATAAGACTGGGTGGGGTCCTCTCCCACGAGCAAGGCAGCAAGTCTAGCAATCCATCCTTCATTAGTGGAGCCCAAACCTGTTTGAGTGTGATGCTCGACAACCCTCGGATGCCGCTGGGACAAGTCAGCACCCTCGAACTCAGAATGTAGCATTCCTCCATCGAGATGATTCATGGATCCCATTTCCATGCCACTTGCTCGTGACTGGGGCAGAGGCGACTTTCTATTGCGAAGTCCACCAGTCCTGGCAAATTCAGCATCATTACTCTTTCCAATAGGGGCGCTCATGGCAGACTCATCTTCGAAGTATACTTTAAGGCCAGTGTCTGCACCTAGCTTGGATGCGAGAACAGTGGCAGCAGCAGCCTTGGCGGCAGGATCAGAGTCGTACCTCTGCACAGAAAATGCCAAATAAGAATCTGAAACATAAAAAGCAGCTCAAAACCACACCTAACAGCAGCACCATCCAGCAAAAACTTGTGCTAAGTTAGTTATAGGGTATAATCAAACAAGTTCGGAAGTTACCCCTTTAAAAAGATGGCAAGCATTCGCCATTACCTGTATTAATTGTTGAGTAATGTAGTAATTTGTCCTTTCTTTCAGTTCATCTATTTTCGCTTGTCTCTCAGCCCGAAGTTTTTCCAATGTCTTATGGTCCTTCTTGTCACCTGTAATTAGATATTCAGATAAATAAATTGTAATGATACAGTTATTTCTCTGCCAAAGGCTGTATTTGACGTAATTTACGCATAATTATCACATGTATCATCTCAAGCTGATCAATTAATGAAGATGTAAGCAACAAAAATGAGGCATGGGGTAGAAAATATGGTGGAGAATTCAACGAAGCATGTGAGAGAACTTAAACAGTCACATAGCAGATAAGTTCAGCACAAAAGCGGAGAGAAAATAGCAGCCATTAAACACAATTTGTTTAGTATTAACCCCTAAACCGACACAAACTTCTGATTATCAAACATAAATTCAACCCGAATCATTCTCTTGTGTGAACATCTTTAAATTAAATAATTGTTCGATCATCATACGCACAATCAAATCTGTATGTATATTAACCACCTAAAACCCTATACTATAAAATCTAAAAATTACTAATACCTTATAAACCACATATGCATCTGATCATAGGTGCATTATCTTTATGGATTTAACCAATTTATGGTAAAATCTACTACTATCCATTCCCGTTAAATTCAAGCTTTCAAATTAACAACCAAACCACGAAGTGATAATTTATAAATAACAAACAAAAAAGAAAGACTAAACCAATAAATTAGATAATATATATGTATATGTATATATATAAGCAGGAGTATAACAAAAAAAAACCCACATTTATGAGCCTCTTCAAATTACTAATTGCTGTTGATTCAATAGTGGGAAATCTAATACATATTAAAAGATAACATCATTAACATCCAAATGAATACTGCAAATCCCTATCAAATTGGAACATATACGGCAAGCTAACGAGGTAATCTTAAGAAATAGACTTTCTGTTGATACTTTTTGTTTCTTTAAGAGATAAGACTTTCTGTTGATACTTGATACAGCTTAACTCTGTACATTGCACACACGCCAATTGTTATTCAATAGATGGCATTGGATGTTTACTAATTGTAAATTTAAATTTAACATACTTAATAAAACAAATACAAAAGACAAATATATCCAGATGATAAAATGTCATTGAAGCAATAAAGTAAGAACAAAAACAAGTTGCAAAATATGCAATAAACGTTAAATCACAAGGAACAGATGAGAAACAAAAGCGAAGTTCACAGTTACATGGCCACTCAATACTTACGCATCCTTGTGAAGCTTCTCATAACTGTATAAGAAACAAAACTTAACACTGGTAGCAAAAACATCGGGAAGACACGCAATGCTCTTGTTTTCCAATTTAAATCTAAAGATCTTGTGCTCAAGACAGCATAACCCACGGCAATTACCTGAAATAACACATAGAAACCACCATTTTCAACCAAAATGCTTGGACGGTATCAAGTACACTGGTAAAGGAACAATGAATCATGGGGAATAGTGCCATATCTTGAAATTAGAAGGAAAAGAAAAACTATATATCAAGATAAGTAGTATTCATTATTCACTGTTTTAACACATATCCCCGTATAAACCACCTCTCCATATTGAAACAAATAAACGACAAAAAAATAAAATAAAATAAAAAAGTAAATGTTTACACTAGCGTAATCAGTTTTTCCAACTATTGAGAGGTGTTGCCGTTGTGCATACTTTTCCATGAGGGAAAACTAACAGAATAATGACATGCTGCACATCAATGATCTTCCAAATGACTAAAGTCATCACAAAATTTTAAAATCATCAGAAGTACTAGATTATAGAGTGAACTTTTTGGGTCCTTAGGATGAATGACCAATACTAAAGTTCGACAAAGGCAAGCAAATCAATGGCACGACATTGCAAACTGATGTGGTCGGGGGATTTAGCCAGTGACCGGAATAAACATGGGCTCGAAAGAAAGCTAGAATCTTGTTAATCACCAAATCAAGGTCAAGAATGTAACAGCAGTAAAAAATAATATGGCAGCCCTCATAGGCAGGTAATAATAAGCATAAATATTATTCTCATCCATTTAAACACTTAAAATCCATAGAAAAATATAACTGTACCTCAAAAAGAAGAGAGAATATAATTACGTGCTTAGTCATTCTCCGGGAACTATGAGAGCGCTTTGTAATTCTGGCAAGAACAGCAGCCTCTTCCTTAGATATATGTTCCAGTCGTTTCTCAAAATCATCCCCATGTACTCTGAATATTGCATTCCATAATCTTGAAAAAATTCCTTTCTTCTTCTTTTTTGTCTTAATCTCATTGTCTGTAGGCGTGGCAGATTCAGCAGCATCATTCTTAGATTCTTCAGCCATATTCTGCACATAACATGCCAAGTTAACACTACACACACAAAAAATATAAGTCTAGTCTCAATGTTTTCGGGCATTTTCAATAAAACCTTCTCAAGGGGATACTTTGTTTTATTCTTACATCACAAGCAGGCATATTTTTTAAGAACTCTCAACAATCATTCAAAGGAAATGTGTCTTTAAAAATACCGAGGTTGTTAAGAATCTAATAGCAAGTTTTAATTTGTTACTCTGCATTCTCATCATCAATCATGCACAGATTCACAGACAACTTGCTCCGTTTTCGTTTTTTAATGTCTCATTACTTCTCTAGTTCCACAACAGAACTTAGTTTCCGATTTTGTTTGACATCATACAATCACCAATGGGCATCAAATTTTTACTCAATGCCCACTTTTGGGCAGCCATCAAACATGAAAGAATCAAAGTCGGTCTAAACATTTTGAAGCAAATCCAAAAACCTTCAATACTTGTTTGGTTGTGATTTCAAACACAAACCACCACTATTCACGGTTCCCAATAAAAAATACATTATTTTCTCTCACAAAATATCACATCAAAATATTATTTAAATACAAATTCAAATCTAACACCTCATTTCAAATCAATTTCAAACCACAACCCCACAAACCTTCAATAACATCCGATAGTACCTCGTTAAATGTCTGTCTAGCCAAGTTTACTAGCCATGCAGGAGCTACCAACAGATAACCGAAGCAAGGCCAATGATCTGCAAAAGGAGACAAAAGTTGACTCCAAAATTGCTGGGGTACCCCGACAATATTTAAGCTAAACCCTAAAACTTGTTGAATAATACTTCAACCATACATGGCATCTTGATTCAAAATAAATGCACGCCTTCCAACAAACACACATCCACACACAAAAAGAATTTTTAAAACTATTCAATTAGAATGAAAATTAGATAAATCGAAGCAAACACTGTGAACACAGAATATGTAGAATCTATTCTCAAAAAGTAAGTTATCACCATGAACCATATTGATTCAAATGTAAACCAAATCAAGTGAACTGCCTACACAAATATTACGAATCTGAGTAAAAGTTAATTCATACCCCTTTTTTGATACATCTATATGTAAATCGAAAAATCAAAATGAATAACTATAAGGAACACAATAAGCTTGGCTCAAATCAACAAAGACAGAAATGAAGCATGCAAAATCCATTAAGTAAAATCACAAGTCATCCATTGATTGAAATATCAAACAATGATCCCAAACAAACAAAAACCCACAACCCAGATCAATAACACGTTCGAACCCTATTCGCAACAGCAGATCGAACCATCCGATTCTCTCCTAGAAATATTACACACTAATGTGCTAGAAAATTAACTCAAGGCTCGATTAAGCAAAAACCCAAGAAATGGGAATAAAAAAACTCAAATTAGGTATCGCCCAACAATCGTTGACACAAGAAAAAAAAAGAAAGTGGTAAACCCTAAATCTGAAAATTAGCGGTTTCTCCAATTTACCTTAACCCGACCGATTAGCGCTGGTAAATGGGAAGATCACTGAAATTGATGTCGCGAACGATGAGTTTGCTTCATTCCAAAAGATCGGTAGCCTTTCTTGAAAAAGCTCAAGGAGAACGTTCCACGTGCACCGCACGCCCATTCCCACACTAGTAATATTATTTTATTCTTTAGTTATTTATATTAATTACAATAATGAGACGGTTGAGTTTATTCTATTATAGCTGAATTTGTCATTGTAAATAAAATTATTTGTAAGATGTTACGTGCTACATAGTTAATTAAATTGAATTAGATTAGTTAAATTATATTTTTATTTAGCAAACTTTACTTGAAATAAATAGTGTCAATCGTTGTAGAAAAGACATATAAAAAAATATCCATTATTATGAGACAAGTAAAATTTATATATTAAGTTCTCCATTATTTATTTTTTGGTATTATTTATCATGTTTAAATTTTGTTTATATCTATACTATTTTTTTAGGGTTTTAGTATTATTATTTTTTTCAAAATTACTCTATTAAATATATATTTAATCCGTTTCAATTTAAAAAGTAACTTTTTTATTACATTTGTATATTTCAAAAGTAATTTATATATAAAATTAAAAGACAAAAATATTAAATAAAAAACTAAAATTAATATAAAACCTCAAAATGATACTTTGGAGTGAATCGGATTTTTTTTTCTTTCAATATATTATATCAAAAGCTAATTTTCTATTATTATTAATTTTAAAAAATTAAAATTTTCGTTTTAAACTGAATGCATTTTTTTTTATAAATAAATTATAATTTATTTTTTTTATTAAAATAGTTTATAAAAAATAATAGCAACATTGTCCATAATTTCGAAACTCAACTTTAATTTTTTATATTTTAAAAATGACATAATACTCTTTATAATTTAAAAAATTGTTACATAAAATCTCTTTCTACATCAATTGATGCATTGTGAGAAGATGCAAGATGGGATTTTATGTAATATTTTAAGAGACATTTATAGTATAAAAAAATTTAAGCTTAATTTCAAAATCAAGTAAAAATTGTGGACAATTTTGCTAAAAGCATTTGTTGTTTGTAAAATGGGATTCAAATGGAACTTTCAATCTTAACCTAAACCCTAGCATGAGTTGTAGCCAAAATAAATGGCTAGAGAAGATAGAGATACCTCACCATCCTACGAGCACATAGACTAGTCTTAAAATATTTATCTTCTAACGTTATTGATGTTTTTTTTTTTTTTTTTTTAAGAAAAACAAAATTCATTACAAAAATACAAATACACAATGACCTGAGTTTAGAAGGAGAAAAATAGAATCTCCAAACTGAGAGAGTTTCTACTAATTTTGACTTCTTTTACTCTCATAATTAAATATTTATTTATTTTTTTTCAAGGAATTTTAAAAATATTAGTATTATATTTAAATATAGTATAAATAAAGTAGAAATAACTAAAAAATAACCTTATGTGTGATATAAAAATAATAGCATTTGTGTAATATATTATAAGTTGTAAAGATATTTGTAATGTTAAATAGATAATACAATTACTTAAAAAAATTAATACTTTATTATGGAATAGACTAAAATAGAAAAATAAATACTTTATTATAAGACGGAGAGAGTATTAAATATATGTGTCATGGATAGAATTGGACACAGCTTTTCCTTTGGGTTATTTAGATAAATATAGTAAATCAAAAACCCTTTTAGAAAAGTAAATCTTAAAATAATTCCGAAAACTTATTCATTGTAGATTGAAAGAATTCGGAGAATCCTTTGAATGTTATTAAATATTACTCCCTCCGTCCCATACGCAGTGTCTGTAGAGTATTTTAGGAATAATGTAATTAGTAGATAATTAAGAATTAATTAGTGAAAATAATTATCCTATAATATAAATAATTATAAATTAAAATTAAGATAACTAATTAGTTTAATTAAAATTTTAAAAAAAATTAAAAAATTTAAAATGAGATTAAAGTGTGTAATCATTTTCCAAAAAAGGAAAGTGACATGTACGTGGAACAAACAGAAACGACAACGTGGACATGGTATATGGGACGGAGGGAGTATTAAATAATGTATTAAAAAAATATATATATTCTCACAACTCTTTAAACCTACTGCCAAAACTTCTCAATTTGTTTTAAGGTCTACTTTTTAAAAAAAGGTTTTTCCATGATTAGCAACTATATCAAAAGAAACAATCACACACATGATACACATGATTTGCCTAGTGTGACTTGTCTATCGAGCCTATTTTACAGGGTATTAGATTCGACCGAAGGTTTACCCAATGCGCACTTTCGAGTAACCGCTGCGGATTCCCACGTCATCAAAGAAAAAAAGAGGAGCGGATGGGGGTTACCCAGGATATTATTGCTGTTGAAATCTTGCAGCACTGCCTGAGCTGGTGGAGCAACATATTTCAAACCAGACATTGATGCCGAGGCTGTATCATATAACCAAGCGAGGAGCCAATACCCTACCCTGCCAATGTAAGAACTCACCGTCAGCTACTCCAGAGCTTCCCACAGGATATAATCATATAACACAAAATTTAAGTCAGAAGCATAGCAAACACAATGGTCATTTCTTAAAAAGCTTCTATTTCATTAGGGAACTTTTCTGACTTCAATCTGATTGAAGAAAATTACGCTCGATAGCTCTTATAATAGAAATAAGAAAGAAGCTTTAAATATATTTTTATATATAAAAAATATTTTCTTAATTAAAAGACTGACACAAACAGAAACAAAGTTAATTTTGCTCCCTTATGAGCAAATTACCTCAAGACATGGCCAGCGTTCATCAATAGCATGTGAAAAGCTTTGAAGTTATTCCATCCATGGCTATGGATTTTGCGGAATTGTGGTTATAGTAAGTCCAGAGAAGGTAGACTAATATACCGTGGCTTTATAATTTTGAACCAACCTGTTACAGAAAAAGAATAGAATGATTAAATTGTGCTTTGATCAAATAATTCTATGCGGATACATCGACTACAACGACTACAATATCAATTGAACGATTCTTACATCTCCCTGTTATAGGTGAACGTGTTAAACGAGTTGAGAGAGCTCAAGTATCTGTTGTTTGAGCTCGACTCGAATTTATTAGTGGCGAGCTAAAACAGTGACACGAGCTAGGCTCGTTGAGCTCAAATTTAAGCTCGAGCTCGATTCATAAGGTTTGTTCTCGAATTTTATGCATATTCTATCATTTTTTAATATATAAACCAAGTATATCTAAATTTATTTCATAACTTATTATGATAAAATAGTCAAAAATTATTAATAAATACAAATTTTGATATAACAAATTATATACATCATATCAATATATAAAATAATATAAATATATTATCACTAACGAACTCAATTGAGCTACCCGAGAACCGAACTCGAACTCAGCTTGTTTATAGAAATAATAATTTTTAACCTCGAGCTTGGTTTGTTTATTTCTATAAACGAGTCAAGCCGAGCTGATCGATCTTGGCTTACGAGATACGCAGTTCCTTTAACAACTCTAGTTATAGGGATAATGCATCACTACAAATCCTAAATTACAAGAACGTGTACTAGTAACAAAACAAATCTACAAAAGAAATTGTAAGCCTAATAATATTTCTCCGCAATTATAACAATCAAATCTGCAAAGAAGAACTACAGGCAAGTCGAACTAGAAACCCTACTCATATATATCATATCATGTTTACCTCTACATTTCCGAACAAAGGTAATTCCCGTGTCGATGGAGAGAAAAAAGAAAGTTCCTTTCGTTATAAGCCGACCCATTTCTTAAAGGCCTGTGCGGCTTCCCTCCTTTTCAACTGGTTTTCCGTTTGGAATTTCGGCATCTTGCCCCTGTAGAGTGTCCTGTGGTACTTGAGAAAGAGAGCACGGTACTTGTACTTGTCAATAAACATGTTTCCCTTCTCCATCATGTCGACTACTTCATTTGCTCGAATAAAGAATCCACCTCTGACTAATGTATAAAGCACCGCATCCAACAGTTCCTGATCAAATTTCATTCCGTTGTGATAAGAAAGAGACTTCATCTCGCCCCATAGTTCAGTTACCTCAATGTATTTCCCGCCTATCGCAGCATATCCGGTGACCATAGAATGGAAAGTTTGGGCATTCGGGGAGTGCCCCAAACTAATCATCTTCTTCAGAGCTTTCTCAGCATCTTGCATTAGCTGTTTCTTGCAGAAGAAATGAATCACATTATTCCAATCATGAACTTCGGCATTTGGTTTCTGCTGCTCCTGTATTTCCTCCAATAACTTTGATATTAATCCCGCCTCCTTGCCTTCCTTCGAATTTTGAACCAACTCGTTGAATTCTTGATGACCTCTCGGGGAAATTTTAGCTTCTTTCATTTCCCTGAACAGATCAATGGCCCTCACAGTGTCCTTCTCAAGCACTCGAGACTCAATTAAAGCTTCGTAGGAACCTGCATCCAACTGAATTCCAGCCCTGCGAGCATCTCTCGCTAATGATGATGCTTCACCCATTTTATTTTCTTTAAGATATGCTTTTAAAAGAGAAGTATACAAAGACGAACTAGCTCTGATCCCTGCCAATCGCATTTCATCAAGAAGATCATGCGCTCGATCTAACCAACCAAGAGAAATGCACGAGTCGATAGCATAAAACAGGATTGAACTATCTGCAGATACAGGGGAATCTTCTTTTTCAGCCTCGATTAAAAATTCAACCAAATCCTTTGTTTTGCTAGCCTCTAGGAAAGCTTTAACTAATTTTACATAAGCTTTATCTGTTGGTTTAAGAATGCCTTTATCGGTCATGATCAATTCTATTTGTCCCTGTAACTTCGTAACTGATGCCTCGAGTAGCCTTTTAGCCTCCAACTCAAGTCCCGAAAACTTTTTATCACGTATGAAATCATCATAACTCAAATACCCCTTAACCAACGAATTGTCTTCTTGTTCATCAGATTTTGCATTGTCCAAATCCTCGACAGAAGAATCATGACAAGGAGGCAGTGTACCTTTTCTATCAGTTTCGAATTTTAAATTAGCCAAACCTAGAGAATTCTGAGCTTTCTTTGCCTTGTGAAGCATTTCAAGAATCATGCTGGAAGCAGAATCAAGATCCCGAAATTTCAAGTGACAAGAAAGCAGGCAATTATAGAACTGCCGAAACTGTACCTCATTCATGTTGTGAACTTCTTCAAAATGTCGCCTAAGCTTTTTGAGCTCCTCTCTTCGACCATTTCTTTCGTAAACATGTGCCATGATAATTAGCGAAGTAGCATCCTTCTTTATGGTAATTTGTGGCATCATGTCAAGGAGCTGCTCGGCTTTCCTCGTAGTGCCAAAGAGAAGGCAACCCACCAAAGCTATGTTAAAAGAAGTTGTATTCGGCTTCATAGAAATGAGAGGTTTATTGCATTTTTTCCGAGGATCGATCCTCCCATCCTGGAACAAGTAACCTATTTCAAGAACTAACTCAGCAGCTAGATATGCCCCGGATGAATTCTCTGACATGTAAGCTATGATTGCCGACCAAACAGCCACTGGAGGGAAGTGTTCCATTTCAATAAGCTTTCGTAAGAGATTGCAGGCATGGGTAGGCTGTCCACATTTGGCAAGCCCAATGGCGAGGTACATCAGACACTCCTTCGATAATATACTCTCTTTTTGCTCCTGTATCACTTTCTCGACCAACCCATAAGCCTTCTCGAGCCAGTGAAACTCTGAACTCTCTGCCAATCTTGCAATCAACAGATTTATGATAGAATTTCTAGCAAACCCATCCACTAGCATATGTTGCTCGTGCAAATCCCAAGCGTCGTTGAGTCTGTGCTCATTAATTGCAGCCTCTAACTCCTCATGAAGTTTGCCAATGTCTCGAGCCTGGACTAGAATCGTTCCAGCCATACTTGAGAAGTTATGTGAGAATTGTATAGATCCTTGACATACATCACTCTCCCTGCTGCAGATGTAATACGTAAATGGCTTGCAGCACCTACCGACAACAGCACGGCGCCTGTAAATTCTACCAAGAAAGCTACGCAAAACATAGTTTGCTGCAGTCTGACAGTTCACTCTTCTTGTAAGCAACATTTGAATGATCTTCATGACCTAAAATGGGCAAGCAATTCTCATGGTAAATACTAAACCACGGTAATGTAATAGATTGGCATTACGAGAGTAAGTAAATCGCGATTAGGGAATTTTCCAAACTTACTGTTTGTTTACTGGTATAGGGCGACAATTTCTGCACCTATGTGAGGCTGATTCGATTTCAATAAACCCCATTATCCCTTCCCCTTCGTAACCTATCTGCCTTACCCACCGCCCGTTCGAATCGCCTGAGTACGATCCTCCCTCTCGACTAACCGACGGTGGATGGTCCGTCGCCCCACCCCCCAAACGGCGGTCGGCGATTGAGCGGGGTGAAGAAAAAAACAGGTAAAGAAGGAAAAAAAATCGAAATAAAAGAAGAACGGGGAGGAAGAAGATGCAGAACCAAAGATGAACTAAGTAAAAAAAAAAAATGAAAGAATGGGAAAGAAGAGGAAAGAGGACGGAAGCGGGAGGAAGAAAGGATATGGAGGTAGCAGGCAGGCGTGGGTAGGCAGGTGGATATAGATTAGGGTTATCATTAATATTTTTAATAATTAAAATTATTTTATGTTAGTATAATTTTTTTCGTCATTTAAAAAGTAAAAAATATGTAAAATAAATATACAATAAAAATTTTTTTTTTTTTTTTTTAAAAAAACAAGTATTATTGTTATATATTTATTTAAATTTAAAATACTATAAATAAAGAGTAAGTTCACAATTTTTTGTATTTTAACATTTTAATAATTATATATTTTTATTAAATTATATATTCACATCATAATAATTATTATCTATTAAATTAGTATTCATTCAAATATAAAATTTACTAATTAAAAAAAAAATACATCTTTGTAAAATTACAAAAAAAATTCAAATTCAAATCAAATTATCTTTCCAAAATTTTTAGTCTCAATCCAATACTATGTAATCAAATCATTTTTTCATTGGAATTAGGAGTGGACTAGGTTTGAATATTTGAAAATATACAGCTATTTAGTATTTGAATCGAAAAAATATTTAAAATCGTGAGCCGCACTCAAATAAAAGATTTTGATTAACCAAATTTTTTATTAATAAAAAATATTTATAATATTTACAAATAGTTCGAACCGAACTAAAATTTAAAAAATATATATTAAAAAATAATTAAAATTCCAATAAAATAAAAATATTTACAAATATTTCAAACATAAACCGAATTTAATATAATTATTTATATAAAATTTAAAATATAATAATATAAATATATAAATATATATGGTTCGATTTGATTAACTACAAAATTTTAATATAATTATTAATACAAAACTCTCTCATATTCCATAAGCATTTTCAATAGCATTTTTTAAGTCATATCATGCATTCAAATAAGAAATATCAAATTCAAATTATATTTTTATCTTATAATTTAACATGTTTTTAACTCATAAATGAATTTCTCCTTACAAACTCTTTTAATAAATTTTTTATCATATTAGCAATATTGTGTCATGTAATATAAAAATACGAAATAGATCCAAAGTTTTATTAACGAAATCGAGTAAAAACACAAATATTAGACTAGTTTCGGTTAGGTTCAGCCCTTAACCATTCAAAACAGTAAATCGACATACAAAATTCACCTAACTAGTGACTACACACTTTAATCTGGCCCAAAACCAACAACTCACGCAAAAATAAACCCCCTCAAGAACATACAAGGCGAAACAAACAAAAAAACAAACGCCTAAAGGTTAAACGAGCCCTTTGCGGCTACGAACAACAAACCATGGGGTAAAACACCACACCAAAGAAACTCTACAAGTTACCGGAGGAAGGCTCCACCAAGAACCGCCGTGAAATCGTCGGAAAAAGTCACCGGAAAGGTAAACAGAGAGGTCGAGAGAGAAGAGCTAGAGAGGGTGAGCGGGTAGAGAGATGAAATATGAGAGTGAATAATGAGAGGTGATTTCTCTCTCTGTATATATATACTCAAGGAAAGAGCAACGGACGGTCAGGATGTAGATCCAAAATGGACGGCCATAATCGCGTCTAATCAAAAGACGCGGATCCTAGGCAGGTTGGGTCGCGGTCACGGGTCAGGTAAGTAAGAACGCGATTCAGGGCGGCGGATCACGGGTCCTAGGCGGGTGTAGGTCGTGGTCAGGGCTAGGGTTTAAAGCAGGCTGCATAATTAAGTGTGTATCTTATATTGGGTGGATCTAATTAGATCAAAAAATTCAACAAATCCTCCACCTGATTTTTTGTTTGAGTGGTAAAGGGGTTAAGCCTAATCAAAACTAGTCTAATATTTGTGTTTTTACTCGATTTGGTTAATAAAACTTTAGATCTATTTCATATTTTTATATTACAAGTGGTATCAGAGTCCGGTTAGATGGTGAAGTGAATTGAGTGGCATTGGGTATTAGTTGTGATGGTGGGCTCGCCCTCATGACCTGCGGATATGCCTTGAGTTGGAAGTCTCCTGGCGGTGTTGGATCGGTCCCGATTGAGGTGGTCAGGCAGCGGGTCCCTGTGATAGGCGGTACAATGTGGGCAGGGAAGGTCAATTGGTTGGTCCTTAGTTTGAGAGGGGAGGATTGTTTGGTGCAAACCTAAGTTCCACATTAGAAGTTGTAAAGAAAATTACACACTTTATAAGTCCCAAGTGAACTCCACTAGTATGAGACTTTTTGGAGAATATCCAAAAACAAATCCGTGCGGGCTCAGCCCAAAGCGGACAATACCATACTAATATTGAGTTGACCCTGTCCCAACAATATATTATATAGAATATATGTGTGATCAATATCATTGTAATAACTAAAGTTTCGAATATGATTTATAGTAGGGGCGGACACAATTTCGATATTCTCAAATATTCAAATATTTTGATATTTGAAACCATGATCATATTCAAATCATGAATTTTGGTAAAAAAATTATTCAATTCGGTTCGATTCAACGATTAAGCGGTTAAAAAGTTTCAAATATTTTGTCCAAACTTAGTTTATGTAGTGTGATCACACCTCATTTGCAACTATTTATTTTTCTTTTAATAATGTTTACACTTTAAAAATTTTATGATTGCTTTTTGGTATAATGTATTACCTGCTAGCCATACATATTGAGTAATCATTAGCAACCATTTGCATTTGGTTTTTATCCTTAAATACCATTGAAAAAAAATAAGGGCACTACTATTTTTATGTACATATTGATTTTTTTTTTCATATTTGATAAATTACATACACAATCTATTTATAATAAAATATTTTATTCATTTGCAATTTCATTACCATTTTTTATAATACTCTTCGTTCTACTTTTTATGTATCTCGCATTTATGTAAAAATAAAAAAATTGTAAAAAAAATATCCTTCACACATATTCAATTATTATTTTTATTATTTATTTATTTTATTGACAAAATATATTTTAGACGTTCGCAAAATTTGTCATTTGTGGTTCATACAATGGCTGTCCCACGCACGATCATGCACGATCAAAAAAAATAAATAACGACTTTTACAAGCGTATAAGATATATTTTGCGAGCAAGATATATACATGAAAAAAATGATAATGAAATATACGTTAACAATATTTATTTTTTTTCAATTTTTCCATTAAAATACTATTTTTTACTCCCCCGTCTCAAACACCATGCAACATTTGTGTTTGACACGAGAATTTAGGTGATGAGTATTAAGTATAGTAATTTAAGATAATTTTGATATTAAGTGATGTGATTGGAGAGAAAAATGATTATTTGTTTTTTTATTTGAATGATGTGATAGATAAAGTGAAATGTGTATTAATATATGTATATAAATATTATTAATTATTTTTAAATTTGAAAATATTGTAGTAAATTTGAAAATATTGCAGGGTGTTTGGACAAATGGAATATTATTTTTTGTATCCATCCAAACAAGTAAAATTATTGCCGACGGAAAGAGTATTTTATGTAACATACTTTCACAATTTCTCGAAATAGTCTCAAACTTCCCGACAATTAGCATAAAAATCTCACAATATTTTCTTAGTTGGAGACAATTATATAATATAGCTATGCCACTAAAAGTCATGCCCTAAATTAATGCTTATGTCCTAAAAAAGGCTTATGTCCTAAAAAGAAAAAAGGCTATGCCCTAAACCCTTCATTCTCTAACAAACATTTCTAGATTCAATAACAAATACTTCCTCCGTTCCAGATATCGTGTCTGTTACACTGTAGACAGTGTATTTTAGGAGGAGTGTAATTAGTAGATAATTAAAAATATATTAGTGAAAATAATTATCTTATAGTATAAATAATTATAAATTAAAATTAGATAACTAATTAGTTTAATTAAAATTAAATAAAAAATAAAAAATTTAAAATGAAATTAAAGTGTGTAATTATTTTTCAAAAAAAAAAACTGACATGGTATGTGAGACGGACAGAAATGACAACGTGGACATGTATCTGGGACGGAGGGAGTAATAATTTTTTTTTCTTATAAAAAAAATTAATAATAGATAATTTTATAAAGGATATAGTCACATTATCAAAAATAAAAATAAATAAATAAAATGCAAAATAATAAAAGTAGTAACTAAAAGAAAAGTGGTGAAAAAAATAAAATAATGATATTAGGCAATTTATTTGGAATTTCAGCTCAAAGCTCCCAATCATTTGCCTAGAATTGATATTAGAGTTGTTATTCAAGTCATTAAATATAAAATTAATTTTATATAACTAATAAAATAATCATAAATGTCACATATGTATGATATATTTGTTGACTAAATTATATAATACCTTCGTGTGTTTTAATAAAATTATATAAAATATTTTTGTGTTTTATTTATTGTGTGAAATCTTTTCACGTAGAATTAAAGTATATATATACAATACATTTTTCGTTATAGTTGATATTGATTGTAAATACGAATTTAAATTATGTAAGTTTTTTAACAAAAATATAAAATATCTTAAAGGATAAATTATATAACACTTTTTTTGTTTCGGTAAAAATGTACAAAACATCGTGTGTTTTATTTATTGCTTAAAACTCTCTTGTTTTCCTTGCGTTAATGTAAAGTTTGCACGAAACATTTTCTTTGTCCAAAATTGATAGAAATACCTAAATTATGCAAATTTTATACAAATAAAAAATAAAAAATATCTTAAATAATTTTTTTAATACAATAAATAAATAAATATTTGATTAATCATTCATTTTATAATTTCTAAACACAAATTGTTATCTAATTTTTATAAAAATCAATATTAAACCACAACCGAACAAAGGACATCTCTAACCCAGTGTCAATGTTGATTTGGCGGTTGTCTCCAACCGACGGCTAATCCCGTTGCTTCTTATTATTATTTTTAATTATTAAATTTTTAATTTTAACTTTTAAATTTATTTTTTATTTTATAATTTTTTAAAAAAAAATTATTTTAAATTGTAAAAATAAAAAATTATTTAAAATAATATAAATATTTGAATATTTGAAGAATAATAGTAAAAAATGGAATTATGATTAAAATAAAATTATTGTAATAATTGCATATTTATAATTAAAACTGCATAAATGAAGTTGGAGTTGTATCCAGATGGCCTAAAAAAAGCCTTATTTCCATCAAAGACACACTCTCTATATGTATATATATTAGTACTAATTAAGCTTTAGCAAACTTGCAATAATATTTGAAGCATATTCAAAAATTATATGTATATAATTATATATATATATACATGTGTGTCTGTGAGAGAGAGAGCTTGATTGTTAGCTATGGCGGAAGAGACAGAAACAGCGAATGAAGAGGTGAATAATAACAATAACAATAATAATAATAATAATAATAATAACAATAACAGAAATGAAGCTTCTAGAAGAAACAATAATAATAAAAAGTACGCCATAGCCATCTCCATTCTGGCTTCCATGACCTCCGTCTTGGTCGGCTACGACGGCGGCGTGATGAGCGGCGCCGCCATCTACATCAAGAAGGACCTCCGCCTCTCCGACGTCCAAATCGAGATCCTCGTCGGCATGATCAACATATACTCCCTCATCGGAGCCGCCATCGCCGGCAGGACCTCCGACTGGATCGGCCGCCGCCGCACCATCGTCGTCGCCGCCGGAATATTCTTCGCCGGAGCCGTCCTGATGGGGTTCGCCACCAGCTACGCCTCCCTGATGGCGGGGCGGTTCGTCGCCGGCGTCGGTATGGGATACGCGCTCATGATTGCTCCGGTCTTCGCCGCCGAGATCGCGCCGGCGTCGTTCCGCGGCTTCCTCACCTCCTTCCCGGAGGTCTTCATCAATTTTGGTACTCCATCTCCATCTCCATACTTTTCCGTTACGGGTGTGTTTGTTTTGGAGATTTTGAGAATTTACACTATTTTTTCTTCCAAAAATATTAAATTAATTTTTTTTTAATTTTCTATATTATACTAAAAATTAATTTTATATTCATAATCTCCCATCAACTTCTATTTATATAATAAAATCATATAATTATTTCAATTCAAAATTTTTATTATTTAAATTTCAATTCAAAATTCGAATCTCCAAACAAACTTTTGTTTGAAAGATTTTGGAGAATTTTTATATTTAATACAATTTTTTTTTCAAAAATATTAAATTAAATAATTATTTTTTATTTTTGATACAATTTTTATTTATTTCAAAAATATCAAATTAAATAATTATTTTTTATTTTTATATTATATAAAAAATCAATTTTAGTAAGACAAGTAACATTACTAATGACTTCACGGTCATAAATCCAATTCCACACCGCTAGGCATGTTTTTGTTTATTCATGGAGTGTCTTTTTGATTGAGTAATTTTTATAAGTATTATTAAAAGAATATATTAATACAATTTATAATATATTTATTTTTAAAAATAATAATACTTTAATATAAAATATTATTTTAATAATATTAATATAATTTTATATTTAACATAAAAAACACAACCATTCAAAATCAGAACAAATCCTTTTTAAATTTTTAATCTTTTTAAAAAAGAAATAATATCACCTTTCTTCTCTACAAATTTTATGTTTATTTAAGCTAGAGTTTTAATAAATATTTCTTTCGTCTTAAGAAATTAGTTTAATTGGAGTTGACGCAAAAATTAAAAATATAAATATTTTATAAAAAATGAAAAAAAGTAAAATAGTAGTTTGAAATTTTTTAGAAATTTAGTAATTGAAAAGAATAAAAGAGAATGTAATAAAATTAATAATATTTATTAAATAAATATTGAATAATAATTAACTATTTATTTTTTGACCTTTTTAATTATAGTAATATAGTAAATTTAATGGATAAAAATAAAATAAATTTAACGGACAAAATAAGTATGATACTATAAATATTATTATTATATTAATTGTATTTTAAAAAATATATAAATAAGTTAATAAAATGAAAATATATATATATATATATATATGAATATGTAAGTAATAATAATATATTTATAAATAAATGTATACCTTCGTAACAACAATTATTAACTATAAAAAAAAAGTTAATATTTTTATAGAAAAAAAATAATGACATAAATTTGTTAAACAAAAATTATATAAAAAGTTAATATGATTTATAAAATTAATTTTCCTAAGCTAAAGATCAAATTCAAAGGGAGTATTCTCATGGTCGTTCATAACTATCGAAGGGCCGGAGCGAAATAAAAGTTAGGGGCCTTTAAATATGTATATATATAATATTTTTTACCTATAATGAAATATAAATAGAAAAAAAATATTTTTCCAGCATAAATTTAATTTCAAAATTTAGTATAAATTTTTCACATACTTTACAAATTGTATAACGCCCCCTTATATTTTAACAAACGCTATATGAAACCCCCGCCATGCAAAAAATATAAATGCAATTTTTAAAGTATATAGAAGATTTACACTGAATTTCGAAATCATAAATGAATTATTGATAATTTTGCCTAATAATAATAATTATAATATTTTCTAATATTTATTATCTTTTTAGTGCAAAAAAAATAATTAAAACAAAAATAAAAGACCCCTAAATATATATAAACGATCTACTCCGAATTTTTTTTTACCTATAATAGAATATAAATTATTAAATAAAATAATTTTTTCTTTTTAGAATTTTTAGATAAAATATAAATAATAGTATTAATATTAAAAATTTTTAAACAAAAATTAGGGACTCTAAATATGTATAAATAATGTATTTTTTATCTATAATAAAATATAAATAATTAAATAAAATAAATTTTCTAATATTTTTATATGCATAATATCAATAATACTATTAATATTAACTTTGTCTAATTTTTTTTAATATATAAAAAAAATATTTTTAAATAATATAAATAAAACTTAATCACCAAATTATGCTCTTTTATTAATAAATTAATGTGAAATAACTTATGTATATAAATAATATATATAATATAATTAAATAATAAGCCCAAATTTAAATTCGACCTGGCTGCTGGCGCCCCTTTCGCCCGCGCCTACAGACGGCGCTGAGTATTCTGCTAGTAAGACATGCATTATTCCTATGATTCTAATTAACAAAATTCCGATTACGTTGAAACAACACACCTTAGCTAGATTGGTCCGTGCTGGGGGCCCCCTCACGTGCATTGAGACTTTGTCGTTTAACTGACCGCTTAATTCCACGTGATTTGACCTGTGGGTCCCGCCGAGAGTAATTCTTACCTCGGTCTAAAGAAGTTTCGGATGTGTGAAAAAATAAATAAATAAATAAGTTATTTTTATGCCACATATTTTTACTTATTATTTTTTATAAAATATCATATTAAATATATTTTTTTTACAAAATATTAAATTAAATACTAATTTTTAATTTTTTTAAATTTTTAAAAATTTTTAAAAAAACTTTTATCTAAACAAAAACTTTTTATTTAGATAACAAAATTTAGATAATATAAATAAATTATCAATCTACTAAATTTCATTGTCTTAAATATTTAATCACAACTACATTGAGACAGAGGTAGTAAAAACTAACAAAAATACCCATGAATCATTTAAAAAATAAATCATATTCCCACACACATAATATGAATACATATTACATATATATATAGTATTTGTATATATATATACATATTATGTGTGTAAGGATAGAAAATACTGAGTTATAAGCCTATCTCCAACTCTCCATTTAATTTTTTACTTCAACCACAAACTTCAATTTTTACTTAAAAATATATTTTCTGTATTTTTCTTTTATATTATTTTATATAATTTTTTTATATTTATAAATTACACCTCAATTTTAATCTATTTTTATATTATAATATATATATATATATATTTGAGAGTGGGTTGAAGCTCCTCCTCCAATTTATGCGCAACCCACTGGGGTTGATCTAATGGGACAGATGATCAAATACTACTCACACACACACACGTTAAAATACATGCACAAAAGTTTAAACACATACTGTATTAGAATCGATTCTGGTCAATCGTCCACTTCACAATTTGATGTCTTTCAACCTAACTTTGATCCATCGATCGATCGATCAACAGGTATTTTGCTGGGTTACATATCAAATTACGCCTTCGCCAGGCTACCGTTGAAGCTCGCCTGGCGGATGATGCTCGGCATAGGCGCCGTCCCGTCGCTGCTCCTCGCCGTCGGGGTACTTTTCATGCCCGAATCACCTCGTTGGCTTGTCCTGCAGGGCCGCCTCGCCGACGCCAAGAAAGTGCTCGACGACACGTCCGACTCGCCGCAAGAGGCGCAATTACGACTCGCCGATATCGAACAAGCCGCCGGAATCTCACAAGACTGCACCAATGATGACATCGTTACGGTGCCCCGACGCGACCACGATGGCGTCTGGAAGGAGTTGTTCCTCCACCCGACGCTCCCCGTCCGCCACGTTCTCCTCGCCGGCGTCGGCATCCACTTCTTCCATCAAGCGAGCGGCATCGACGCGGTGGTGATGTACTCCCCGAGGATATACGAGAAGGCCGGGATCAAGAACGATTCCGACGAGCTCCTCGTGACGATAGCAGTCGGGATTAGCAAGACGTTGTTCGTCCTCGTGGCTACGTTTCTAGTCGACCGGGTAGGTCGCCGGGTTCTGCTCCTCGCAAGCTGCGGTGGGTTGGCGGCGTCGCAGTTCGTACTCGCCGCCGGGTTGACAGCGATCGACCGTTCCGGCGACGAGAAGGCCACATGGGCCGCAGCGATATGCGTGGCCATGACGTTGTCCTGCGTCGCGTTCTTTTCGATTGGGATGGGACCGATCGCGTGGGTGTATAGCTCCGAAGTGTTTCCGTTGAGGCTGCGGGCGCAAGGCTGCAGCGTCGGGGTTGCGGTGAACCGGCTAATGAGCGGGGCGGTGCTGATGACGTTCATTTCGTTGTACGAGGCGATCGGCATCGGCGGGGCGTTCTATCTGTACGCGGGCGTCACCGTTTTGGCGTGGGTTTTCTTCTACGCGCTGCTGCCGGAGACTCGGGGGAAGACGTTGGAGGAAATGGAGGCTTTGTTTGGGACATTCTTTGGCTGGAGAGCTACTGTGAAGGAGCTGAAGAGGAAGAAGACACTGGAGGGAAACCTGCAATGAAGGTTCTATATTCACTATCATTAGTAGTAAAAACATTAGGTATGTAATAACAGCTCCATTGGCATTCTCGAGCATAGTTAGAACATATATCGAATGACTGAACATACGTAATTGCCGTTAGAACATATATCGAATGACTGAACATACGTAATTGCCGCCCGGGCGAGTTTAGAAAGCGCACCTTATTGTTCTTATGTTCGATTTCATGGAAGTAGTCCTTCAAGAGAATGCCGGCTCGACGGGCTGATACGGAGGGAGTATATGATAACATAATATGCATGTAAACTAACACCACATAACAATAGCCAATATAACACATACAATTGAACTCAGCATACCCTATAAACAACTTTATTATCACTACATATAGCAGCACATTAAATATAAATAGACAACACAAGATATACGTTACCCTAATACAAATACAACATATGAACTGGCACGTAATAGCCAATACAACACATATTACAATTAAACTCAGTACAAAAGATATATTCATAGAATAGATCTATAAACTCTAAACTTTAACACATGATTTCAGTTAACACTACACAATTAACTAAGAGTGAGTGTTTTCCGACTATTTTCTGTACGCTAATTAAGGTCAATCAACACACTAACTAGTCCTATGAGATAAACAAAAAAGCAAACGACGACAAAAGAAAATGTAGATCCTACTAAGAACAATCACCCATGATATTCAATCTGCAAATAAGGCTAGTACATCATGCGTAAATTGTTCGCAGAAAGATTGTCGTGGTAGTTGTACAAAATTGAGAGGAAAGAAAAAGCATAAAAGTCTCACAAAACACGCTAAACGCTAAGGATACAATACCTATTTATGCACTCTTCATCGACACAACAACAATCAGATATGACACACAATTACATATCAAGGATACTGAAACCACCCCCGTGTTTCGAAGGAAGAAGATCTCACGGTGAATCTAGGCCCCTCCAACATTCGAAGAAAAGTACATCCTGGCAAATTGCAAACATAACTGCCGGTCTCTGGTATCTCCCCAGCCACCCCAACCCCGGAAGCCAGGCTGATAACCAGCTTGGTGCTTGAGTATATGTACTCCCCAATCTGATTTAATGTTTGGAATTTTATCAATGTCGTCGACTGCAATGTTCAAAGAGCCATTATCGAGACATGCTGCTTTCTGGCCCTGACCCTGATGCAAACCACATTTTCCAAAATGAACGGCGCTTGTTCTAGGTGCTCGTAGTGAGTAAACAGGGCTACCAAATGAAGGGTAAACGGTAGCCCACATTGTTATATCCCAATTATAGTCGTCAAACCAACAGAATTCTTTAGCTTTTTTATGAATCTTCCGCCACACCGTACGGTTAAACGAGTATCCCACATTCCCCATCCTCTCTGCTATCAAACTATCCCACCCTTCTCCTCTTGATTTCACGTCCCATGGCGCCAGATTTGCAGCATAGCAGTGAGGGCACCTTTTAGGCTTCAATTTTATAAGCAACTGCAGATTCCGATAGGCATTAGGATAGATATAATGGTCTTCTTCGATGAAGAGAATATGACCAGAGTGTCGCCTCGTCTCGTTCAAACTATCCCACACCGTGTTCATCATCCACCACCAATGATGCTTCAACGACACAATCTTTGGTGACCGGTGGTTCCCATACTGATCCGGTGTTCCGACACATTTCTTCTTTGTAGGATTCTCTTTGTCCTTGCAATCTGTGGGGGAAATTCCGGGAAAGCCATCGGCAAAAATGTGCGGGGAGTAAGGGGCAAATATCTGCTTGACTTGGCAGAACTTGATTCCATCCACAATCTTGTTCATCTCCTCAAAGTATCCATCATGACTAACAATTAGTAGAGTTTCACTTATCCCTGTTACTCGACTAAGGCTGTCGACAGCTGCTCGAAGATACTGTGGCCGATTATGGACATATAGAACAATAACTACATGATCCTTAGCTAAAGTAGGAAACAAATCCAGATTCCTCGGCGGCATCCGGTTTCGGTTCTCCAATGAAATCGAAAGCTTATTCTGTGTAGGAAGCTTCAAACTATTGTTTAAAAGCAAATTATAACTAGGAGTCAACACAGAACCTGCATCCGTACTGTCAATATAGGGTTCATCAGCCTCAATCGAATATCTGCTAATCAAGTCGATAAACGAGCTTGTCCTCAGTAGCAACACCAATAAAACAATTCCTAACACACCAATCAAAATCAAACGGAAAAACGCCAGATCTTTCAGTCGAGCTTTTCGATAAGAAGCCGCCATTCAATTAAAGCAAATTCCTCCCCGAAGTAATGGCGACAAATTCCTACAAATCCGGGGACCAATACACGAAGCGATTAAACGAGTAAGAAAGGTAACCTCGTCATAGCGGAGGCACAGCCTCCCAGCGAGCCCCGCGGCTGATTAACCTGAGAAAAAATCCAACAAATTCAGTACCAGAGAGCGGATGTAATGACCAAGCAGCTGAAATTACTCAGCAACGAACCTGGAACGCGTCAAGACGGGAATTTCAAGAAATCCCAAGCAAGGTTTCCGTCATTGTCACGACAATGGAAAAATCGAGAGGAAGCAAGAAGGAAGGAACTGACCATAGACTTGCAGCTGTTCTTCCCTCAGGTCAGGCCGACTCCGAATCCTAATATTAAATAATAAAATAATAATAATTATAATAAGTGATATTAGTACTGCCTTACATTTATTAACGCAACGACTATTGCCTTTGGGAAAATTAAATGAAGATTAGATGATCGCCACGTGGACTATTGACATTTGACTCTTATGGGTAATTAATAGTAAATTATTTGTTTTAATGAGTATTTAGATATGAAACCGTTTACATAGAAATTTGTTCCCTAATCTACACCCTTAATTAATGAGTATATTTCAATGAAGCTAAAATATAGACAAGATTATTATAAGTAATTATGTGACTTCTGTTGGAATGTCTCTGTCCTTTTTTGGTAACTGAAAGGCTCCAATTTACTTGTCACTTCAAAAGCCACCAAATTGTCACCTGTAGATAAAGAGAGATTTAACTGACATTCTAACAAATCTACGTATAATATAATGATGGGATAATTCTACAAGAGAAATGTTATCATCAAAATGGGGCATGGGCCAAATATGGTGTCATTTCTTCTCAATATGAACTTGTAATTAATCCAACAACACGAGAGAAAATGTTTAGGGAAAAAGAAGGAATAGAGATGGTTAGAGAGTGATACAACAAAAACTTTTACTTGTAAATAAGGGCGTCGCGGCCCGGCCCGATGCCGATGTAGTGAATGGGTGTGCCAACAAGTTCTTCTATCCTTTCGACATAATTGCGAGCTGCCTTTGGCAGCTTGGAGTAGTCTCTGATCGAAGAAATGTCACTTTGCCACCCGGGCATGACTTCATACTCGACCTAGACAAGTACCAAAGTTAAGGGTTGCGAAATTGTTAAAATTAAAATAAAAGCGCACAAGAAAAAGGCTATAATTTGGTGACAATTCAATCAGAATAATCGACATCTTGGGACAGCCAAACTAGATATTTTCACTAGTGTTGTCGGCATAAATTTCACAGAGAATATATAAGTGTACGAACAAAAAAAAAAAAAAAGAAAATTGGACTTAAGTTACAACACAACAAACAAAATCTTTATTTTTTATACACTTTTGAAAATTTTGATACTCCCTCCGTCCCTTAACAAACTATCTATTTTTTCATTTTGGTTCGTCCCATATCAAAGTACTCATTTCCTTTTTTTTAGTAACTCTATTATCTGTCTAACATTACAAATACTCTTACAACTTACAATATATTACACATATGTCATTATCTTTATGTCACACAATACTAATAAGATTATTTTAGTCACTTCTATTTTATTTTTACGATATCCCAATATAATACTAATATTTCTAAAACTCCATACAAAAAACAAACAGATACATAAATATGGGACGGAGAAAGTACTATTTACTAATAGTAACTTTTTCAAAAAAGAACATTATATCGAATATATTTTTCTTTTCATAAAATATCAATTCAAATACTAACTTTTTATTATTCCCAAACGGAGCCTAATATATTCAAAGGCCGATATAAAAAACATGCCAAAATCAAGGTTTAACACTTCACTTTTCAACATGGAGAAGATTGCAAGGAAAAGATAGAGCTTGTAGAGTGAAGTCGACATGTGGACGTAACATAACTATGTATGAGATGATATTTCTAGCAGATAAAACTGGACATAAGGATATGGAGGCAGAAAGTTGAGATTAAATAATGGCAACCCGAAAAAGAGTGTAATGAATTAGAGCTCACCTTGATCTGCTCCAGAAGACGAAGGTCTGCCGGGAATGATTGAACTGGAGTTCCATCAATACTCTTGTATGAAACGCCCAATTGAATTTCTGGAAGATCTGATAATACATCAAGTTTGGTGAGGTTCAGAGATGAGAACCCATTTATTTGACAGCAATATTTCAGTGCAACTATGTCAAGCCATCCACAACGACGCGGGCGACCCGTTGTTGTCCCGAACTCCTGTCCAGCAAACCTTAGTAAATCCCCTCCTTTGTCCAAGAGTTCAGTCGGAAAAGGACCTGAACCAACACGTGTAGTGTATGCCTTCACCTACACAACATTGCAATTGGATGATATAAGCATAGGAGCGCACTTGAATAACATTTTCAAACACATTCAGTTTGTTCACTCAACATTTCTCAATAGAACAATTCCCCATAAATATTATTAAAAAAATACAAATATACACACACATTAATATAATATATATATATCAAAGTCAATAAATCAGCGCAAAATATTATTTTTTATATTATCAACACAGTTCCCCCGTACCAATTCATCTAAAAATGTTGTGTGAACAGACAGACTGATTGTTTTTTCAGGAAAAATTCATCAAAGAAACAACTTACCACGCCTATGAGGTCGCCGACAACTCTTGGAGCAATACCCAAACCTGTACAGATTCCTCCTGCAGATGGGCTGGATGAAGTTACAAATGGATAAGTACCGAAGTCAATGTCTAACATGGTTGCCTGGCCACCTTCGACCAAAATCTTTTGTTTTCGCGATATGGCATCGTTCATAAAGTGGACAGTATCAGTAATGTAGGGTTCCAATCTCTCAGCAAAGTTTTTGTAACGTTCGACTTCTTCCCTAAGCATGTCAGGGGTGTAATTAAAACCTTGGAATCTTGAAGCAGCATCAGATAATAAAAGATCAAGCTTCTGAGGAAAAGTATCCATATGCCTCAAGTCACTTATTCTTATGCCATTCCGAATAACTTTGCTCGAATAGCAAGGTCCGATGCCTCTTTTGGTAGTGCCAATGAATGACTTAGCTAGCTCAGCCTCCCTAAGCCCATCCACAACTTGATGAAAATCAAATAATAGGTGAGCGCGGTCAGATACCAAGATCCTCCCTTTGCAAGAGACTCCATTAGATTCAAGACCGTCGATTTCTTTAAATAACCCAGGCAGATGCACCACAACTCCATTACCAATTACACAGACAGCTTCCTCATTAAGAATTCCAGAGGGCACAAGGTGAAGTGCAAACTTCTTGCCCTCGGAATTATAAATTGTGTGGCCAGCATTAGCTCCCCCCTGTAGAGAAGTTATTAATCATCGAATTTAGTGTGCTGCTTCTCATTTCAATCAAGGACACAATAAGTCGAAAAATAAATATATCAGAAAGCTAAACTTGTGTAGTTTATGTTTGTCACAGATGCTCCACATTAAGAGCCAAATTCATGTCATTTTCAAGAAATTGACTTTAAACCCCTTAACCTTAAACCCTAATTTTTATATCCAACTTCTTTTTCTTATGCAATTTCAACTAGAAGGAGGTCAGGCTTTAAACTTTACACATACACACACAATACCTACCATACTAATTTCTCTTCCTCTTTATCAAATTTCAAATGGTATTATTCCAAGTATTAACCATGACAATCGAGACTGGCAATATATGATTGAACCAAGACCACACCAAAATTTATTTCAACAGAGTGGTTGTGCCATTGCACAGCATAATCTCTAGTTTCATAGAATCAGTAGACCATTGTTTTGAGTTAAGAATATCCACCCATCTTAAAAGATCAAAATCTCAACATTTTTTTAGTTTTAAACATATTGTTAGACAATTTTATCACATACTACAAGTAACACACTGCCATCGTAATATATATATATATATATATTTATAGAATGTTTCAAAGGGAGCAAGCTAACAACACAAAGGAACATACAATGTATTCACCTGTAGTGTATAGTTCACTATATTTGGCCTCAGCAAGTAACATTCAGTCCTATCTATTAAGCACATAATGCTATTCACAAACCTAACGTCTGTCCACTAAATCCAAGTAACAACTCTCAGTCAGATAGAGCAGATTCCATCCATTAAAACAGATATAAACTCCATAGATAAACCTACTCAGATCTACTTGGTTTACAAAAAACTCAATACGGAGATTATGAGCGAGATATACAACAAATTTGCAGAGACAGAGGTGTTTATCTCTTCTTCTCGTATTCAGAAGTGGAGCGGTAAGTGATATACGTAATATGAACTACCACCAGTAGCAACAGGTAAGCCAATGATAATGTGGGAAAATGAATCGCTAAATTGGAATACTGTATGATAAAAACGAGCTTAAACTAGGCAGAAAAGGCATTCACCTGACAGCGAGCTACGATATCGAAGTGCTTGGCGAGAATATCCACAAGCTTTCCCTTACCTTCGTCTCCCCACTGGCAACCAAGCACGCCGGAAACTTGGCTCAGAGATTCAATCCGATTACATCCAGATTCCGACTCGCTAACTCCTTTCTGTATCACAGTCGAGCCACTCCTCGGCGCGGCGGAGCATAGAATCGTTCTGCTCTGCTTGTTGTTCGGAAGTGAGAGGTGAACGCAATGGTAGGACCCGCCGAGCTTCCCGGATAGAGCACCGCTCCACAACCCCGGCGCGGAGGCGATGGAGGGGGAGGAGGAGATACTCATCGGCGAGACGGCGGCGAATGAATGGGGATCGAGTAGCATACACTCTGCTAGTCTGCTGTACCTTCTCACTTTCCTTTTATTTAAAATAAATATTACTAATTTTATTCATTCTCTTTCTTTCATTTACTTTCCTTTACAATACCATTTAATTTATCTTATTATTAATTTTTGTGATAGAAAAAAGATATGATATATAAATTTATAAATTTGTTCACCCTCATCAAATATTAATCACGATTTTTAATAATATTTTCTATAGTCCATCAAATTTAATCTTATTTCTTATAAATATAGAAATGAATAGAGTTAAATTTATGAATGAGGGAGTAATACATTATTTTTTCATTAGTTCGAATTAATTATGTCATTTTTTTAATTAATTGTTAAATTTATGTATAATTTATTTATAATAAATAATTTTACTTCTTTATAATTTTATCATCTCTATTTTAACAAATATGATTACTAATCAATTTGTTATTTGCTTCATTATTTTTATTAATAGTACTTAATAAATGTGAAAAAATCAATTATGGTTCCAATATAAAAAATTCGTTAATTTTACTCATATTATAAACAATTTCAATTAATTTTAGTCCCGTTATAAATAATTTCAATCAATTTTGGTTCAACTGTTAAAAAATTAACAGAAATTACTGACGTGAACACGACGGAAGTGACATAGCAACTGACTTGGAAACTACACGACTATATTGTTATATGGCCATATATATTTCAGTGTATAATTATACATGTTTATGTACATTAATACACGGCCATATAACAACATGGTCATGCATATTTCAGTGTATAATTATACATGATCATTATAATTCTATACGACGGTGTACTTTTCTGTTTTGGTTTAAAATTTTATTTTTTGTTATATATTTATTTTTAATTTTTGTTTTGAATTTAGAATAGTTGATACAGTTATAATGGGAAAAAATCAATAATAATCCTAATATAATTAAAATGTATCAATTTTAGTTCAAATATAAACATTTATAGAGTATGTTCTTTTGAAAATTTTGTCTAAAATTCTACTATTTACCAAAAAAAAATTCTCTTACAAACATCAAATTATTGTATTGAAATAATAAATTAATTTTTAATACTACTATAATATACAAAATTTAAAAATAGTTGTGTAATTAGATGTTTTAGGGTGTGTTTGTTTGGGGGTTTGGATTTTGAGTTGAGATTTGAATAGTACAAATTTGGAATTTGAATAGTTGTATGATGTGATATAAATAGGTGTTGATTTGATGTTTTGAATGTAAAATTGATTTTTAGTATAATATAAAAAATGAAAAATAGGTGTTTGATTTGATATTTTTTTGGGGGAAAAAATTGGATGAATAGTGTAAATCCAATCCAATCCTCCAAACAAACACACTAAGAAGAAATTTTTTTATGATCAATAGAATTTTAGATAAAATTTTTCAAAATAATATATCTTATAAATTTTTATATTTGAATTAAAATTAATAAATTTTAATTATATTATTATTAATATTTATTTTGTCCACTTTAACTATATCACCTATTTTAAATTCAAAATAATATTTTTTTAAAAATATTAAAAAAAAAAAAATTTAGACTAAAACAGAAATGACCGTGTAACAACGTAACCATGTATAATTATACACTGAAATATACATGGTCATGTAACAACATAGCGATGTATAATTGTACATGGCCGTGTAACAACATAACCATGTATAATTATACACTGAAATATATACAACAATGTAACATCATGACCGTGTATAATTGTACATGGCCGTGTAGTTTCCAGGTCAGCTGCCACGCTGTTACGCCCACGTCAGCAATTTCCGTTTATTTTTTAACGATGAAACCAAAATTGATTGAAATTGTTTATATTGAGACAAAATTTGACTAAAATTGTTTATAAATATGACCAAAATTGATGAGATTTTTATATTGAGACAATTGATAAATTTTTATTATATTGAGACCAAAATTAATTTTTTTTCCCTTAATAAAATTTTCATATTATTTTTTATTTACCTATTTATTATATTAGAATATTTCTCGGACAACTAGGCATAAATGATAGTGTAATTTTTTCCATATTAATAACTAAAATTATGAGAAAATTACCAGAAGCAACCCAAACGGCGTCGTATCGAATAGCAGATTGTTCTTTACTGTTCAAAGACGACGCGCACTATCATTACGAAAAACTTAGTGAAGTGAAATCTCGAAGATTTTCCGCAGAATCTGGATTGCTTTCACTGGATGATCTTTTGCAGTTCTTCGCCCAATTTCCTCTGCGTTTTTGCTGTTGAAATTTTGAATCAATTTTGGAATTCGTTTCGATACGTGCCGAAGCGAGCGTAGGTGCCATCCGCGCAAATGGCGATTGCAGCTGCAGTTGTTATTGTACCGTTAGGCCTTCTCTTCTTCACGTCTGGTCTTGTGGTTAATTTAATCCAGGTGAGTGTGTTTGGAATTTGTATGCAACATTAATCATTTTTATTAGGGTTTTTTTTGTTGTTCGAGATGCTGTGTTTATATATGTTGTGTTTTATGGGCTGAGTGACATCATTTTGCAGTCTTTTGCTATTCCTGATATAAATTAGTACTCCTTGCGTATGCATCTCATGCTTAGCCTTTCGTTCATGATGTAATGTTTCCATGTTTATTCTGGTGTGTAATATGATTTAATTGGTAGCTGAAGAATAATCTTTGATTCTCCAGGCTCTGTGCTTTGTGCTAGTAAGGCCTCTGTCGAAAAGCACATATAGAAGGATAAACAGGGAGGTGGCCGAACTTTTATGGCTTGAGCTAGTGTGGCTAGTTGATTGGTGGGCTGGTGTCAAGGTGAATATATATGATTACAACTGTGGTATATAGTTAAACTTCAATTTTTTGATTACATGAGCTTTAATTTCTGTTAGTGTGATGGTATTGCTTATCATATAATTAAACAATTAACATTAATTTCGAATTGCAATTTGACTCTATAATCTATATGCAACTGTATGGGATGGAGATCTGATCATGTATCAATACAGTTTGAAGCTGCAGAGTGTTGTGGTGTATTTATCTGGCTTAGTCATGTTTTCATGTTCCAATTCAACACCGTATCTTTTTTATGTTGTAAGAGGAGATGAGTATTCACATAACAAACATTTGTGGATCCAATCTCAATGCTATAATAAGAAAGGAGATATTTCCAATCAGTCTGTTTGATGAAGGAGTTTCATTATGTGTTGTTATGCATTCGGAAGAGTAGGATGAAACCCAAACAGTTCAAACTATGACAACAGATTTTGTACCATTGGTCTAATAATTTCCTTTATTACGCATTTAGGTGGATACTCTTTTGTCTTAGTTACATCCTTTCTCTGAATTTTCATCATACAACATAGACCATGAGTCCATCTATACCCTATTAGCTTGCCCGGAGGCATGTGTTATTCTGCTCTTGTGGGCATTCATTACGTTGGTTGCTATCCTAAGCTTAAAAGAAAATAAAATTGTTAGATAGTTAACGATGTAATTTGAATTTGGATCATCTTATCTCTTGTTAACCTGCTATTCTATTTTGCAGATTGAACTGTACACTGACTCTGAAACTTTTAAATTGATGGGTAAGTGGATGTAGTTGCTTCATGTAATTTGATTTGTTTCTGTCATTATGAAAGTATAAGTCTTGCTTGAGACACATATATTTACTTATATTGGTATTTCCAGGTAAAGAGCACGCGCTTGTTATATGTAATCACAGAAGCGACATTGACTGGCTTGTAGGTTGGGTTTTGGCTCAGGTTTGCAATCTCCCTGTTACTATTCTGCTAATCTGTTTTGTTTTATCAATAAATCTTAATCAAAATCAAATCAATCTCCAGAGAAATCAACTCACCATAAAACCATGTAATTTGAATCACAATAAGTAGATCAGGTTTATTTTAGCTGGTTCTTTATGTTATCTTTACTAGGAAGCTCAGCGGATTTGACATTTTGATATTCTACTGACAGCGATCAGGTTGCCTTGGTAGCACATTAGCTGTTATGAAGAAATCATCAAAGCTCCTTCCTGTAAGTGCCTAATGCTTCTACTATGGCATTGATCCAGAAGCTGTACTAAGCAATAATCTTTTATAACAGTGAACATAAATTGCCTTAGAGAAGGAGTGATGATTCTCTTTTCTTTTAATTTGTATTCTGGATGCCCTCTAATCTGATGAACTTTTTATATAATGGAGTTGACAAAATTATCTTGATAAATTATAAAATGTCTCATCATGAGATGCTGATAGGAGTGAACAAGAAATGCTTTAACTGCGTGAATGTGAAGATGTTGTTGTCATATGATGAAATTATATTAAGTTCTAAAACTATTCTCTTCCTTGGTTAAATCTTCAATGCCCCAGTTACTAGTTAAAAAGTTGTTTGTATTTATGTTTTATATTTCTCTCTTCTATCTTTTTTTCTCCTCTCGTTTTGTTTCCAAGATACGGATAGAAATCCAATCAATCGAATTGAATACAAATTTTTCCTAATAGTTTTGTTTGCTATTTAGTTTGCTTCTTTAGTTGATTTCAGCTTTTTCTTTACATTGCAGTACATGCAAGGTATACTAAGAAAGAGATCTTTTCTTGATCTTTTCAGGTTATAGGATGGTCCATGTGGTTCTCCGAATATCTCTTTCTTGAAAGGAACTGGGCGAAGGATGAAAGCACTTTGAAAGTACTGTAAAGTGTTCTTATATAAATTACTGTCATGCAATTTTACTTGTTTGTTATTTTCTTATCTGCTTTTTGTTTCTTCACTAGTGTTTCTGCCATTCTCGGCTGTCTGAATTGATATAATCAGTATCTACATCATTTTAGCCTTTTATGAATATGTTGATGGGTTCAATCTAGTGAACTGAATAAAATTATATTGAATATGGGTTATACTTTATTGCAGTCAGGACTTCAGCGGCTGAGAGATTTTCCTTTGCCTTTTTGGCTGGCACTTTTTGTCGAGGGTACTCGTTTCACTCAAGCAAAACTCTTAGCAGCTCAAGAATATGCTTCCTCCACTGGGCTACCCATACCAAGAAATGTTTTAATTCCTCGAACTAAGGTACCAATATGAACTAATTTATGAGATGGAGTCATGAATCCATGATTATTCTATCACCATCTTGAAACTCCATGCCAAATTTTGTCATTTTTGCATGTCCTGAACTAAGACGTGAGCCTTTACTATACAAGTTCTCTATTATTTATGTTCTCTATGTTAAAAGTGTCGGTTACTGTTTTTGACAGACTGTTTTCATCTTGCACTTCGTTGGGGACATCACATTTCTTAAGAGTTATTCTTGGAATATAGCTGTTATGTTTTACCTTTTCATCTTCTTATAGAAAGATTTTAAACATGAAACTTATGTATGAGATATTTAACACCAACCTGTTGGAGTGATTCACAGGGCACAGGACTTGCTCTATTCGATTATTTTTTTAAATCCTTGTTTCATTTCCCTTTCTTGGATGTTTTGATTTCGCTTTCATGTAGATATAGCTAATCTGCATTCTTTATGTGCATGCTATCCAAATCTAGGTTGTGGAGTCACTAATTTTATACGTTTTGTTTTGTGTTACCACGTGCTCAAAATCAATATTCTCCTGAATTTTGTTTCCTGTTCAATGCTTTCAGGGATTTGTTTCAGCTGTAGCTCATATGCGCTCTTTTGTGCCAGCTATTTATGATGTAACTGTTGCTATTCCTAAATCGTCTCCTCAACCCACCATGCTAAGACTCTTCAAAGGGCAGTCTTCTGTGGTAAGCTATAAAATCTTGCTATCAGTTTTTGTACATTGTTGTATTATTATATAGCCAATTGGTGGCAGCTTCATTCTGATGCATTTTGGAACATTGCTCAATATTGGACGCGAGAAAGGAGTTCTCAAACTAGCATTTCTATATATATATATATATATTTTGTTGAGTCTTGACCTTATTTTATTACATTAGATCATTCTTATACTACCTGTTAATTCTTGTTTCGAGATATTAATGCTATACTAAATTATAACCTTTTGAGGTTCACGTCCACCTCAAACGGCACTTGATGGAGGAACTGCCGGAATCTGATGATGCCGTTGCTCAATGGTGTAAAGATGTCTTTGTTGCCAAGGTATGTTTTACATTCAGCATCAAGAAACAGATAATTATCAAACATACCTACTTTGCCTCATTAATCAGATCCACAAATTGCTTCTCTGAACAGGATAAGTTACTCGACAAACACGTTGCCGAGGGCTCCTTTGGCGAACAACTTCAAGACATGGGGTGCCCCGTGAAATCCCTTCTGGTAATTACAACACCAAAGTTCTAAACAAATTGCACACACAGCAAATATAACATTTCACCTCCTACGATCGCAGGTTGTTAGTTCTTGGGGAATTTTGATGATCCTCGGATCTTTGAAAGTTTTCCAGTGGTTCTCGATGTTCTCTTCGTGGAAAGGCATTCTGTTTTTATCCCTCGCGCTGGCAGCCGTCACCATTCTTATGCAAATCTTGATTCAGTTCTCCCAGTCAGAACGTTCGACTCCTGCCAAGGCTTCCCAGAAGAAACCAAAGATCGATGGAGAAAGCTCGGAAAATAAAGTGCACTAGGTGTGTGAGACACACCTACACCTGCCTACCTCTATTCCCAGGGCACATGATATGTATTCTTCTGCTAGTGTTCGATTTTCTAACTCCATTTGTGGCTCTTGTAATTTTATGACACACACTGCCCTCCCTTTGTACGGACAGGACGGAAGAAGGTAAACAAACTCGTCAATTCATTAATTCTGTCATTTTTGGAGTCACCAAATTATTCTTTTTTTTAGTTTTACTTGCATAATTAACAAATCTCTAATCATTCTCCATTTAACAAAATATTTTTTTGAGAATATTTTGAAAAATGTAAGGAAGATGTAATCCTTGAGTGGATTATAAATAATTTTGCCTAGGATTTAATATGAAAATTAAATTTAGAATTTTTAAAAATCAGTTAATGGGTGAATAGAAATATCAAAATTAAATAATATATGAAAAATCTTCCACCTAAAAATACATCTAAACTTTTATTCAATTTGACATTTTATTTGATATTTGTTTGAATTATTTTATTTATTAATTTCATATTCTCGCATTACTTTTCTAACATTGCATGTGTGTTACGATTAGTTGGTGATATAATTAATAGCAAAATAAAAATATCCTAAGATTGAGAATAGATGCATCAACTATAACAATTAGGTAAATACCGGACTACATAATTTATTTTTATTTTTTATTTTCGTCTGTCTAAACATGATTATACAATTTAATTATATTTTAAATTTTAAATTTAATAATTTTTTTAATATTATTTATCTTAATTTTAATTTATAATTATTTTTACTAATATACTTTTTAATTATTTATTAATTATATTTTATTTAAATTTTAATTTTTATTAATATATTTTTTAATTATTTAATAATTATATTTTATCTAAATTTCGGCGATAATAGATTTATATTAACGAAGGGAGTATTATTTATTTGTATGGAAAAGGAGTATATTTTTTAGAAAATAGAGGGGCGTTTATGCAATTAAGTTGAAGTGATGTATTTACAATTCAATCCCTTTTCCACACATATATAACAGCTTCTTGTTCCTCCCTGTTTTGTGAACCTACATCAAGAGGTGGAAGGGTTATTCTTTTTGGGAAGAAAAAGAGGCGATGAGTCGGAGCTTGGGAATTCCGGTGAAGCTATTGCACGAGGCGTCGGGGCATGTGGTGACGGTGGAGCTGAAGAGCGGCGAGCTGTATCGTGGAAGTATGGTCGAATGCGAGGATAATTGGAATTGCCAGCTCGAGAACATCACTTACACTGCTAAGGTACCATTGGATTGATGAATGTAGGATACGCTGAGATTTATTCAATGATTTCTTTTTGAATTTGTCTTCTGTTTTTGTGTTGAACAATTCTAAATGCTAATTTATTTAAACCCTGGGGTAGGTGTTAAACCCTAGGAATGATCTGTAAGCGGCAATTATGTGATTTGCGCTGTTTCCCTAATATTTTGAGTGTGTCTTGTTGTGTTATCCCCTTACCGACTGTATTATTATAAATTTAAACCTGAAAACCAAATGATTTGAAGTTGTCATACTGCTTATTTTGCAATGTGGGGATTCGTTTGAAGCATATTGTAAAGGCTGAGGAATTAGGGATCTTTATTTTTCTTTGCAACAATGGACACTGAAGGTAATTACTTTAATTTATGAGCAGGAGAAGTGATACAGTCACCAATTTTAACTGATGTAGTTCTCTATCTATGCTGCTAATTACTGAACTGGACAGTGCTTGAGAGCAAGTACAAAATCGCCGTATTGAATGAAAAATTATGTGTATTTTGAATGATTGTTGGTAAATTATTATGTAGGATGGGAAGGTTTCTCAGCTGGAGCATGTTTTCATCAGAGGGAGCAAAGTCAGGTTTATTACTCTCTTATTATCATTATTATCCTTTGTCTCTATCACTATTCTTGGATGTAATCAATTCTCGATTTCCCCAGGTTTATGATAATACCAGATATGCTCAAGAATGCTCCCATGTTTAAGCGGTTGGAAGCGAGGATAAAGGTTCCATTTCACTATATCCATGATATTTGTAATGTGTTCTTCCTTCTGAATTTGTTCAAGACTTTAATTATCACCATTTAATATTTAATCTTGAAGGGGAAGAGTTCAGCACTTGGTGTTGGCCGTGGCCGTGCTGCTGCCATGCGAGCTAGAGTAAGTTATATGTATATATATATATATATCTAAATGCTTGTGCTGATTACTAACATCGAATCTATACCCAATGGTTGATATTTAGTCCAAATGATTCTCACAAGCACTTTAGACACTCTTGTTTTTTCCCGTGTGTTTGTTTGAGGGTTTGGGTTTTGAATAGTTGTTTGATGTGATATAAATAGATGTTAATGTGATTATTTGAATGTAAAATTGATATGAGTATAATATAAGAACTGAAAACAGGTGTTTGATAGTAAAAGAATTGTAAAAAGAACCCAAACAAACACAACCTAGTTAGTTTGATCACGGCTCACCCTGATGTGAGTTTTTCATTGGCAGGCTCAGGCTGCTGGTCGGGGAGGTGGCCCTGGCAGGGGTACTGCACCACCTGTGCGAAGATGATCGTATCCCTTGCAAAGTAAGTGTATTCATGCCTTTGCCCAATTTCCTACTTAAACTATAGTAAGGATTTCGGAGTCCTGAGTCGAACATAGAGAGTTGGAAAGTGATTTTGGCAAATTGCTGTGAACCAGTGACTGATATATATTTTGTTTGCTTCACTTAGAACACAAATAGTTTATGCTGTTGTTAGTTTCAGTTGCTCTTCAAGTGCCTAATTTTGGATTGATTTTGTCACCTGTTATGCTACTTATAAATTATAAAATACACTAAAATAGTAAAAAATTTGAATTTGAATAGTTGTACGATGTGATATAGATTGATGTTTTAATAATGAAAAGGTGAAAAATAGTGTTTTATTTGATATTTTTTTGGGGCGGATAATTTCTTTGGTAAAATTTTATAAAAGAACACACCCTTGTATGTTTTCACTTTGAGAGTAGCTAGTGTCATCTTCGTTCAAAATGTTACTATCTCTCTCTAGAATAATTATACCACTTCTTTTTTTTGTTTTTGTTTGTCGGCTAAATTTATAGTAAACAATTTTATTCACCTATAATTTTAATATCCCTACTCTAACAAAACATAACCAATTTGTTATTATTTTTTCTACTTACTCACTATTTTATTATTAATTTGTCAATAAATTTTTTTATAATACTCTCTCTCATTTTACTTTTTACCTATCCGACTTTTATATTAAAATATTACTACCTCCGTCTGGTTGCAAAAATTATATTTATTTTTTGCATATTCAACTTTGAATATTAATTATTATATCAAAACTAGTACAAATCATGAAAATAAGACAAAAAAATGTCTCTATTAGTATCTTCTAATAATGATATTTATATAAAACAAATATACAAATAATATATTTTTAATATTAAATATATGCAAAAGATAAATGTAATTTTTGCAAGCGTTATTGCCCTCTCGTCTGTCGGGGTTTGTTTGCCTAGTTTACTTGTTGACATGAGTTTTTAGGTGATATAATTTTGATATATATATATATATTTCTTACTTTCTTAATATTGCCTTTTTATTAAATATGTTATTATATTATTTTTCAAAGAGGTGAAAGAGAGGAAAAATGTAAATAAAGAAAAGTTACAATTTAAAAATAATAACAATACGGTTCTAAGGTTTAGGGAGCAAAGACAGTTCTATATGGACTACATGAAAGTAAAGTATTTCATTAATCTGTATAAACATGAGAATGTTATTATTCAAATTTATTTTTACTTTTTTATTTATTATATTCTCATTTAAATTTATTCATTTTTTTTTTTTATTTTCACAAAAAAAATATCACTTCTTTTATTTACTTATTTTTTTTATCCTAAAAACTAATTTTTTTTATTTTTTAATCTATTTTTATTTAAAGTCTGTGCCTACTTAAACGAACATACAATTAAATGGCGAATGAAGTATTTGTGAAGTAGTATATAATAATGTGTGTACTTTCATATAGTCCATAGAATTTGTTCATTCTTTCCCTGTGAAATACTACCTTCCTCCCTGAAGTAATATTAATATTATATTAGTAGATGGTAAAATGTACGGATAAATGACTATTTTGCCCTTGTAAATATATTAGCATAATATATTTGCAATTGTGTAATAATAATAAAAAAGTAGGGATAATTTTACGGTGATACGATTATTTATGGAAATGAGACTATTATTTTGGGACAGACGAAAATGATAAACAAGACAATTATATTGGGGCTTATGGGCACACAAATTTTCGACAAGAAAAATATTAACTGATAGCAACAAACAATTAGAATAGAATCAGAACGTAGAGAAATCAAAGAAAAGAAAGAAAAATTAATCAAATGATCTATTTGGGTTCAGATCACAATTCACAACCCATCTCGAATTGTCAATTGTTATGGTTTCTAGCAAACAATATTGAAACAAAATATCAAAATAATGCCTATTTGTAGCGGGTTATCGGCAACAATAATTGTTTTGTTTTAAAATGTATTTTTTGTATCGAGTTTTTTTATTACAAATAATTTTTTTTTTTTTATTTGGTCATTTATTTATTTATTATTTTTTTTGTTGCGATATTTTGTTTATAATAACTACAATTAAGATAAGCCATCGTCGCATGTATATATTTGTTATTCAATTGTTACAAAAATAAATATTTTTTTAAAAAAATAAATTATAATACAAAATTTAATAAACAATAATTATATATAATGACTTTGGCAATAGAAAAAAAAAAGTAATTTTAAATAAAAAATCAGCAATTAATAAATATAAAAATATTATTTTAAAAGTCTAAAAAAAATGGGTGGATGCGTGAATAGAGATGAAGAAATTCATCAAAAATACCTAAATAAACTTACGGTAACAAATTGAAAATTTTTTGTTGTACACCTTTTTTCAGTATGATACTGATATTAACTTTAAAAAAAGTTTAATATTTCAATATCTTATCTTACTGATATTATTTTTATTAAATATATTAATTATTAATATAAATAATTAATTATTTTATTATTTTTTCAAAAATTACAAAAAAATAATACATTTTATTCACGAAAATTACTTATGAAATTAATTTCATGAGTAATAAGTATGGGCGCCCATGTTATTTTCTTAAAAAAATTGTTGAATAGTTTATTGATGTCCAGTTTTGGGCCTGTAAGCTTGGGCATATTTGGACCCAATAAAGGCCCATTTTTATTTGGATCAAAACTACGTCGTTGGATCTATAGGCATGAATTGAGGCCCGACGTGGGTTGCCCTTTAGTCCGATCCGAAACAACGATTTTACGTGCAGAGGCAGGGAGGCAATCGATTCGGCTTTCCGATCCTCTCTGAATATCGGAATCCGGTTTGACCTCAATTATCTCGACGGGAGTGCATCGGCGACGGCGCGGAACTATTGCGGGAGGATCAGGTGCTGTTTAGCTATCTTTTTTATCCGTTTTTGTTTTCGTATTCGGTTGCGCATCAAAACCCTAGTTGCGCAATTGCTTTTTCGGAGTAGCGGCGGTTTAGAGAGTTGCGGTTGTGCCTAGAGCGTCGTGAATGTGCTTGTTTGCTCGTGGATTTTGATTGTGTTGTTTTAATTAGTTGCGTGAAGTTACTGTTTTTTTTTTTTTCGCATGTTTGTCGATTGGGTTAGGGTTGTAAGGAATTTGAAATTGTTTTTGCCGCAGCGCTTCATGAAATTGGAGCACAATGGCGAATTTTTCTGGAAAAGGAGCCCCAACTAACGGCTCTGTTTACGTTTTCAATTTGCCTCCTGGAACTGACGAGGAGATGCTTGCTGAGCACTTCGGAACAATTGGCTTGCTAAAGGTATGAGCCCTACAGGTATATCTTGCAATTTGATCCCAAAAGCCTCAATTTTTAAATTTTTAAATTTCCATATTAGTTAATAGGACTATGGTATCAAACTCACATATATATTTATATATGCTCAAGAAATTCAAGTTAGGTTTCTGTAGTTTAAATTTGTTTGCCATTTTTTATAGAGGTACAGTTAGTAGGGTTAATGGTAAATGGTTTTAGTTTTGGAGTTTGTGGTTCAGGTTTGATGATCCGGAACTCATTCTTTTACTCAAATGATTTGTTGCAAGCTTTCTGTTTTTACCATATGAGTTATATTTTATTGGTGGATGAATCTTTTTGCAAAGAAATATCCCTGAGTGTGTGCCTTTTGTTCTTGCGTTGTTTACTATGGTTGTTTACTTCTGTTTTTTTAACAGAAAGACAAACGAAGTGGACGGCCAAAAATATGGATATATCATGATAAAGTAACAAATGAGCCCAAAGGAGATGCCACAGTAACTTATGAGGATCCGCATGCTGCATTAGCTGCTGTTGAATGGTTTAATAATAAAGATTTCCATGGAGCTACAATTGGAGTCCTTTTGGCTGAGTCGAAGAGTAAAGATGACATTGTTAATCATGTTGGTGATCAAGCTCCTGCTGACGAACACAATGGGCTTGAGGGAGGATCTAGGGACCTAAATGGTGGGGCTGGAAGGGGCAGAGGTCGAGGTGATGCTTTAGGGAAACCTTGGCAACAAGAAGGGGATTGGTTGTGTCCGAACTCAAGGTCTGTGGTGTGATCATTGGTGGGCAGCTCTTTCTTACTCTTTTGCACCATGCATTTGTCTTTTATATTAAATAAAAAACCGATTCTTGAAACATAATTAATATATTGGATTTCTTGGTGGAAACAGCTGCGGTAATGTAAACTTTGCATTTCGAGGTGTGTGCAATCGTTGTGGTACTGCTCGTCCCACTGGATCTTCTGGTGGTGGTGCTGGGGGTGGTGGGCGAGGTAAGGGCCATGGTGGCAGTGATCCAGGAGGCCATGCCCGTGCAGTAGGTGCTACTGCTGGAGGAGGGCTTTTTGGTCCAAATGATTGGCCTTGTCCAATGTAAGAGATGACATTATTTATTTATTTATTTCTTTTACACATATATATATATATATATAGATTAACATAAATTAGGGGTTTGTTCTTTTATGTACTCATTTTCAGCCTTTCACTATTCAACTTTTTACTTTCCCTCCAAAAAATTGCAACCAATAGGACCAACACCCAGTTTTCATACAAAATATCACGTCAAATGACTATATTTACATATAAAAAATAAAAACACAAAAGAACACATCCTTGATCTGTTTCTGTTGATTTTGTTACGGAATTTGCCTGGTGTTTGAAAGTTTAGAACTGTTCTTACCAAGAGAAGAATTCCTCTTCTATTCAAGTTTCTTCCATTGGGAAGCAGATGACTGCAAAAGTTGGAACTTTTATTGTCTCTGTTTGGATATGTCACATGTCTTTATGATTATACATGTATGAAATATGTTGTATTTAGGAAAAATATTACTGTGTATATACAATTTGATACATTTTGTATTTGTTAGCTATATAGCATTATGTAATGATTTTAAATAATATGGTTGATTAGAAGCATGATGATTAATGTTGGGATATAGAATGTAAAAGTTTTTATCTATGATAAATTTGAATGAGGGGGTGGTTAAATAATTTTTTATGTATTTTATTTTACTAATATTTAGAAAAATTATTTTGAGGAAATTTATCTTTGGAATAAATTATCAATTTTCCAAAATTTGAGGTAAAAGAAGGTATATCAACATACTGCTTGTCAGTTCAACATGTTAATAGTTCATGAGCTTCCGTGGGATGTTTTTACCTACTTATTTGGCGTAATCATAGAAATGCTTTTCTGTTATTGGAGCCATTTTTTTGTACTGTCTTCTGTAGTGCAACGAGTAATTATATTCCGATCTTCTCTGAATCTTTTTGGATGCACTTCTGTTGGTTTATATGTATTTTGTTCTATCAAATCAGGTTTTTACAACAATTTATAGAAGATATTTCAATGTGGAAATTGGCACAATGAAACTAATTATTGCTCGATCTAACCATTTCTTTCTTTTGAGGTGCTCCCAGCTATCTTGGATTGAATAACTATTTGTAAAATGTTGGTTTTGCATCTGGTTCACTGTATGGTGTTGTAGTGATCCTTTCTGAATCTTACTCCTACGGTCCAATGTCTATCAGTAGATTGGCCTTTCAGTGTTATGAAAAGATGTTTAAGAAGATACAACTTTTCTGTTTATGTGTTAATTGAAATTTTTATCGAAGAAGCCCTATTTTTCATTGAACTAAAGCTTTGAGTTGGTCCACCTCTGTGCTTTGCTTGTTTATTTTTGGAGAAATGTTTGAAAATTAGTGGGTTATGGTTTCACTATGTGTTTATCTCGTTGTAGTTTCTTTAATTCTCAGTGGTGCGAATAATAGAGTTAGTATGGACTGCCATTCATGGGATTTGTTCCATTAATCAATGCAATGCTTCATTGAATGCATGTGTGGTGGATTGGATCAATCAGCCACTCTATTTATATCCTCATAACTTAACCTAACTTATGTTGGCAACTTGCTGATTCAGGTGCGGAAATATTAACTGGGCAAAGCGCACAAAATGCAACATTTGCAATACCAATAAACCCGGACACAATGATGGGGGTGTCAGGTACGTGCTGGTGTTTTTATCTCCTCGTTGATTTGAGTTAAATTTACCTTCAATCTCTCACACTCTTCGCAACTTCTTTGGTACCTGATTTTGCCAATGAGCTATATATGATTTCTCTCTAAATCTTTATTTCATCTGCGCCATGTGTGGTGGTATTTGCTCCTTCTCTTGGTAACATATTTCTCAGAAGTCTTTAGCTAAACAGTAACCTTTGTCTACTTTGTACCTTTTACTTTAGAGGAGGACGTGGTGGAGGTTACAAGGAACTAGATGAGGAAGAAATAGAGGAAACAAAAAGGCGCCGGCGAGAGGCTGAAGAAGTAACAATCTCATTATATATAAGTTATTTTCTGGTATATGTTATCAACAAATTATAGTTGCTTTTTGTGTTGTCAGGATGATGGGGAAATGTATGATGAGTTTGGAAACCTTAAGAAAAAGTTCCGCGCAAAAACCCAAGCAGCTGAAATGGCTCAAGTCACTGGTGTCGGACGAGCTGGATGGGAGATTGAGGAGCTAGGTATTCTTATTTTAATCAACTTAATTGTTCCCCGTGTCGATCTCCGAAAAAATATCCGTATGGTTAAAATATCTGATTATTCTCGTATTGTAAGAGCTCTAATTTGATTGTCTAATCTAGTGAATTGCTTTGTATTTTTGTGCCGTATCTTTAAAAGTTTAGGCTAGAACCTGAAAGAAACTTAAAATTTCAAATTTTTTCCGTGTGGTCCGTGTAATTGATAATTCAAACGGTAGCTCAATTGTTGAACAAAAGTAGGAAATATTATCTTCGTTTATGATTTTGCATCCGTAGACCGATGCTATATCAATGTAGGTAACAAGGACAAAAGAGATAAAAAGGACCGGGGAAGAGAAAGGGAAAGAGATAGGCATTCAAATAGAGATCGAGACAGGGAAAGGGAAAGGGACAGGCTTCGACATTACGACTACGATCGCGACCGAGACCGTGATAGAGACAGAGACCGCGGCAGCAGGTACCGTAGTTGAGTGCAAACATAAGAAACTTTACTTTGCCCTGAGAATAGCTTCTAAAGCGGTTATTTAGCTTTAATTTTGTTACAATGCACCGTTATTCTTTGAGAGGCTAAATAACAGCAGAATGATGATGAGCTTCACCTTTTACTCTGGCTGTGTAACCTAATATTTCTCTGTAATATGAAGGTTTGGTTTTATTATCTACCCGACTTGAAGTTTGTTTTCCTTGTTTGCTTTGCATGCAATAATGCAGAATTTCATGTCCTATTGAGTTTAAATAGTATTTTTAACTTGTATGTTTTGTAAGAGAATAATATATTTTTATTTTTATTTTTATTGGTAATCATGATAGTAGTTTTGATTTGATCAAATACACCTACCTACCCGTTTTGGGTTTGGTTCTTTTAGTGCTTACATTCTTCTTCTATACTGTTGTTGATTTCTATGTTACTTTCCCAAATCAAATCCACCGCTCGGGAAGTCGTCGGGCTTTCCCTCATTCAAAATGGCTGGAATAATATATTTTTTATTGGTAATCGAATATGTTTTCTTATTTTGTAGATTTAGGTTGTTTGGGTCTTTGCAGTCGTGTTAGAGTAATTTAATTTTATTTTTCATTATTATTTTTTAAATATTTAATATTTTTTTTATTATTTTAAATAATTTTTTATTTTTATAATTTAAAATATTTTTTAAAAAATTAGGAAAATAAAAAATATATTTAAAAGTTAAAATTTTAAAATTTAAATTTTCTATTTTTAAAAAAGAATGCAACGCCATTTAATGGCCTTGCTACAAAGGCATAGATTGGAGGCAACAGATTTTAGATTATGTTTTCTCAATTTTAAAGTATTAATTTCATATTTTAAAAAAGTTATTATATATTAATACTAAAAATATTTTTAATTTTTATTTAAATTATAAATATATCATTACAAGTACACAATTATTTTATATATAAAGTTACCAAAAATATTAAAATCTCTTACACATTTTTACTTTCTAATAAAATGTTACTTTTTGTAATCTTATACAAAATTTCAAAAGTTTTTAGTTGAAATTAAAATCAAACCACTTACTATAAATTAAAGAATTTTTTATTTTTTTTATGACGTGGGAATCCGCAATCGCTACCCGAAAATACCTGAGTAAAACTTGTCCAACCTAATATCCTGCAAACTAAATCCTACGGGGCAAAATAAAAAAAATAATCTTTTTTCTTAATTTTCAAATCTATGATTTTGTAGGTTTTCTTTTTGTAACTTTGCAGTTACTATTTTGATATATCTTACATTTACAATAATGCACTTTTGTAATTAACCAATTTTGATAATATAATTATTATATAAAATTTGATATACTGACAATATAGTTATATTTGCATTTAAAAGAAAAAAAAAGGCAAAGCAGTTGTTTTAATAGATGCTTTAGAAAATACATATATTGAATATAAAAATAAAAATAAAAATAAAATAAAATCAAGTACAGGTATCCTTCAAAGTTCAAACCCTACTGAACTTTTAAAATCCCTTTTATAGCGAAATCAATTTGATCCGAAGCTCTCTTCCCAGCCACTTCAATGGCGATTCCGACTCCGCTGATTGCTTTTCTGGTAGCGTCTGCGTGCGTGATTTTATTGGAAGCAGCCAGCGACACAAACAACGTGTACTCGCCGTGCACCGACACGGCGGTCCAGAGGTCCGACGGGTTTACATTTGGAATCGCGTTTGCGGCGGTGACGGCCTTCTTCAACAACAATGTTCAACTCTCTCCGTGCGACAGCCGTCTCTCGCTCTCCTCAGCCAACTCACAGATTTCTGTTTTTCGCCCTAAAGTCGACGAGATCTCTCTCCTCACCGTCAACACTTCCAGTTTCTCGCCGGTAATGAATGCTTTAAATCTATTTAATTCTATGCATATTTAATTGTTGGAGCATCAAGTGATGAACACTAATTGTTTATATGTTCGTGAAGAACTGCTCAGAAATTTCCCCTTTATTTGGATCGACAATTTTCTGGATTAGAAACTCCTTTTCCGTCAATTTGAACTTCGATAGATTAATCCTATTCTGTTTCAATGGTTGATAGTTTATAGCTCTGTAGCTAATTTCTTTACTTTGAAATTTCTGCTCCCATCGTCTGTAATTCCTGTGTTTATGATTCTGAATTGTCAAATTTTTACTGCATTGCACATTCTGATTGAATCATTTAGCAATTTAAGGTTTTCGTTATTGCTGGATATTTTTTTATGATTTTTTTATATTAGTTTACTGCTATCTTAGATTAATAACATTTATTTATACACCTCTATTTCATTATTCATAATATATAACTCTTGAAATTTTCCAAAATGTAAAATGATATCATAGTCATTTTTCTTCATGTAAACTCAACCTGAAATATATCCGGAGGCTTTCTAGTCTTGTTTACAACTCTAAATCCATTGAAAGCTCCGCTGCAAACTCTAACCCTAACTTGTTTTGGCTAAGTATATTTGATCTCTTTGGCAAATTCAAATTGGTTATTAGATATATTTTGTTACTCCCTCCATCCACCGTCTAGTTTACTTTTTGCACGTAAATTTTAGTATATTAGTATTATATTGATATGTGGTACAATTGATATACATAAAGATTATTATACCCCTTAACATTTATGGTATTAAGTGGTGTTATTTGATGGCATTTGTGTAATATTATATAAAGGGTGGAGTAATTTTATATTTTAGTGGAAGGTACATTTATTAAAAAAAATGGATACATTTATCATGGACAGACTAAAATGGCAAAATGGATAGATTGGCGGTGGACGGAGGGAGTATTATTTTTTAGATTAGCTTTTTAGTATCTTAAATTAGGTTATAATTTGAGTCTATCGGTTCTATATTAATAATTTCATTATTATTAATACTCCCTCTGTCCCAAAATAATAAGAATATTTGGGATGGACACGAGAATTAAGAAATATTAGTATTATATTGATATTGGATGTAAAAGTGTTTTTAAAAGACCAAAATGTCTTTACTTTATGTAATTATTGTGAAAAAGTATGGATAATTTTGTGAAAGAGTAGGGAGCTGGTTACCGAAAATAGAAACGAAACTATTGTTTTAGGACAGACGAAAACAGCAAAATAAGACTATTGCTTGGAACGGAGGGAGTAATAATATACAATTTTGTAGGGGCAACATATTATGATAATTGAATCGACACTTTTGCAATTGCATCATTTTTTCTCTTTTAACCATTCAGGATTCTGTTGGAGGTTACATGGTAGCATTTGCCGGTCTAAAACACGCAGCGAGGTCATCTCCAGCTTTCGTTGCAAACAGCTCTTACATCGTCACCAGTTTCACTCTGGTAAAGGATTTTACCCTTTTCCCTCGTTTTTGTTCTCGCCATGTTGTTTCCCTGATTCGTTAATTTGTCCAAACAATGCTATTTGTTTCGATGCAGGCTCTTGAATTTAAGAAGGGTAGGCTGCAAAACTTGTATTGGAAAAGAGACGGATGCTCATCTTGCTCGGGAAAATCCAACTTCGTCTGCCTCAACAATCAAGACTGCGCCATCCGAACCAACGACTGCAAAAACCATGGGGGATCTGTCGACTGTAGCCTCGGGATACAGCTGGCATTTTCTGGCACAGACAAGCACGAATCCGTTTTAAACTCTTGGTACGAGGTTAAGAACCTTCGCCAGTATTCTCTCTATGGCCTTTATTCGAATCTCAGAGATTCTCTCACGAGTCAGTACAACAATTTTTTCAAATTCTAAATTCCATTCTCTTCGATGTCATGTCATGTATCAGAATACTTGGATTATCCCAATGAATACTGCTTGAATGCTAAGCTATTAGAACTTTCCGGATACTTTTTCTTTTTGTCTGAGAATTTCAGGGGGGGAGCCGAAGGAGATAATGGAATGGCCCGATAGATCTGAATCTAAAATCTACGGTAAGAACACTTCTCATCTCAGATGGACTGGCTTGAAATCAGAAATCACGACTTTGGAGATGCTTCCAGGGCTAGAATCTTATCAGGAGCAAAGGGTACTTTGTGTTACATTCTAGAGTTTTTAACATAGCTTGACATTGATTTAATTCGGGCAAAATTGCAATGTTCCCCTGGTAGTTAATTTTCGGAGATGATTGTTTATTGCAACAGGAACTTATGACGACTCAACAAAGTTGGTATTGGTGGTTTGCGCCTTAAATGCAAAGACACACCGGATAATTAAGGTATGCTCGTCGATTTGCTCGGGAGTTAAGGTAAGTTTACAGAGCCTTGTCCGTAACTTTGCTTGGTGTGATTGTAACACTTAGGCCTTCTTCACTGAGTCGGGTGTGTTATATTTGACACGGCATTGAACCTCTCCGACTCCAATAGTAGGCAGCGATTACAGTGCTGATTTTATCAAATAGCACGAGCACCGATCAATAATTCAGATAGTACATGCTTTGTGAAATACTAGTGTGGGATATATTTAGAATTTGTTTTTTTAACTTTTGATTGGTGCTTTTTGAATTTTTTTATTTTTTTTTAATGACGTTGGAACCCGCAAAACCTCCGACCGAACCTATGCCCCGATAAGGAAAGTCACACTAGGTTTGGCGAACCATGTGTGACAGGTGGACCCGGAGGTACCACATATGTCATGTGTTCTCCTATAAGATTTTGTCTCAATTTTATTATTCATTAATTTTTATTATTTTTTAAAACATCAAATCAAATATTTAATTTTTTTTTTAAAAAATAATCAATATTTATTTATATCATATCGTATTACTATTTTAGTTCAAAATTTTTATTATTCAAATCCAAAATTCAACGTTCCAAACAAACACACCTTCAGTGTTTGTAAGGGTATTTGTAATGTTAGGTAGATAGTACAGTTACTAAAAAAGTGAAATGGATACTTTGTTACGAGATGGACTAAAATGGAAAAATTGAATACTTTGCTATGGGACGGAAGGAGTATTATATTATGATATTAGTTTATTATTGTTTTATTTGAGTGATATTGATAATAGTTTTAGAATATTATTTAAATTTTCTACTAAAATAAATTTATTTTTTATTTAAATATATTAAATTCAAATGGTTAAATTAATAAATTTAACTGTAAATCGAAGATTTTATTATTATTATTATTATTTAAACATTTAAAAATTATGTGATGTTATGTTATAATTTAAATTCATTTTATTATTAATACAACAACAATCAACAAACATAATTTTACAATTATCATCATTTAAAAAAAAAAAACAAGAAAAACAATTTTATGATAACATATAAGAACCAGTAAAAATCAATTGAAAATAATTTTATTAGTACAAGAAAATCAAAATACATACTGAACGGAAAAAACAAACAAACAAACAATTGCCAAAATTAATAATTTAAATATATTGAAGGGTAAATTATATGACACCTTTGTATTTTAATAAAAATTGCATAAAATAATTTATATTTTATTTATTGTGTAAATCCTTTTGTCTTAGGATGTGTTCGTTTGAAGAATTTTGACAAAATTCTACTATTTATTCAATTTTTTTTTTTCAAAAACATCAAATCAAATACTTATTTTTTATTTTTTATATTATAAAAAAAATTAATTTTACAATCAAAATATCACATCAACGCATATTTATATCACATCATATAACTATTTAAATTCAAAATTTTTACTATTTAAATCCCAACTCAAAATTCAAACACCGAAACAAACACACCCTTAATGTAAAGTTTGAACAAATACTCTTTTAGTCAAAATTGATATTTAATTGTAAGTGTAAACCTAATAATGTAAATTTTATACAAATAAAAAAAATAAAATATTTTAAATAATTTTTTTGAATAAAATAAATAAAAATAAATAATTGATTAATCCTCTATTTTATAGTTTTTTAAAAACAAATTTATTGAGCTCGGAGATAATGAAGACTAGGTGAATATTTAGACATATTCATCATAGATTTCTTATATTCATTAATTAAGAGTAGTAACGGCATATTTATCATGTCCAACAATAACATACAAACATAAATTGGCTAAAAATCTCATAACGAAAAATTTAACAATACATAGAAAATTGAAATTTAATTGTCTTACAATGTACAGGTAGAGGAAAAATAGAGCAATTTAAACTTTTCAAATATAATTAACGGTTAATGGTGAATTTAGAGAAAATGAAAAATTATATTCACCAATATGGCTACAGGGTTTTTTTTCAATGTTTGTTTAAGCCACATAGTCGGAAAAAGAGAATTGGTCGTCATCAAGTACTGCCATCGCCGATCCATCGGAGAAAAGAGTGTCGGAAATAGATTCAACCGAATCGACCGAAGAGAAATGCGTACCCGTGAATTTGAAATCGAAGTTTATGCGTACCTCTTTTGAGACTCTACATTTATTTAGAATAAATATAGGAGTATTACTTTTGTTACCTCATCTTTTTTATTTTCTTTTAAATTTTAATTAAATTTTTAAAAATATCCTAAGTTACCGTTTTAATTTTATTATTTTTTTATGAAATATTTATTTTTCTTAATTTTCGTGTCGGACATACTTAAATTTACCAGACGGAAAAAGTAATATATTTAGTAAAGTATTAATTTTTTGTAAAAAAATATAATATTTTATTCGTTTCAACTCAATATATATATCATTTTTGCCGATCGTCCTAAAAAATATTTCCTCCTTCCTACGTACCATGTCCACGTTGCCATTTTTGTCTGTCCACATTCCATGTTAGTTTTGTTTTTTGAAAAATAATTACACACTTTAATCTCATTTTAAACTTTTTAATATATATATTTTTTAAATTTTAATTAAACTAATTAGTTATTTTAATCTTACTTTATAATTATTTATATTATTGGATAATTATTCTCACTAATATATTTTTAATTATATACTAATTACATCCTCCTAAAATACCGTGTCTACAATGTAGTCGTATGTGAGACGAATAGAGTATCAAATTTCTATTATAATAAAATTAATTCATATCCAAATGCTAATATATCTTTAATCTTTACCATTTTTTATACTTACAAAAGACAAAATTATCTTACACTCCATTGACACAAAATGATACATTTCCGTGAGATTTCAATTGAACAAATAGAGCATATGATATACATTGAAAATTACTATTCAATCAGTAAAAATATGTTTGAATAAAATATATATTATTTTAAATATAATAGTTTTTTATTATTTATATTTGTATTTATATTTTTTTTGAGAAAAATTATATTTATTTTTTATTTTATATATTTTTATTAAAGAAGATAAATAATATTAATTAGTACTTAATAATTTATCTTTTTTACTATTTTTATTTACTCAAAGTTTTTTTTTTTGTTAGTAAAATAATTATACAATAATAATAGCAAAATATTTTTAAATTTTATATAAATTATAAATATATCATTATATACAATCTTTATATTCCATTCGTCCCATAACAAAGTATTCATTTTTTTCATTTTAGTCCGTCCCATAAGAAAGTATCTATTTCATTTTTTAGTAACTGTACTATATACCTAACATTATAAATACCCTTATGACTTATAATATATTACACAAATGTCATTACCTTTATATCACACATACTAATAAGGTTATTTTAGTCATTTCTACTTTGTCAGTACTATATTGAGTATATGAAATCAAAAAATAAAATGTCAAAATATCTTCCATAATTTTATTAACTAATAAAATATTACGATTACTTACTAATTTATTGTAAAACTCGAAAAGATACACTTTAGTTAAAAAAAAAAAAAAAAAAAAATTTTCTTGAGTAGAATAGTAAAATTATTATTTTTATTTAAAAAAAATTAAATTTAAAAATTCAATGAAAATTTTGGAAAACACAAATGACCATTGTTGACTATTATTTCCATTCACTTCATCAAAAAAGTACATATCTTGAGAAATATCTGCCTACAAAACGGTGATTACAAACAAATCTTTTGCATAAGGATAAGCAAAATATTCGAAATAAAAAAATTTCGATCAAATTTGGTTTGATTTTTTTTAATTAGTTTGAATTGAATTTTTTTATAAATTTTGAAAATTTTGACTCGGTATACTTAAACATTCGAATAATTTGAAATTTAAAATATAATATTTTAATATATTTTATTATATATATGTATTTAATATTTTAATAAAAATAAAAACTAAAAATTATTAACTATATTCTAATATACTTATGTTTATTTATTATATATATATATTTAATATTATAAAATAATGATAAAAACATAAAATAAAACACTATTATAAAATTTTAAAAAAAATAATAAAAAATATAGATGTCGGACTCTTTCAAATTTTTCGGTCTAAATCGAATTTTTTAATTTGGATTTCAGTTATTTTGAGTCAATTTAAATGAATTTTTGCCGTAATTCAAATTTTCGAATTAGTTCAAATTTGATAAAATTGGAATAGAAAATCCGAATACTCGAACATAATTTTAGGCGATTGTTTATGAAAAAATCTCTAAAGTCGCATTTTCAACTGAACTCGAGTTTATCCAAATTAAAAATGCGATTTCTCTAAATATGGGTAACCACGACTGCTCTATGACTGTTCAACCATCCACACGCGCGACGCGCTTTCCGTTGATATTTCCGTCAGGTCAATAGTTGCCAATGTGAATTTCCCAATATACCCCCGGGACTTCTTCCTGAATTCTCTCCCTAATAAAACAGGAATCAAATATTATCTCTTCTTCACGAAGCACGAAGCCAAATTCTGACCCAGAAAATAAATAAATAACAATTGGAAAGGGATTGAAGGGTTAGGGTTCCAAATCCTCGCCCTTCTGCGTCTCCAACTGCAATTCCTTTCCCCTTTTTCTCCCTCAATCCGCATTTTGGAGGGGAGTTTGTGTTGTTGGATCAAAATTAGCACCAGAAACCACCTCGAAGTATCCCCCAGGAAATCATTTCTGGGATTCGCAGCGTACCTTTCTTATCGTCAAGCTTCGAGGAATCAATGAGACGGGAAAGGTATGGCTATTGCTGAATTACCCGAATCGGAAATGCGTATATGGCTTTTGTGGCTTATTTCTGGGGATTTCGAGGCGGTTGAATTTTTATAGTTTTGTTGGGGATTGAGGGAAGGGGGGAAAGTTTATACATCGTTGGGGGGTTTTGGATAATTGGAGGATTGGAGTTTCAATCGAATTCAAGTTACTTTGTATATTTTTTTCTGAATTTTCGTTGTTGGATTTGAATTGTGGTTGCTGCTGCGTTTACAATTTGCATTTGATGTGCGTTGATCTATGGAAACGGGCGATACTCCTTCACCGAGGACTCCTTCCAAATGTTGTGATTGCGGTTGCAGTTGTTGTTCATCGAACATATCCCTTTCAGGAGTAGTTATCCGGTCTGTGAAGCGAAAATTTGATGAATTCGAGGAAGAAAATCAGTTCAAGATCCCAGGACTCATCATTCCGCAAAATGCTCGTGTGGAGATAGAAAATGAATGCGTTGCTCTGCGAGAAACAGTTTCTAGTCAGCAGGAGACTATTCAGGACTTAATTTGTGAGTTGGAGGAGGAAAGGAATGCTTCCTCATCAGCTACAAATGAGACCATGTCTATGATACTGAGGCTGCAAAGGGAGAAGGCCGAGATCGAGATGGAAGCCAAGCAATTCAAGAGATTCGTCGAGGAGAAAATTGCTCATGATCAGCAGGAAATGTTAGAATTGGAGGAGATGTTGTACAAGAGGGAGCACACCATTGAAGCCCTTACCTGTGAGATTCAGGCCTATAAGCATAGATTGATGAGTTATGGACTCAGTGAGGCCGAGGCCGAGGCTCAGGTTGATGAATTCTATTTGCGGAACGAAGGGAAGTTAATGAGCCGAGACGATTTTGTGGGAGAGAATGAAGAAGGGAAACTTGTGCTTCCTGGCTATGAGATTTATCCTCCTCTCAGATGTAAAACAAGCGAATCCCATTTATATCTGGACGGTCATGACGAAGCTGATGATATTGAGAAGCATGCATTTATGGAGACTCCATCTTCTCGGGATGAGTTAAAGGATTTGGAGTACCGAATCAATCAGCTTGAGAACACTCCAAGGACCATTCAGCCTGATGGAGAATACGTCGGTTCTACTAATGTGTTTGAAAAGGTAATAGTTGGTCAGTCTCCATCCTGGAATAGGAATGTCAGGGGGTTTTCTAATGATAATGCAAATATGCCATTGGTAAAAGAAATGGGGATTGATGCCGGCATTCCTCCTAAGTCTGGTGGAGGTATCAAGAAGATGGAATATTTGGATTTGAACCCTAATTTGAAGAAGGTGGATAGTGCAGCAGAAGTTGGAGATGACGTGAATGATAGAGTTTACACTGTTGATTCCATTCATCGAAGAGCTTCTTCTAATGGTGCAGTGGACCACAACACTTCTGCTTTCGTTGGCGGTGATGACAATATGACGACACCCAGGGCCCTGGAAATCCAGAAGCTGTATGCGAGACTTCATGCTCTTGAGGCTGATCGAGAAACAATGAAGCAGGCCATTTATTCTGTCGGAACCGATAAAGCCCAGCTAGTGCTGTTGAAGGAAATAGCGCAGAACTTGTGCAAGCAAATGTCACCATCAAGGACTGTGGTGGTTCAGGAGAAATCGATGGTTAGGAGCTTCTCATTCGTGTCATTATTCAAGGTAATTGTGTTGATAAATTTCCGGTTATCTATAATTGCAGTTCTTGGTACACCTTTGTGGAAAATTCAGCTACTTATGTTTGCATCATTAGTCGCAGCCCTTTGCTTTTTACAGAATATCTACAACCATTGCATCGATAAAGCAAGCCTCTATATTTTTTAGTTTCTGAGTGTGCATGATTTATGTTTAGCGTCTGGTCTTAAAATTCTGTAGTAAAGATATAGCATGTTGCAGTCTGTAGTAAGATATAGTTTGTTGCAGCCTGAAGATCACAGTTACTGAAATGGCGCTTTAATCTAAACCTTTGTCATTGCAACATGGTTACATTTATGCATTAAGAATGTTGGAGTGCGCTTGAACTATAAAAGCAACTTGTCTTTGTTACCATTTTCTACCCTCCCTTTTAACTCCTTTGCGTCCGTCTTCTTACATTGAAAGATGTGATTTTATTTTGTTATTTTATATCTTTTCCCTTTCTATCAAAAGCCTTCAATGCCAGTTCGGTATCTCTATTTTGTTATTTTAGTCCTACCATGAATATTACTATGTTTTACATTTTTCTAGCTGCTACTATTCCTCCTTTCAACAATTTTGGCTCGGGTTTTCTGTGTGCACGCTCAAGTCTCAACTTCATGACAGTTTCTTGACATAATGTTTCGGCCTTGTGACTTTTATACCAACCGTTATGCATATTAGTGAACTCTTTTTAGTTTGCTCTCACCATTGTTTGTTCGAATTATAATGTGGCCTACACTTTGCAACGAGACGAAGCAAAAAATCTGATAATAAAAGTCTTGTGAAATTTATGCTATGCTGCACGTGTTTTCTCCGCACTGTGTCACTTGACATGCAATTCTATTAGCCTGATCTTGAAAATATGGATATAATTTAGCTCCTTTCTTTTCCTGCCTAATTCATGACTAATGACTATGTCTCTTGATGTTCAGTGGGTCTTGTCCTTTCTGTTCTGGAGAAACAAAGCACGAAGAAGCAGGTAAGAACACATTCTGTCATACTTTTATCATTTATGCATTTACTACTAGTAGATCCTGGATTGTCGTTGCTTTAATTCATGCTATTCTGCTCGGTAGGCATATTACTCCCTTGTCAAATGTATGTATAAACTCTCTCCATATATAGCCCTATTTACATTGTCTGCCTTCAAGACAGGATCGAACACAATACATTAATATTCAATAAATTTGCTGTGTCAGCAATATCCAAGTGGTGCTCATGCTTGCTTATCCTCTTTTTTGTTTTAGGTACACATTTGGGCTATCACCGAATAATTCTGGCTTGCTGGCACTTTTAGACCGAAACCCACGCACAGGACCATCCCGGAGAATCACATCTACCACGAACTTGCGATGCTGATCAAAGTGCGCGCATGCGTGCTCGCTCTATACCATCATCTTGTAAAGTCTGCTGCCACCAATTTTAAAGCTTTTCCTTTTCTCCCGACTCTGCATCACCTTCAAGTTTCGCCGTATATTCTTTTTTTGTTTGTTTTGTTTTGTTTCCTTTTCGGGCTGCTGCGATGATTCGATTCATTTTCTCGTGAAGTTTGGATCTGCTGTTTTAGGGTATGGTTCGCTCACATACTAGAGAGAGAATCAATCCATTCATCCATATCCATCCATCCTTTTGTGGGTATAGTAATGCATATAATGTTTGTTTTTTGTGTTTTCTGGGGACATTGCATTTATTTGATTGATTGTCTTGGAAAATTTTTCTCAAGATTTGCTGTTGGTCTGGTCTGCCTACCTGCATTAGTTCTTCTGTTTTGTACATTACTTACTACTGATTGCTACTATTTGCTAATGAAGAAACAGCTACTGTGTGGTGTCGCGTGCATTTACATTCTTGCCCCTCCTTTGTTTCAGCTTAATTTTGTGCTGTGTGTGTGTTGTGTTGGCAGAGAATTGATAAATGGAGTAATTGATTTCAACGCTAATACAAATAAAGGAAAATATAAGCCAAAAATAAAAATATATTTCGAATCAGTCTATGAAATATTATATAAATATTGTTCTCTTTAATTTTTTTGATTTTCTTTTTTCACGAATTAACAATTAATTTGTAATAAAATAATAATATTAAATAAATGACAATATATATAAATGTACTACATGACAGTTATTTATTTATTTATTTTATTGCCATGAATAGATAATTGGTAGTTTAAATATATGAACACATTCTATTAAATGTTGAATGTACTCTCATTAACATTAATATTTATCTAATTAGCTATATGTTTTAAATAAAATTATTCACTTTTCATACGATATAGGTAATCAAATTGTGTTAACATATTTTTATATTTTTTTTATTAAGTAATCTATTTTTATATAATTATATTTAATTTAAATTTATATTATCATCTACTACTATTTATTTTAATTATTATTCCATAATTTAAGTCAATTGAATTTATTAGTTGATTTAGCATAATTTATTTAATGTATATAACATCCAATATCTTTTAAGTAATAACTTTTATATAATTAAATTTATGATATTTTTAATTAAGCAATTATTTATATATAATTATATTTAACTTAATATTATATTATTATCTACTATTTAAGTAGATTATTATACCATAATTATATTTTTAAAAAACTTATATAAAAAGAAAATTTGAATAAACTTATTCATATATATATATATAATTTTAAAAATATAAATAAATTTATATATATAAATGAATTATATAAAGAGGCGGAACCAGACCGGGATGAGAGAGGGGGCTAATTTTTCAAATTTCGAAGCGATCAAAATCTATTTGTTATCCAATAATTTTATCAATGAAACTTACAGTAACAACTACATATTACATATAATTTTGTATTATATGAAATTGATAAATAGTGAAAAAAATATTAAAAAATAGCTTTTAAAAATATCATCTCCTATGCATTTAGTTGAGAATTTTTTGAAGAATTTTCTTTTTTTTTTTAATTATTATTTCTTACTTTTTTATTCATATCTATTTTTATAGCATCAAAAAATTATTATGATATAAACTTTTTATTATTCAAAATAAAATTTTCACATAAATACTCTATCAATTTTTATCAATTTTTAAATTTGTTTTTTTTATGTTATATATTATAAAATAAAAATTAAAAATTAAAAAAGGGTGGGGAGGAGGGAGGGGGCTGGAGCCCCCTTGCCCCACGTACATCCGCCTCTGATTATATATATAAACGAATGATTGCTATGAAATATTAATATAATTCTTCTAACTTGGTGGAAAAATCAATAAATAATAAAAAAATCATAACTTGCACAAATATAAAAACTTAAAATTGTAATTTTTTTAATCGAGATTCTTTCAATACAACTACAGTCCACAAATAATACATTTAAAGAAAAATAAATAAAATTAATATAAAATTGAAGTCTATAAAAACATATATATATAAACGATAAAAAAAACTATTATAAATACAAAAAAAATCACGTATATCTTACGTAAAATGGATTTTAGAATATATAATTATTGTTAATAAAAAATTAACATCTTAGTATCAATCTAAGACCACCAAATGTACATAACAAATATCATCTGTAATTCTCTAATTTGTGTTGTATTGATTCAAAAGGTACAGTAACTTATCGTCTCCAAATGATATGATATTATAATATTCTAAAACTTAAACGAACTAAAAGGGGAACAACATATCTATATTGCAAGAAGTGAGAGTTGCCGGAATATCAATCGAAGATTCGCTAAACGAATATGAGAGATAAAAAATGCTCATGGTGCTTACAAAATTGGTGGCTAGAAAACTCTTTTTATAAGCATTGAAACGAGGATTGTTATCAAATTCGTTATTAATACGTAATCATATATTTAATATTCAGTAACCTCTTTTCATAAATATCAAAATTTATTTCATTCATAATTATTAAAATTTATTTATATTTAAAATAAATTGTATTATTTAATTTTAACAAATTTTATTATTTATTAAATATATATTTTTAATTAAAACATATTATTCAATTTTAAAATAAAAAAAGTACTATTATACTTTAGATTTAATAATTATATCAAAATTTTTATATTTAAGAATATTTATTAATTGTTTTAAATAAATTAAAAATATAAAATAAAATGACGTGACAAATATATAATATTTATAAAAATTGTAAATTTTAAATTTTAATAAATATATTTATTAATTATGATTGAATTAATTATATCGACTATAATTATATAATTTAATGATAATATATTAATTATAGCAATTATTATTATTATTATATTTTGTTTTTAATTGTAATAATTAAAAATTTATTCAAATAATATTGCAAAATTAATATTTTAATTATATTTTATGTAAAATATATTATTAATAATTAATTTTATTTAAAAATATTAAAAATATCAAAATTCTCTAAAAATTATCTAGTTAATATATAATAATAATATAATAGTTATACATTAAAAATTACTTAATAATAATTATAGAAATATGTCTTTATAGTAGAATATACATTTGTAAAAATAAATTAAAATACTTTTAAACTAAAATAAATTATCTAATTTTAAAATAAATAAAGAATTATTATATAGTATTATATAATAGTTTTAATAATATTATCAATTCTTTTAATTAAAAATTTATTCAAATAATATTGCAAAGTTAATATTTAAATTATATTTTATGTAAAATATATTATTAATACTTTTTTTTTATTTAAAAATATTAGAATAAAAATATTAAAATATCAAAATTTTCTGAAAATTATATAGTTAATATATAATTATAATATAATATTTATATATTAAAAATTATTTAATAATAATTATATAATTTTTATATAAATATATATGTATAATAGAATATATATTTGTAAAATAAATTAAAATATTTTTAAACTAAAATAAATTATTTAATTTTAAAATAAATAAAAAATTGTTATATAGTACTCCATCTGTCCCACTTGTCATGTTCATTTTTCCATTTCCGTTAATCTCATTTATTTTGTGACTTTCATTTTTTGGAAAAGAATTATACACTTTAATCTTATTTTTAAAATTTTAATTTACAACTTCTTTTAATTTTAATTATATTAATCAATTATCTTAATCTTACTTTATAATTATTTTTATTATATGATTTTCACTAATACATTTTTAATTATTTATTAATTATACCCTTTTTAAATCTTAGTGTCTACAATAAAGCAGACAAAATATCCGGGACAGATGGAGTACTATACAATAATTTTAATAATATTATCAATTCTTTTAATTGTTAAAATATTTATTAATTGTATTACTTATAATATTATTAAGTATATTAATTATAATTTTATTAATTGTGAATATTTAATTTAAATTTAATTTATTAGAAAATTCAAAAAAAAAAAAAGAAAAAAAATAGTTATGCGGTTTTATTTTATAAATAGATAATATAATAAAAATTATATTTCAAAATTATTAAATTTTAATTACCCTTAATTAAGGGCATAAGTGAACATAAATTATATTATAATTTATTTTAATCATAAAATTAAATAAATTATTTTATTATCTTTAAAAATGTGTTAATTATAATTTTACTGTATTAATTATGATAGATTTAATAGTATTTAATATATTTTTATTTTATTAAAAAATAAAAAAATGATAAAACAAAAAAAAATGATGAAATAGATTTATTAGTATTTAATAATAATAATAATAATAATAATTTTGTATTAATATTATAATAATAATAGTAATTATTAGAATTTACTTTAATCATAAAATTATATAGTAATTTATTTTAATCATAAATTATTTTTAAAAAATATATTAATTATAATTTTATTAATTATGATATATTTAATAACATTTAATACATATTTATTTTATTAAAAAATTTAAAAAAATAAGAAATGTTTTTTTTGGTGTGATAGACCCTACACCGATCTCTTTTGGGTGTGTTTGTTTGGGGATTGGACTTTTTGCCACTATTCATCAAATCCCCTCCCTCTAATATTAAATCAAACACCTATTTTTCATTTTTTATATTATACTAAAAATCAATTTTACATTCAAAACATCACATCAACACCTATTTATATCACATCATACAACTATTCAAATTCAAAATTTTTACTATTTAAATCCCAATTCAAAATCCAAACCCCCAAACAAACACACGCTATATATATATATATATATATAGATAGATAAAATAAAAAATAACGTATTATAATTAAATTCATCGCCAATACAATGTTTATATAAAATAAAATTTTAACCGTACGTACTATTTCGTTGATTGCATACTTATTTAACCACCACAATATTCAAATCATTTTTAAAAATTTTTTTAGAAAGAATTAATCTATTTTTACAAGTGACAAATAAATGTTTTGTTGATTTACATTTTTTTTTTCTATACTATTTATTAATATAGTATTTTTAATTTTCTTTTAAATATCAAATTAAATATATATATATATATTTTTATAAAATATTATATTAAATATTTAAATTTTCTTATTATTGTTGGATTTTATAGTCTAGTGCATCCACCTCATTAATAAGGCATAAACACATTAATTACCGCAGCCCTTAAAAATAAGGCTGAAATCTGTGATCCTTGGGCTGACTCTTGCTCTCGATCCGCACCTGCGACCCGTTGAGGATCCGCGTTTTTCTTAGACGCTGTGCTGTGTTGATCGATTTATGATTTTAATTTTGATTGTGACCTAGATATATATATATAAGGAGGACAAGAGAGAAATCGTCGTTTACAATAACAATTATTTTAAAAATTTTAAAAATTTCAAAATGTTGTATGTGAACGAACACAAAGATACTACTTTGTGATCAACATAGTTGAACTTGAATAACAAATAATCTTATAGTTTAATTAATTTATTCTTATTTTTGTTTAATAGTAAATACCCCATATATTCTATTATTATTATTAAATGGGCTCACCGGACAATCTAAACTGAAAGGGTTGGGCTGAATCGCAATATTAACTTTTACAATATTTCATTACTATTATTTTGTTGGACCGGGAGCAAAAAACAATAAGGCCCTGTTTGTTTGCAGCTATTGTGGCGAGCAAAAAAAATTCGTAAACCCTCCCGCCGCCACGCAGGCCGCCGATTATCTCCATCTCCGACAAGTCTACCGCCGGCGGTAAAAGCCTCCGCCGCCTTACTTGGCACGACAATGCTTAGCACGAGAAATTTACTGTTGAGACCAAAATTGAAGAATCGGAAACAAGCCCTAAAAACTGTTTCCAGAAGGCGAAATTCATTCGCGAAGAAATCGAAATATGAATCCGGCAAACGAGCAGTGCGAATCGATTTCACGGGAGAAGAAGATGAAGAAAAGCACGAACAAGTCGGAGTGGATGAGGAGGACGTCGCATTCAGCTTGAAAGGATCTGCTCGATCTCATTCGCACGGAGTCCAACCGCTGGGGAATCTCTATTTCACTCCTTCATCCGTTAATTCGAGAGACGTCGGCCTCGGCAACCTGAAAACCCTAACGGACGAATTAATCCTCGACGTCCTCGGACTTCTGAGCGGCGCTGAATTACGGATTCTATCGACTGTAAGCAAATCCTTTTACGTATTTTGCAGCCACGAACCTCTCTGGAGGAACCTTGTTCTGGATATGCATAAAAACGGATTCATATTCAACTCTTCCTGGAAGAACACTTACATCACTGCTTATAACAATCCATTTACTGCTGTTAATTCTGGAATTAGGGTTAGGGATTTTTACTCCGATTACCTCTTTCAGAGCTGGCTTTGTGCTAATCTTGAAATGAAGCCTGAGTGGCTTGACAGGGATAACATAGTGAGGAAAAGGGGAATTTCTGTAGATGAATTTGTACTGAACTTTGAGGAGCCTAACAAACCTGTGTTGTTGGAAGGTTGTTTAGATAATTGGCCTGCTATGAGAAATTGGGATAGGGATTATCTGATTAGAGTTTGTGGCGAAGCTCGATTCTCCGCCGGGCCGGTGGAGATGAAGCTCGAGGATTACTTTAGGTATTCGGATCAAGTGAGGGAGGAAAGGCCATTGTATCTTTTCGATCCGAAGTTTATCGACAAAGTTCCGCAGTTGGGAGAGGATTATGAAGTTCCTAGCTACTTCGACGAGGATCTTTTTGGTGTTTTGGGGAAGGATAGACCTGACTATAGATGGATTATAATCGGTCCTGCAGGATCTGGATCGTCGTTCCACATTGATCCCAACTCGACTTCTGCTTGGAATGCGGTGATCAGAGGTTCCAAGAAATGGATATTGTTCCCGCCTGATGTAGTGCCGCCTGGGGTGCATCCGAGCCCGGATGGGGCAGAGGTTGCCTGCCCGGTTTCTATAATCGAGTGGTTCATGAACTTCTACGGCGCCACCAAGAGTTGGAAGAAACGACCGATCGAATGCATTTGCAGGGCGGGGGAAGTGATCTTTGTGCCTAATGGATGGTGGCATTTGGTTATTAATTTAGAAGATTCGGTTGCGATTACGCAAAATTTCGTCAGCAGGTATTGTTTGTAACTTTGGATCCTTCGATTCTTGTCCGGTTTGAATGTTGTGCTGAATGTTGATCGATTTTGCAGGAGGAATCTGTTGAATGTTCTTGATTTTTTGAAGCAGCCTAATGCGAGCGCCCTTGTGTCGGGAACTAGGGACCGGGTGAACTTGCACGACAAGTTTAAGAATGCGATCGAGACGGCGTTTCCGGGAACTTTGGATGAGCTGATGCAGAAAGCAATGGAGAAGAAGAAGAAACAGCAGCTCTCATATTGGGACTCTGTAACTGATTCAAAGGTTGGTGCCTTTAAGTTTTCATTTTAGAAGTTTTGTTACCTTTTAACAGTGGATTTGGATTGGAAGTATTTAATTTGATAATTTGTAAAAAAAAATATATGCTATTTTGATATTTATATTAGGAATTATTTTGTCACATTCCAAAAGAGAACTGAATTATTGAAGACATGAGATCTGTTTATTTGGTTAATTTTTTGAATGTTAAAAATTTTGAATCTGAAAAATTATACGATATCATATGAATAGATGTAATATAATATTTTGAATGTAAAAATGATTTTTAGTATAATATTTATTTTTTAATTTATATTTATTATTTAATTATTTTAATTTTAATTTATAATTATTTTTATTACACAAGTTACTTACAAATTATACTCTCGGTAAACCGGACACAAAATATAGGATGGAAAATAAAAAAAAAAAAAAATTGTATGAGTTGATATTTTTAAATAAAAAAACAAAATTCTAATAATAAAAATTTGTGGAAAACGAACACAATCTAAAAGTCTAAAATGAGACGCACACAAATTACATATAATTTATAATTTTGTTTAAAGAAAATCAGAAATACCCAATAATTTATAATTCAACCAGAACAAAGTGGTAACAAATGTAACGCGAGTAAGTTAACCACGGTTAGGCCCATTAATATGGTGGGGTTACCTGAGGTCCCGGGATCGTCCAAGAAGAACTCCGGGAGCTCACAATATTACAGACAGAGGGGCCTAGAATTATTTCGAGTCAAAAGTCAGAAGGAAAGAAAAAGAAAAAGAAAAAGAAAAAAAGCTTGGCTGGTAGGGAGAACGAAGGCCATGCAACAACGAAATGCGAAGCGTGATCAAGCCATGATTCTCAATTGCGTGTATCAATTTACGGTGGAGTTTCCAGTGATGCACTTCCAAAACCGTACAGCCATGGCGGTGGTGGTATTCATCTCATTCTCATCTCTCTCTGCGTTTATCAATTGAATATCGATTCCGTACCTACGTACGTTCATCTGCTCCCCCAATTTTCTCAATACATTCTCCTAATCTTCCTTCCTTCCCTCCTATTTTTATGCCCTAGCCGCAATCAAATCCCCAAATTGATTTGATTTCGTCTCGCATTCGTTTCCCCCTTTTCTTTGCTTAGCTATATTCATAGCGAAACCCTAATAATTTGATGTTGTTCTTAGCTCCAATTACAATAAAACCAATCGAATCCTCGTGAGTTTGGAGGTAATTGTTTTGATGCGTTGACAGGATTATCCCCTTTAGGGTCAGGAAGGGGTATATGAAATTGGGGGGAATTTTTTTTTTGTAGTTGAGCTATCGATCTGATCCTTAGAAACTTGCAGAAACTCGTCTTCTCTGAGGCGCCATAGCTACATTTCATAGCTACATTTTCAGATGGTGAACTTTAAGAGAGCTAGGGATTGTTATTTCTATTGAATTCCACTGCGTTTGATGGGGAATGCTTGCATAGGCCCTAATGCCAGGAAGGGATTTTTCGCTTCTTTGACGGCTACCGTCTGGAGAGGCCGTCGGCACCGCGAGCGAGACCCGAACAAAGGGAAGGAGAAAGATAAGGATAAGGATAAGGATAAGGACAAGGACAAAGAGAAAGAGGAGAATGAAACCAGCAACAATCAAGCTAAGAAGGATAGCAGCACTGACAATGGAGTTGCAGGGAATTCAGTGTGTAAAATTGACGGTACTTGTCAATCTGATGTCCAGAGCACGCCCCCTGCTCCGATCAAAATAAGAGATGCCGAGCCTAAACCTGCTGAGGAGCCGCCAAAGGGGGAAGCAAAGGCCGAGGCTCGTGGTAATAATGCCAGCAAGAGGGTGAAGTCGAAGAAGGCCAGTCATATGAAGAGCGTATCGAGCGCAGGACTGTTGGTCGATTCTGTGTTGCAGCGAAAAACCGGGAACTTGAAGGAGAAGTATGTTTTGGGGAAGAAGTTGGGACAGGGGCAATTCGGCACGACTTATTTATGCATCGAGAAGGATACTAACAAGGAGTTCGCCTGCAAGACGATTGCTAAGAGGAAATTGACTAACGACGAGGATGTTGAGGATGTTAGGAGAGAAATTCAGATAATGCACCACTTGGCGGAAAATCCCAACATTATCTCCATTGTCGGAGCTTATGAGGATGCAGTCGCAGTTCATGTTGTGATGGAGCTTTGTGCTGGTGGGGAGCTTTTCGACCGGATCATCGACAGGGGGCATTATACAGAAAGAAAGGCTGCTGAGCTCGCCAGGATAATTGTTGGGGTTGTCGAAGCCTGTCATTCCTTGGGAGTCATGCACAGGGACTTGAAACCCGAGAATTTTCTTTTCGTGAGCCGGGAAGAGGATTCGCAGCTCAAAACCATTGACTTTGGGCTCTCGGTGTTCTTCAAGCCAGGTACTCTCATAAGAACTTAATATTATGTAGAATCCGGCTAGATGAATCGATATTACCGCTGAATTTTTGTATGTTGTTAGGTGAGATATTTAGGGATGTTGTGGGAAGCCCGTATTATGTGGCGCCGGAGGTATTAAAGAAGTATTACGGCCAAGAATGCGACGTGTGGAGCGCTGGAGTTATTATTTACATTTTGCTTTGTGGAGTTCCGCCCTTTTGGGATGGTAAACTTCTTGTTTTCGATCATTTTCTACTTTACTATGTAGTTTAGGATCATGTCAAATGTTCTTATATATATGCGAGTTTATGTTTGAACCAGAAACGGAACAGGGGATATTCGAGCAGGTTCTGAAGGGGGATCTCGACTTCGTCACGGATCCTTGGCCTAGTATATCGGACGGTGCAAAGGATCTTGTTCGAAGAATGCTCATCCGCGATCCCAAGCAACGGCTCACTGCCCACGAAGTTCTGTGTGAGTTTTTATAGTATGTTTCTTCGATGCTTATGGAACATTTTCGTTGATATTGTGTATAAATTTTTTGGTCGTACATTGCTCTTGCAGGCCATCCGTGGATTCAAGTTGGCGGCGTCGCTCCAGATAAGCCTCTCGATTCTGCTGTCCTAACTCGTCTGAAGCAATTCTCCGCGATGAACAAACTCAAGAAGATGGCTATCAGAGTATGTTTCGTCGATCATATGCATTGTTTGGCAAAAAGTTTGAATCTTGGTTGCATTGCTTACGAATTTGTCGTTCGCAGGTTATTGCCGAAAACCTCTCTGCTGAAGAAATTGCTGGGCTGAAAGAAATGTTCAAAATGATTGACAGCGACAACAGCGGGCATATAACTCTCGAGGAACTTAAAAACGGATTGGAAAGAGTCGGCGCGGACCTCAAAGATGCAGAAATAGTCGATCTAATGCAAGCTGTAAGCGCGCATTCTCGAATCCACAAAAACGACAAGATTTTATCGATTTCTTGATTAACGCCGTTCCTCTGATCCAGGCTGATGTCGACAACAGCGGAACTATCGACTATGGAGAGTTCGTAGCAGCGATGCTGCACCTGAACAAAGTCCAGAAAGAGGACCATTTGTACGCGGCGTTTTCGTACTTCGACAAAGATGGCAGCGGGTACATCACGCAGGACGAGCTTCAACAAGCCTGCGAGCAGTTCGGTCTCCACGACTTGCAGATGGAAGACCTGATCCGCGAAGTTGATCAGGACAACGTACGCTAAAACAAAACAATCTTGCGCATCCTTTTTCATGTTCTTTTTTTTGTTCTTACACGGCCGGCCGTATTGACTTGAACTCGTGATTTCTTGTTTTTTTTTTTCAGGATGGCCGGATTGATTACAATGAGTTTGTAGCTATGATGCAGGACACTGGTTTGGGTAAGGGGTTCAAATCCATGTAGAGAGAAAATGTGTATGTATGTATCTATATATTATGTATGTATATATATATATACATAGAGAGAGAGACCACTCTCTATCTGTTGATGTTATTGATAGGTTGTTTTTTTTTTTGGTTAGGGTATGAAAGATTACTTCATTCTTTGATTTTTCACGTCTTTTTGTTGTATTTAGCCGTTGTTGTATAGAAGCAATGCATTGGAAGATTGAAGCTTGATTCACTTTTTGTCATTTAATTTTTTTTTTTCATTCAAAGAAGATTCTTAGAATATTGCTGGTCTTTTTTTTATATATATTATTATTTATGGAATATAAATGTATTTTTTTATTATTGGAAAATATAAACTCAAAATATAAAAGGTGAAAGTGAACTAGCGAAAACAATGAAAAATAAGTCGGGAGGAAAAAAAACTTGGACCACCCGTGCTCAGGCTCCTAAATAATCACTAGCTGCCCTTGAAAAAGTGTGTAATAGCTCATTCTTCGAGTGCAAGCTAGCTCATTGATTGAGCGCTATTGTGCCAAAGATGAACGGGACTAAGACATGTCCGATCCATTCTTTTATTTTTGCAGCAACTATAGTAAAAATTGATCTACAGTAATTTTATTTTAACCATAAACTTCAATTTTTCACTCTAAAAAATATATTTCATATATATTTCTCTTTTATATTATTTTACATAATTTTTTATATTTATAAATTATACTCCAACTTTATTTTACTTTTACAATATAACCCAAATATATATAATTACACATTATTTTTAAAAAACTATATAATTATATATCACTTTTCGAAAGGTAAAATTATATATCACTTTTAAAAAAATAAAATTATATCACTTTTCAAAAAATAAAATTATACATAATTTTTCAAAAAAAATAAAATTATACAATATATTCCAAAAAAATAACAAAAATACACAAATACCACAAAACACCACACAAACTCCACTAAAAAAAAAATAGAGTGGAGTGTACAGTATTACTCAAAATATGGAGTAACACTGTAGCGGATTGCAAAAATGGAGGAAATTTGGGAGTAAGTTGGAACCCCTCCCGTCCAATTTTTGCACAACCCACTGCATAAATGCATTGGGTTGGAGTTGCCCTGAGCAATTTGTCGAGATGGTGAACCGTAAAAATACTTCGATGGGAAAGTGTAACGCATTAGAGAAGACGGGAATAAAACTCCTAAAAATATATATATATATAATTAGGTAGAAAATATAAAAATAATAAATATGTATTATATATAATACTTTTTAAAAATATATATTTATTTTTGTTAAAATACTAGATTCACCTAATATGAAAAAATAATTTTTTATAAATATTATTAAAAAAAAACAAATATATTTATATTAATATAATATATATATATTATTTATTCAAAAAAAAAAAACTAATTATATTATTATTATTTATATTAGTAATAATTCTCCATACTATATATAAAAAAAATCAATTTATTTATAAACACGATCATACTAACTAATTATATTGAGAGCACAACTATAAACCAAGAATACTTGTTTATTCTATTTTTATTCGGAGTTTCTTATATTTTGATGCTGATAGAGAAACATAAGTCAAACCTTCACTACAGGAGCAGAAATATAATTGAAAAGAAAATGGAGAAGATGAATAAGAAATTCTTGTCTGGTGTTGCCGAGGAATCGTCGTCATCCATCACCACAACGATGCTCGTCTTCTTCACCTTCCATTTCATTTCTTTTATTTTCTTTTCGAATGGCTCCAATTCCACCCACCTTCGAATCCCCAATCATCCAATTTCACCCCTCTCATTAATGCACTGCACTGCATCATCCCCCAATTTCTGCGCACTAAACCCTACTCCTTTCGCGCGCACCGTAATTCATTTACTTTCTCCCTGCCGATCGCAAATTTTCTGCATAAATGATCGTCTCGAGCTTCAGTTCTTCTTCTCCCCCGTCCACAGCAATCGACTTAAGATTGGGACACCGTTATCGGAGAAGAATACCCCATTTTGACGGTTCGATTACTCTAAATTTTAGGAATCAACACGGCCGTGTCTCGACTGAATTTGGGGTTAGAAGGGCAAATCGCCGAAAAGGAAGCAGTATTTTCGCGAAATCGGCACTTGATGTCGATGAATTAGTGGAAACTGAGGGTAGCCCCAAAGCAGGCGGTAGGGACAACAATTCCTTTTATGACGCCATTGTTATCGGCTCCGGGATTGGAGGATTGGTGGCGGCGACGCAGCTGGCGGTTAAAGGCGCCAAGGTTTTGGTACTGGAAAAGTATGTGATTCCTGGGGGAAGCTCTGGGTTTTACCAAAGGGATGGGTTCACATTCGATGTTGGATCATCAGTAATGTTTGGTTTCAGTGACAAGGTCTGTAAGTTTTTGGCTTACACTTCTGTGTTTTGCTGCTTCGAATGTTTCGATACATGTCTGCAAACCGATTTAGATTGGGTAGTTAATATTTGGTTATATAAGATTTGAGTCTATCAATAGGAATCTCTAAAATTCAGCAAAATGTAACAGGAGGTCTTTCGATTTTGAGCTGTCAAATTTATTTTTTGTCAAGCTTCTTTATGTTCGGAATTCTATAGTTTGTCCAGATTTCATTTAGTTCATAGCCCTTCTTCCGACTTTAAATGTGTTGAGTGTTCTCTTTTCGAATTAAACTTTGTTTTGAACGAGTTCCTTTTTCGACTCTAATTTGACTTATTTTTCAACTCAACTCAAACTTCGTTCTGAACAAATCTCTTTGCGAATCTAACTCAATTGAGAGTGTTGTCTGATTCTAACTTGGTGGATGTTTTGGCTACTGTCTAGCTATGTTAATTTTTTATTCATCTTAGCAAGCTCAAGTTGTTTACGCGGTACCATTCGCATTTTAGTGGAGATGTTGATATTTTTAGATTAGATTTCCATTATTTAGATTTTCGTTATTATTAGATTAGATTGTTATTATTTGAGTTTTAACTAGTTTGTGTCAACCATATTTATAGCCCTGATTTCATTATTAATAATATGCGACTCTGAAATTCTGCAAAAGGTAATATTAACCTTTGTTGCTGCTGCATTGCAATTTAGGGAAACTTGAATTTGATCACACAAGCATTGGCAGCCGTAGGATGTAGAATGCAGGTGATACCAGATCCAACGACAGTTCACTTTCATCTACCAAACAGCCTATCCGTGCGAGTGCATAAAGAATACGATGATTTTGTTGCAGAGCTTGTTGGTAGGTTTCCTCATGAAAAGGATGGAATCCTAAAATTTTACGGCGAATGCTGGAAGGTCTGTGTGTTAATTGAGGTAAATTGATGGTTCGTCAGCTTGTTTGAGCTGAAATGACGTCGATTGTTTGGCTATATGGTCAGATCTTCAATGCATTGAACTCGCTGGAATTGAAATCTTTGGAGGAACCCATCTACTTGTTTGGCCAGTTTTTTAAGAAGCCTATTGAATGCTTGACTTTAGGTAATTGTTACTTTTGAAAGAACATCGGCAGTGTATGCTAATAGTTTTGATTTCTTGGTGTGTTGGTGATGTGTATGCATTTTTGTGCCATTAGTCGAATGAAATATCCTCAATTTTTTAGGAATAGTTCTTGCGTTTTTCTGCAGCCTATTATTTGCCGCAGAATGCTGGAAACATTGCTCGGAGGTATATTAAGGATCCGGAGTTACTATCCTTCATTGATGCTGAGGTTTGCTCATACTCGCCTTAACAAGATTTAAGTGTACCGAGCACTTTTATTAATCTTTCTTCTTGTTTGCTTGAATCAGTGTTTTATAGTGAGCACGGTTAATGCGATGCAGACGCCTATGATCAATGCAAGCATGGTAATCCACTTTATTTGTTATTTTGCTCTGTCGTTGTTCCAACCATAGACTCCTAATTAATATTTTCCCTTTTTTTTAGGTTTTATGTGACCGACATTTTGGAGGAATCAACTACCCTGTGGGTGGGGTTGGCGAAATTGCAAAGTCACTGGCAAAGGGCTTGATGAATCATGGTGGCGACATACTATACAGGGCGAATGCCAAAAACATTATTATGGAAAATGGAAAGGCTGTAAGTATAACTTCGAGGGGTGTCTGCTTGGCGAATTCTCTGCTTTGTTAAGATCATTGAATCCTGAACTACAGATATGACTTGTCATTTTATAGGTGGGAGTTCACCTGTCGGACGGAAGAAAATTTTATGCTAAAACTATAATCTCAAATGCAACCAGATGGGATACCTTTGGTACGTCTGGATTACGTTGATCTCAGCTTGTGAACTCCTCGAATTAGATCCTTCTTTGTTGAATTTATGTAAAATTGATTTGGTAGGAAAACTATTGAAAAAGGAAGAACTACCTGAGGAAGAAAAGAGATTTCAAAAGGCATATGTTAAAGCGCCGTCTTTTCTCTCTATTCATTTGGGGGTTAAAGCTGAAGTTTTGCCACCAGATACGGATTGCCACCATTTTGTCCTCGAGGTACGGCGTTAAATTTCGAAGGTTTGAATGAGCAGATGTCTTATTTGATACTTTTAACATTTTTGGGCCTTTGGGTTGTGTGTATGTAGAATGAATGGAAACATCTGGAAGACCCTTACGGAAGTATATTCCTAAGTATTCCAACAGTTCTCGATCCATCGTTAGCACCAGAAGGAAACCACATTCTTCACATTTTCACCACTTCTTCCATTGAGGACTGGGAGGTATATGCGCTCCATCTTGTTCTAGTGATACTGTAGTTTTTGATGTTATATTTGATTTTATTTTTTTTCATTAATCTCGTTAATTAATTAGAAAACCATTTTTCTGTAGGGGCTTTCGCGTAAAGATTATGAGGCAAAGAAGGAACTTGTTGCAGAAAATATAATCGACAGGCTTGAGAAGAAATTGTTCCCAGGCCTAAAGTCGTCCATTGTTTTGAAGGAGGTATGACTGACCGTTTCAAGAGCCAGAATTGTCGTTATATTTCGTATTTCTAACTTTAATGTGTCTAATGAATATTGTAGGTGGGCTCTCCAAAGACGCATAGGAGATTCTTGGCTCGTGACAGCGGTACGTATGGTCCAATGCCTCGCGCAATTCCAAAGGGATTATTAGCCATGCCGTTCAACACAACTGTGAGTTTATTGGCCTATTAGTCACCACCGTTTCCCCACAATGAAATTTGATTTTTTTGATTTCACGTCAAAGGGTAAACGAGCATGTATCCTAACTTTTGGTTGCAGGCTATAAATGGTCTGTATTGTGTGGGCGATAGTTGCTTCCCGGGGCAAGGTGTCATCGCTGTAGCCTTCTCGGGAGTTATGTGTGCGCACCGAGTTGCAGCTGATTTAGGTTCAAAAAATAATTTTTAAATTGCTTTTTACCATAACTCATTAATATGTTTGATGAAATTATATTGATTCCTTATGCAGGATTTGAGAAGAAAAACCCGTTACTCGATACTGCTCTCCTTAACTTGCTTGGTTGGTTAAGGACATTAGCATGACAAGCTCGGCATTAGAATCTGGCGAAACTCGGTAGAAAAAGTGCTACACTCGGCAACCATGGCAATGCTGTTAGCATGTTTTCTTGTTTTTTTTCCGAGGAAACGAGATTAAGGTACTTTACATGAAAATTTCTTTCAGCATTTAAACTATTGTCAATTTTCCCGTTCAACATGTAGCTGCTTTTGACGGATCTATACAGTTTATATTATAGCTCATAATATTGTGACGAATTGAGAAAGGAACATCAGTCGATTTTCCGTGGGAAGTTACAATCACAACTTATGCTGATTTTACAATTCATTTACTGATCATAAAAGAACTATCTCCTAGCATGAGTTTTACCGAATCATCATGTAGCTATACGTTAAAGAATTGCACGAGCTTAGCTTAGCGCTAACAATGGCCATTTCTCTTAGCGGCCCGAGCCAGAAGCTTCAATAAAATTTTCTGGCCGAATGACTCAACTGCTTATGAAAACGTTGTAAGCAGAAATCTGTAGTATCCCCTGAATTTAAGCTCCCGAATTAAGGTTCATCCTTCGTAGAGATAGGTACGCCAATACTCTGTAGCCGACCACCATTGCTGCGAGAACTCCCACTTCCTTATAACCACTGTCGATACGAACCCCATTGATTGAGTGACTTATGTGCTCGTATTGTACTTTTAGGAGAAGCTTGTAGGTGTGGTAGTTAAACGAGAGATAGCGCAGCCATGAGATGAACACGGGAACATTCTGCAAAACCGTGAATCAAAAAGGTTTCAGTAAGATTCCTTTCTCTCCTTTCGATAAGGTTGTCTAGTTTATTTAGTTATTTACCTTCACGAAGAATCCCCCCGCCAGCATGAAGGTCATTACCATAACCGAAGCCAAAGTTGTCGCCTTCTTCAGGTCCATAAGTGTAGCCCCGATAACTAATCCCAATCCCTGTTGATGCTTATATTCATTTAGTACATCTTAGATTGAACTATATTGCTACTGTAATCTGATCGAGTTAGAAAGGCGGCACATACCTGAGCGGCTATAATGCAGAGAAACACGGTTGCTTGGGTTAGGATGAAGGAACTGAATCTCATTCTTAGCCCCGCCATAAAGTACACGACTAGAAGAAAAAGTACGGGTAGAATTAGGTCTAGCGGGAGATCACTCGTCGTTCTAGCGACGAAGTATGCACTTAATCTATACATGTCTGCCGCTCTTTCCTTGCTGATCATGGCTCTTTCTTGCGGGAACGTAAAGATAGACGTGAACACCGGGAAGAAGCCCCAGAACACAGAAATGAAGAACAGTAACCCGGCCTGAAATTCGTTTACTAACATTATATAGACCTAGCAGATAGGATCGTAGAACTTGGTGAATTTTCTTAGAGGTTTTCGTCTAGGTTACCTGATCCTGTAGTTCGGTAGGGTTATTACTACCCGATTGCCACCATAGTAACCCCAAAATTGTTGCTGTCGCAACAACTTGCGTAATCCGCAACCAGCTAAAATAGTCGTGCCTGCGTTCTTTAAGTCCTCTCCAAAATAGAATGGCGTACTGTTCGAACCAGCTCCCTCCCCATTCTCTCTTGGAAATGCACACCTTTAGCTTGATTTCCTCGTCGATGGGGGCTGGCGATGTAAGTCTTTTCTTCTCGATTTCAGCCACCCGTGTCTCGTAGGCCTCCACAAGGTACTGGTTTTGTTTTATAGTTAAATGTTAAGTACATTCGATGCCGTTTGTAGGACTTGTTTGTTTTGAATTTTCTTGTACCTCGTGGACGACTGCTGGAGCGAGTTTTCCGCTCTTTGTTCTTTCGGCTTCGGAGGTCGTGTCTATCTGCACTCTGTCTTCTAGCTCTGAGGGGACCGAAATGTCTGCGACATTCCCGTTTGCTAGGTCGAGCATGAATTCTGCTGGGTTCATCGCGATAAGCGGCGAGCATCCGATGGATGAAAAATACGCCATCGCTTCCGACGCCTTCCCGAAATAGAGCAGACTCCCTTTCCCTAGAAGAATCAGCTTGTTGAACTTGAGGAATAGCCGGCTCGATGGCTGGTGGATCGTCGTGATCACAGTTTTACCGGCCTGCGATGAAATTCGAGGTATGTTTAACTTATTTTGATTATGTATTGCGATAAATTGTTTCGGGACATGTTCGTTAAGCGATCTGAAATATGTACCTTTGCTATTTCGTATAGTGTTTCGACTATCCTCATCGCAGTTGTGGAATCGAGACCCGACGTTGGCTCGTCGAGAAATAATAGAGACGGGTTTATTATTATCTCGTTGCCAATTGACACGCGCTTCCTCTCCCCGCCCGACACTCCGCGAACGAAGGAGCCACCGATCATCGTATCTTGGCACCTGGTAAGATCTCATATCTCTAGTCTAAGTCGCTAGCAAAAAATTATCGAATTTCTTGCGATTATTTGACAAAAATCCGTCGAAATTGATTACCTCTCTAGACCCAGCTCATAAACGACGTCCATCGCTCGTTGGACCTTCTCCTCTTTCGTCAACGTTCTCGGGAGCCTCAGCCTAGCCGTGTACGCCAATGTTTCTCGCACTGTAAGGTGAGGAAACAGAACGTCGTCCTGCGTCACAAACCCGATCCTGCTCGATTCAATTTCGTGTAAGAATTTGCTCATAATGGATAAAATGTAATGACCGGGTATGTGTGTGTTCGATATCTACCTGCTTTTTAGGCATTTGGAATACGGCTGGTCGTTGTAAGTGATCGACCCGCCGTGTGGAGGGTCTCGGACTCTCCCGCCGAGCAGGCTCAGCAGCGTCGTTTTCCCGCTCCCGGAAGGTCCCATCAATGCCAAAACCTCGCCGGGATCAACGCTCCCGGTGATCCCGTTTAGAATGTCTTTTTCGACCGTTGAAGTCATGCCCTTGATGACGACCTTGTAAGTAACATCTGTGAACTGCAAACACATTTTAGGACATCCTATGATCGCTCGACGTATAATGATAGAAACGGGTCGTAATACGACAGGCGATATAAATAATGTGATCAAAATGACTATATTGGTTAATAAAATTGCACGATCGATTATTGATCGCGCAATTTTACCGAAAATGAAACATTTAAACCCATATTGATGTTTGATTATACCAAAAAAAAAAAAAGACGACCTGACATAATTAATAGCCATGTTCAATGAGCAATGCTGCATTGAGGAACAAGCCTGCATACCGTTACATTAGAGCCAACAAAAATTGACCCGACACGACAATTCGATACGACCTGATACGAAATAATTGGATTTGGGTCAAAAATTTCAATCCGATTATGTATACGGTTTGACACGAATCCGATACGATAATAAACGGGTCGGGTTAGGGTTGAGGCTCTCAACTCGAACCCGACAACCCGACTATAATATATTAATATTGATTAATGTGTTTATTATATATATAAAATAATTATAATTTAATAATTTTCTCATAAATTAATTTAAATTAAGTTCAATTTTTAAATAATTCAATCTAATTTACGCTTGAACTAATAAAAACTAATATAACACGACAACAAAATAAAAAATTATTTAATTCGAATCAAGAAATTAGACTTGATTATGTATACGGGTCAACACAAGTCAACCCGAACCCGACACGATAATAAACGGGTTAACACGAACCCGACACGATAATAAACAGGTCGGGTTATGGTTGAATAAGTTAACACGTTTAAAGTATTCAATCCGACATCAATCGACTCATTGCCGGTTCTACGTTGAATACAAATTTCCTGTTCAAACATCTATTTATAAATGTTATATTTGGTAAAATAACATTATACTCCTCAGTTTTAAATGTTTTATTTTATCTTTTGCAAATATTGCAATTAATAATTAATATTTGGAAATATTTTTTAAATTTTTTTTAATTATAATAAATAATATTTAAATATCAACAGATAAAAAATAAATAACACTTTTAGGGTGAAATGATATATTTTTATAAAATATTAAAATAACTGTCTAATAAGTAGTAAAAAAAAGAAAAAGTCAACCAATGGTACTCAACTGTATAATAAATAACTGTACATCTATTTTTATTTTTATTGTTTTTTGGATAAAAAAATAAATATAATAATAATAAATTAAAATGAAATCTAGAAAAAGGAATCAACGGTGTACTTCAATATCAATATCTCCATATTTCAACAAATACTGTCATATTCATTTTTTCGAATTATTTTTAATCTTCTAGTACTATACTTATAAAACATTACGTTAATATATCTATATATTATTTTTATTTAAAATTAAAATATATTTAATTCATAATTAAAAATATTTTTTTTTTTTTCATTCAATTACCTTGAGATAGATTGGGAGGGTAGGCTCTGTCTGGAGCTTCTTTTGTTGCCTGCCTGCTTCGATATCTTCTGCTGATGAGGTCATCATATCATCATCATCATCATCATAGTCTACAATTTACTAGTACATTAATTGCAGATTATATAAAAAACATAATAGTTCTCCCTCCCCATTCAAAATATGCATTTATTTATTTTTAAAATAAAATATTTTAATTATAGTGAATAATTAAAAATAGTATAAATATATTTTTATATATTTATTTTATAATGTAAAAATAATGATATAATGATAAATATATATATAATATATAATTTTAAATTGTAAAATCTACAATTTCTGAAAAGATATGTATATACGTTAGTATGAAACAAACAAAAATGATAAAATATATAAAAAAAATTTTAAAAATTATATATATAATATAAAAATAATAAATATTTGTAGTATATTAATTTTTTACAAGAAAATGTGTTGGAAATATTTGTTAAAGAAACAAACCCTTCACACTCCCAAGTACCATTTTGAGGTTTTATAGTTGATTAAAAATTAATTTTATTGGTAAGTGAAAATGCGTAAAAGATTTTGATATTTTTTACATTTTATTATATATATAAAGTAACTGTACGAATATTTATAATTTAGATATAAAAATTAAAAGTATTTTGATATAACTATATGATTATTTTCTTAAAATAAAAATAATAATAATACTTGGCTGGAAGGAGTATAAATTAAATTGCAAAGTGAATAAATTTAAATTTATTCAGAAGGCACTTTTTACTGTTTTAAAACTAATTTGGTTATAATGTGAAATAATTTTGTTTACTATTTTTGTTTAAATTTAAAGTTAATACTTCATTCATGCTAATACAATAATCTTGTTTACTATTTTTGTTTGTTTCAAAACAATAGTTTATTTTCATAAATAACCATATCACTGTATAATTACCCTTACTTTGTCATTATTATTACACAATTGTCATTGCCTCTTACACTAATACACTCACAAGAACAAAAATATCTTTTACCTATATTTTTTTATCCACTATCAATATAATATCAATATTTTTTAAATTTCGTGGCCAGAACGAAGGAAGTACCATTTTTCGACTTTTTTTTCATCTTAATTATTTTCTCAAATTTTTTAAGGTCTATCTTACTTTTATATATATATATTATTTCTCTCTCTCCCAAAAAACAAAGCTATATATTTGAAAATTTTTATTTTATTAATAATTAACTTATGTTAATTGTGTATAAATATAAATAGTTTTTTTTATTATATAAATTTTTATTTTTCAAAAAATAATATTTATATTTTATTAAAACATAATTTTTTTAAATATTCAAAATATATGTTAATTTTATTTCCATCAAATATACATTAGTATTATTTCTAAATTACAATCAAATAATATCTCATTAGTAGATTGCAGATGTATCAAAATATCAGATTGATTTGATTTTGGTTTGAAATTGAAGGTGGTTGATAATTAGTTTTTGGAACAATTTTTATCTTATTTAATATTTTTTTCCGTCCAACTTAATTTGTCAATTATTTCTATTTTTGTAGTCTTACATAATTTGTCATTTTTTAAAAAAAATGTAATCATACACTTTAATCATATTTTAAAATTTATAATTATTTTTTATTTTAATTAAACTATTTAGTATCTTAATTTTAATCTTTAATTATTTTTATTAAATCATAATTATTTTTACTAATATATTTCTTAATTATTTACTAATTACACACTACTTAAAATTTCGTGTCTAATCTAAATGAGACAATTTAGTTAAAACGGACGGAGTATCTTTTAACTGTTTGATCAAAACTGATTAAAATGTTTGATAAATATATTTTTTTGAAATAATTTGTTCTAAAAAACTATCATACCCAACGATTTATAATAAAGTCTTCACTTTAATTTCAAATGTAAACAAAATACACCAATCACTTTAAAGTAATACTTCCTCCATCCACAAACTAATGTCATATATTTTTATTTGGGACGTCCAACAACTATTGTCCTATTTTTTTTTTAAACACAAATTTTATATTTTTACCCTTCATTCATTTATTACTTTTAATCTCTATCATACAATTAAGGACAAATTTATCAATTTATAACAAAAAGACAATTACATAAAAAAATTGTGCAAATATACTTTAGTACAATATAAATTGTACGGATAAAGTATATGTTTGAAAAGTATTTGAAACACAAGAAAACACGTCCCAATGTACATCTTTTAGAGACAATTCAATGTAGTCCACAAGTATTGGGAAAAATTATTACCAAATTGAAGCACCCACCCCACCCATTAACGGGTGGTACAGCTGATAATGCACAATGTACATACACACACAGCACACACTGTAAAGTACTAGAGTAATAATTAAAGACACGTATGCACGCAACAGTTGTAGGGACTGCGACGTCTGTGGCTATTACATTACATCAAATTAGGTCCGTTTATGGTTCCATCCCTACCACCACTTTCTCTATTTTTTATTTTTTATTTTTTATTAATTTGACCTATATAGTAATAATAGTAATAAATAAATAAATTATAAAAATAAACCACTATCTTCTGTCGATTATTTCATTGGCTTTTCCATTGTATAGTCTTAATCATTTTATTTTATTTTTATATTATTCGTAGTAATAATTAATAATGGAAGCCAATTGTACTAAAGTATTATATATTTTTAAGTTCTAAATTTTTTTAGAATTAATAAAAAATTAGTGCTGAAAATTTGGATTTGTTTTCCTTTGAGGAGTCCTGGACCACAGCTCCACTTAAATGCACGCCGTTCGTAGTCAAGATGAGATGGCGCTGTGGTCCCGGAAAACACATTTATTACACGATTGTTGTTAATTGTAATTCACTAACTAATTACCGAGATTAAGGCTAATTAACTCAGCTTATCTCCCTAATCATTTTTTGTCCGTACAACCACTACCTACTGTGTTGCAGATTCGAAAATTAATTGAAAAAAATTTGACGATTACGAAGCTGTTAGAACTTACGGAATTCGTCGTCTTCGTCGCTGAAAGGTTTGGAATCGGCGATGTCGTCGGGAGGAACTGTGAAGCCGGTGAAGGAAAACGAGAAGCCTAAGCTGGCGCTGGAGGCTCGGCTCAGAGCCGCGCCGCTGTTCAGATCATCCAAATCGAATTTCAGCTGAGCGCTCCTCGATTTCCTGATGTGCGTGTTCCACGAGCCGCCGCCGCCTGGAGACCGGCGGCTTGACTTTCTCGACAGGCTGCCGCTGCTCTCCGCCCCGGCGTCGCCGCCGCCGCCGGGAGACTTCATTGCCGCCGCTAACGTCTCCACCAGCTGCTCCGACTTTGTCCGCATCAGACCTCCTCCAGGATTCGGCGGCTTCTGATGATCCATTGTTGTCCTGACCTTCAATTAATTGATATCAATTCCGATCGATCTGTATATACCGCCGCGCAAAATCAGACAACGCGAATTTTTTCGAACGGAGAAAACCCTAATTGCATGTGTACGAACAATGCGTATAAACCCTAATGATTGGGGGGAAATCCTGACCGTCGAATTAGTACAAGGAGATCTTCCGTAATTATATATATATATATACTTATAAGTATGCAACTCAAGTGTCGTCTTTGATAGGCCAATAAATGTAGAGGCCGTTCTTATATATAAGCAACCAAATATTCTTATATCTTTTTTTTTTAAGAGAAAAAAAAAAAAACACACACACACACAATGCGCGTCTCTGCTTGCATTTTTAATATTTTTAATTTAAAAATTAAAATCTAATTTATATTTTTTTCTTTTTAATATTATACTCCCTCCTCCACGACAATTGACATCTATTTATTTTTGATAAAAATTATTAAACCAAAACATATTTAAAAAATATAAATCAACTTAATTAATTATATAACATACAACATCAGAGGTTCTCTCTTTTTAAAAAATAAATATTTTTATCTGTATTTAAAACTACTTATCTTTATAAAATAATTTATATTAATTATAAATAAACAAAAATATTTTTTTATTTACTTGTATTATATAAAATTTTATTCTTTACAAAATTATATATATTGCATATATTTTTTAATTTTTATATAATTTTTAAATATTTAAATATATATTTTAATTTTTTTTAATTATGTAATATTAAATTTACTTTAAAACTATAAATATTATTAATTATATTAAAAAATAATAAAATAATATCATAATTTATTATTATTAACTAATTAAATATTTTACATTAAATACGGTGTTCATAATCAAATGATTCAGTTCGTGATTGAAAAAAATATTTATATTAAAAAAATGGAGTGTAGATATTTTGTGCAATAATTTAGAAGCTAAAACTAGTGTTGGGGTCCAAGTTTAGTGACTCCAAGTCATATCCATAAAATGGAAAGTTGATCCGGACCGTCCACGTGTGCGGACATTCCATATATGCGGTACAGGCCAGTAATTAGCCAGGTGTCTAATTAATACAACTTTTGGCATTAATTAGGGCGTGCCGCCACGTGACAAAGACATGGAAAAAATGGATGAGATTATCCCTCGTGCTGACAACTAGCTAGGCTACCCTTTTTCTGCATTTTTATTACCTCCTTCGTAGGGCACCAATAAATTCATAAATAAATAAATAAAATTTAATTAATTAATTAACTGGCATCCATGCATGCATATATTCTCATAGCTAGATTGCAAAAAACTACATGCCACTTTACAAAATTGGGTAAAATTCATTATATTTTTAAAATTTTGTTAATTTTTTTTGTGGTTTCATAAACTTTGCGTTTAACTTTCTTGACGGTGCTTATTTAATGGTATTTGATCAAAATACGTCTAAACTGTGAATAAAATTTAGAATTTCAAATTTTAAACCCCTAAAATCACAAATATATTCTTTTTTTTTTCTTATATTTAACCTAAAAATAGTAAATATACTCAAAAATAGTTATTTTTCTCAAGTTTTAAGAGTTTATTTATATTATTTTTTAGGCTAAATATAAGAAAAATAAATATATTTGTAACTTTAGGGATTTATAAATTAAAATTCTAAAATTTATTCGCAGTTTAGGCGCATTTAGGTCAAATACCGTTAAATAAGGACCACTGAGGGGATTAGACATAGAGTTTATAAAAACATGAAAGAATTTGACGCAATTTTAGAAGTATGAAAGATTTAACGCAATTTTGTAAAATCACATGTGAATTTTGTGCAATTTAGTCTATTCTTATTAATAAATACTATGACTATATGTACAATAATGTGTATATAGTACACATTACTATTTCTACATAAGTTGCATTATTCGTATAGCAATGTATCATAAAAGTCTAATATAGTTTGGTTTATTTTGAAAAAAAAAAGTACCTAATACTATTATCTACCTATATATTCACGTATTACTACTATTTGTATGTTGTCTATAAATATATTTACAATTTTTTTTCCTTTATTAGTAAAAATATAATTGACAAATCCATTTATAATAGCATTATTATATTTTATTAAAGATTAATAATCAATACAAAAAAAAATAATATATTTGTAACGGAATTTCGTTCCTAAAGTTTACGTAGCTAACGTGATTCCATCTCTAATTCCGTCTCTAATATCATTAGTAACGAAGAAAGTGAATTTATGAACGAAAAAATCTCATTACAAAATTGATAATTTCTTGTAGTGAATATACTCCCTCCGTCCCAGATACCGTGTCTGCTACACTGTAGACACGGTATTTTAGGAGGAATGTAATTAGTAGATAATTAAGAATGTATTAGTAAAAATAATTATCCTATAATATAAATAATTATAAATTAAGATTAAGATAACTAATTAGTTTAATTATAATTTAAAAAAATTAAAAAATTTAAAACGAGATTAAAGTGTGTAATCATTTTCCAAAAAAAGAAAGTGACATAGTATGTGAGACGGACAGAAACGGCAACGTGGACATGGTATCTGGGACGGAGGGAGTAATAAATAAATAGAGTTGGATGGTGTAGAAATTAGTTGGGTATGGGATTTGGACAGTACATATGTCTACAGTAATGTTTCCTTCAAACGCCACATTTTTGGTGGGTTTCATTGGATGGCTTCGTGTTTATTTATGTATACGCTGCCTGTAATAATAATAATAATAATAATAATAATAATAATAATAATAACTAGTATTATACATAATTAAAATATTTTTAAAAAATAATAAATAAAGTATAAATAATTACTATTTTAAAATAATATTATATTATATATGTATGATTAAATGTTAATTTTTATTTGAAAAATTAAAATAATTAACTATATTTATTCTTAAAATTAAAAATGAATAAATTTTTATTTTTAATTTTAATGTAAATATAAATCGATAAAACTATTATCTACTTACTTTTTGTATAATACATTTTAAATAAAATTATTGTGTCTAAGTTAAAAGAGACAAAATACCTGAGACATATGAAGTATTAGATAATTAAAATACTAATGCAAAATTATAAGATTGCATAATCCGCCAAGTAAAATATGTAAATCAAGTTATTAATGCAAAAAAAAAAAAAAAAAAAAAAAAAAAAAACAATAGATTTACTTATTTTTTAATTTTTTTTATGTATATATTCTTCTTCTTTTATGTATGATAACAAATAACACATTATAATATATACAAAGTATATATAAATATATGTAATAAAAATAAAACTTATTTTTTACATTTAATTTTAGTTTACCAAAATATTAAATAATTATTTTTTTCAATATTTAAATAAGTAAATTATCAATCTAAAATATATAAAATTATTAATAGATAAACATGTAATATTGATTCAAAATAGTAAAAATTGCAAAAATAGATCAAATAATTATATTTATTATAAATGTTATATTTCTATTTTCTATATATATTTCACAAATAACAAACTATATTTTATAAAATATAACATAAAATAGAATAATATCAAATTATTGAAATAAAAGAACTAAAATAAAAACATAAAAATAAAAATTTAGTTTCAATTGAATCTATCACTAAAATTTATATTCAATTAATAAATATATAAATTTAATTTTAAATAAAATCAAATAAAATATTTGAATGATAAAAGCGTATAAGGTATAATTAAAAAATTCAGAAAAATAAATAAAATAAAATAATTTTTATCAAATAAATATTGTTTATATTCTTATTTTAAAATTAAAAAGTAATTTATATTAAATAAGAAAAAAATTATTTTTTATAAAAATAATTAATATTATTTAATGTGGTTAAATATTTCTATTTTTATATAAATTGTTGTTTATCAATCTTAAAAATTAAAATGATTAGTCATAATTAATACTACTAAAAATAAAATAAAATAATTTATTTTAATTATAATTTTTTAAATCAGTAAAAGCAAAATATACAAAAAATAAAATAAAAATTTTAAAAACACATAGAACAATATTATATTATCCAATATCTTTGTATATATCTACATAACAGATAAATATTATATTTATAGTTTACCTAAAAGATGTGATTTATTTGCAAAATAAAAAATATATGTAAAATATATCAAAAAATAAATGAATATTATGTGCTACCTTCTTCTTCTTCAAGATCGTGATTTATCTGCAAAGTAAATAAAATAGAAAATATCCGCAAAATATATTAAAAATAAAATTTATTCAAAATTGATTAACCAAATCTAAAAATAAAAACAATTTTCTCAGAAAGAACGAAAATAAATTCTATATATATCTGTACATATGTTTTGAAAAAATTCTATTAAAAAAAATATAAAAACCCAAAAAATGAGATCGCAGGAATCAAAACATATTATATCTATATATATGTTTTCAAAAAATTCTATTAAAAAAAATATAAAAACCCAGAAAAAGAGATTGCAGGAACCCAAAAATATTATATCTATATATATGTTTCCGGAACCGAAGATGGTATAATCTCATTATCTTCAAAGTATTTAAAAAATAACATCATATTAGTAATCATTTAAATTTGATTAACATATAGTAGTAATATTAATTGAAATATTATATCAATACATAAAATTATGAATAAAAATAAATAAATTCAAATAACTTTAATGTTACATTGCTTTGCAACATTATTATTGATAAAATAATTGTCATTATTTTGGTCATTTTTTGGAAGTAAAGATGCAATAACCTCATCATTTGAAAATTATTTGAAAAATAACATTATATCAAAATAAGTATATTATATAAATTTATTTTATAATTTATAAATAAATAATATATATTTTAAATAATATATGCAAAATTTTAAAAATAATCTTAATATTTATATAGTATATAAGTTCCATCTATAATATTATAAATTATATATAAAATTATGAATAAAAATAAATAAATTCAAGTTATCTTGTTTTACAGTATTATCATTGATAAAATAATTGTCATTGTTTGACCATTCTCGAAAAGTGAAGATGGAATAACCTCATCATTTGAAAATTATTTGAAAAATAACATTATATTAAAATAATTATATTATATAAATTTATTTTATAAATTATAAATAAATAATATATATTTTAAATAATATATGCAATATTTTAAAAATAATCTTAATATTTAGAAGGATCAAAATAAAAAATAAATAAACTAATTTTAAAA